TTTAATTTTATTTTTATTTTGAATTAATTGTCTCTGTATTAATCTTATATTAATTGCTTTCACTCTGATTTACTATAACATCATTATATACATAACTTTACTTCACTTCCCCTTCTTTTCTCTTCATATTTTTCCGCTGAGTAGCAATAGATAAATAAAAATGTTATTTGAAATGTTCTTATATGCAGAGAGTTATCTACTTTAGAAAAAGTGAAATAATAAATATATTCATTAGTAGTTGCAAATTAATTTTAAAGCAAAATAAAATGTGATTTAATGAAACATTAACAAAAAAACTAATAAGGTGTCAAAAATGATTAATTTAAACACCTTGAAATTTCAACTGCTAAGCAAATCAATTTCTTATTTTTACAATGCTTTCATCCATAATGATTCCCAAATTTTACATATTTTTTGTTTTTATCTATCCTCAAATATTAACTTTCAACTTTTAATTTGTGTGCCTTTTTTGACTCCATATTTAAGAAGGATTTTAAAAAACATATATTAAGGATAGTCATTAAAGAACACCCAGTATGACTAAATGAAATGAATGGGATGCTTGACATTCTAGAGGACAAGTAAAGCTACCTGAATTTAGATAACACAAGGAAATTAGATTTAAGTATTCCACTTGAATTTAAGTAACATAAACCAATCACCAGCTCATCAATTTATATTAAAGCTTAGTTTACGGTGCAATTACGTAAAATTTCGAAGCAATTATTAGAGATTAGCTAGTAAAGATCTCTCTCTTTTAATAAATTTAAGTAAATAATCTTTAAATTCCTAATATTTTCCCTGGTTTAATTTGATAAGTATTAAGATCCATATACCACTATAGTTCTCTCTTCCATTCACCAAGCGTATGCCATGAATTAGAGGGAAATAACCTCATGAGAAGGATTCATTGAACAGTAACTTTACGCATCGGTAACAGTATCGAACAAGTCTTTATTTTTCGTATTCGTGTCAGATACCTTGTTTTATTTCATTTACCTTTCTTTTTTCATTACACTCATCCATAATAATTTCACCCCTAAAAATTTATTCAAACATCTAGTACCTTTTCATATTAAGAGCATTTTTACTTATTTAGTTACAATTCTAAATAATATTTACTCAGGATATGGTTTTCTTCAAGCAAGCACTTCAAAAACACTTCATTATTCTGTATATATTTTTATATAAAAGTAAAATATTAAGGCGGCTTAGATAATGATTACGCTTGTTTTCTAAGTGAATGTTTTAAATATACAAGGATGAAGGCCGTCTTTTTTTAAAAAAAGCAAAAAATCATAAATTTTCAATAATTCTTACATGGTTTTATTAGAAATTCAAAATTAATGCTTGCTTAGACTTAAAGGTATAACGTTTTTTTTTTCTTTCTTCTTCTCTACACTATTTTAGAGACAATGCATTTTTAGACCCTATAACTGTTTTTGCATGCCATGATCATATAAGCTCTCCACTATATTCCGGATAAAGCACTGAAACTTATTCTGTACCTTTTTATTGAAGTATAATTGCTTAAATTACGAGAACGCGAATTTAATACCGTCTGGGGCTTCAATAAATGTTCTGCGAAGCACTGATAAGGCGATGAAATTTAGACGGGCTTTAAGGGAATGGTGAAAAGAAATGACGAGCAAGTTCGTAAGATTTCTGTTCGAAAACATTCAGTGTCCACCAACATCATCAAACCTTCGATCTTCTGCGGCGAGTTCAATGAAATATCATCACACGAACATTATAGATTAAGCTTGTCGCCAAGTGTCTACCATTTTTTTTTTGAACTTTTGGCTTGAATGTGATGAAGCTCTTTAACGTGTTGAAAGATGAGGATAGAACATGACAGGGAGCTGGTATGGCATGGATGCATAAAAACTGTCATGTAGTTTAATTATGTATTTGCTAATCATGTAAAATAGGTACACAGACGTTCATTTTTTAAAATAATGTGTATATATATTAGACAATAATTGATTTTTTGTAGGTCTAAACAGTATAGATGATCTTATCTAGATCACCATAGTATGATTTGAATATTTCTTGTAGAGTTATGTTTACCTTTTTTGATCTATGACGTCTGTATTTATATAATTAAAAACTCTAAATAATACACTGTATTAAAAATCATTTACCCGATTGCCCTGCATAATTTGGACGATGCGTTGTCATTTTAAACACTAAAATGAAACTGCAGTTATAAAATCTAACAAATTATAAGAATAATCACTGAAAATAAGTTAAATAAGAGATTGAAGCAATTAAGAAAAGAATGGAAATAAAAGATTACCATAAAATAATAAAGATTTAAATAAGAGATTGTTATTTTCAAAGCTTAACTCAAATTTTCCTTACCCTTAACTAACATACACAATTATTTTATATTGACCCTAATTTTGCACATAATTTAAGGGACTTAACTCCAACTTTTTCAAAATACTTTTTTGTATCGTTTCCGAATCTGTCTAAAAGAATACTCTTTTTGTAAGACATCACTAATCTCTAAATCTAATATAATGATCTCAAATTAAATTAGTGATTTTAATTCATATTGATTCTAACCCTTCCTTGATACGAGTGAAAAAACTCGTTTTCTTTTTTTTCCTGCAAAACTTGTTCTTTGGAGATGATGCTCTCTGTGCGATAAAGACAGTATTTTTATTGTAGAACAAGCTTCTTAACTTGAAACATTGTTGTTTAACAGATACAAGTAATTGAAAAATTGAAATGTGCTGGGAAATAATTGTCCAGTTTAGTAATAATTCAAAATAAATTATTTGTGATAATTGGATACTTGCACTTCAAGAAGAAGAACTCCTCCTATACCCACACGTGACCTATGACATCAGCGTCATCTAATCTTTATTATAAAATGACGTATTAAAGTTGAGCTAAGTTTCTCTAATGTTAATTCTATGTTAATTAACTATAATGTTAATTCTAATGTTAATTAACTATAATGTTAATTCTAATGTTAATTAACTATAAGTTAATTTAATACAGAGCCGTATCACACATCGAATTAGTTCAAAACATAATTCCTACTCGTCTACTTCTTTTATTTAACTTATATTCATTATTTGTTTATGTATTTTACTGTAACCGCGATATATTTTTGTTTTGTGTACCTGGCAACTTCAATGCGTAATTATTTTGTTTATGTTCTACATGTCTTCGTGTCTGTTTTTGGGAAAGAATTGAATTCTTTGAGAAATAATCTTCGTGAAAGAATTTAGAATGTATCACTTAAGAGAATTGATACTTGACGGGCTTTGATTACTCGAAACAGAATAGATGCTAACGTAAACAAACTCCACTTTTCAACAACCAGTCAGGAATGAGATACCCATAGTACGTTACTTGCAGGTATCCCATTCAAATTTAAGAGTACATGGCTTACATACAATTGAAAAGGTAAGTATAAGTACAACTTTCTTTTGTCTTTTAAACAATCAAATGTATTGGCAAAAAGTTTTAAAGAAAATTTTTAAAAGATTTAAAGGAAATTTAAAGTCCTCATTTCAAAGTTACCATTTCTTTTAAATAACTGTTCGCATTTTCGCTACACCGAATTTTTTCGCTAAATTTTTTTAACCATTTTTCTATTGTTTCATTATTTATTTTCACCTGTTAATAATTAATATTTAAAATGCTTTATTAGACGTTTTAATACTATGAGATTTAATAAATGCATTTATGTATGGCGTATACAAATGAATTCAAATCACTGCTAATATTATGTAATTTTTTTTCAGAGATTAAAGTAAAGATTAGTATTGTAGGTTTATGTTATGCAATATGTATTGTTAAAAATCAAATTTTCAGAACCAAATTTAGGAAAAAAATGTATCTCCTTTTAATTCACTGGTTATAAATTCATTTTTTTTTCCTTTTTGATAAAACAGAATTGTGCTTTAAACTCATTAAAGCCGTAACATTTATGTCGGTTCAGTTTCGAAAGTATTCTTCAAATACCGAAGACTGTAACAAAACCAAAAATAGTTAATGTTTCACAACATAATGAGCAGTTGTTTAGATTAGGTTAATTTATAGTGAAATTCTTTGTTTCACACAAAAATTGTTATCTCTTAATAATTCGAAAATTTATTTTTAATCAGAACTAATGTTACTCAGTGAAAAGTATTTTGCTTTGAATTTTAATTATTAAGAATTAAAAATGTCTTAGGAAAAATTTTAATCATACTTTCGTATTTAAATGAATATAAAAATATCAAAAACAATAATACAAATATAACTAACAATAGCTAATATGAAAAATCATTAACATGAACTAATGTGGCAATATTATTAATAAAAATTGATATGGCTCCTTATTTGTATGAGGATAATTAATGATGTAAAAATAAACTAAATTCTTTGGGAAAAAGTATATTTTCATAAATGGATATTTTTTTCAGTTTTATTTTCTTTTTATCTTTTAATTAACTTTTTCGCACCATTAATGTTTTCTGAAATAACTTATCAAATAAAAAAAAAAGCTAAAACAAATATAAATATGACTTAATATCCCCAATATGTTAGTAATATAAATATGAAATACTATGATAATAATATTAATAATAACCAATAAGTCAGAAAAATAAAAATATTTATATGACTATAATTAATGATATAAGAATCTATCACATTATTTTAATAACAAAAAAGACAATGTGATTTAAATTTATAAAAATTACTCATCATTTTATGCTGTTTTATATCATCACTAAAAAATTTAAAACACTGCATAACAATAACTAAATGCTTTTAATAATGCAAATTATTCGTTTGAAATACTTCATTAATCATAAATTCACATCAAATCAAATTATTTTAAGTATTTTCTTCTACTTATTTCATATATTTTACACTCATAGATAAAAATTATATTTCTTTCAACATTTAAAAAATTATTAAAATTACCGTGAGGAAATATTGTCAGTAAATTATGCAATTGACAAATCATTTTAGTCAAAAATTATTTTAAATACCTGTTCCGATGGTGGTCGATCATTTTCTTTAAATTCTGAAATATCTTCGACGTTGGAATTAACATCCATCATCTTTAATCCTGATTAACTACTTATAAAACGCAAATCATAAAACATCAGTTCTGCGATGTGTATTGTTTACGATACAGACACGTGAGCTACCTGTCAAGGTATACGATACCTTGCGTGTAAGTTACTAGAACGAAAAATTTACCACAACATTCAAATCAAAGGGCAACAGTTTTTATTCGAAAACGACAATAGCTACGAAATTTTAGTAGCGCCACCTAGTAAACAGTGCCTGGAGCTGCTGCAAACTCAGAGGAATGAAAGCAAGTTTTTTTTAGACAATCAATATGAAGAGAAGTTTCAAAGATAGAAACTTTTGAGATGCGTGAATTGCGTGTAGGTAGTGGGTATTTATTACTTTTCTTTATGAGACAAATAAGTATTAAAAATATGAAATAATTCTACTTTAAAAACATTCAATAAAAATTAATCCTAGTTAATTTTATCCTTAAAATACTTAAAATAACAGAATTTTTTTAAATACATATTTGGAGCAAAATTAAATTAAAATACTCTAAACTTATTGTAATAGATAAAATAATTTTGGAAAAATATAAAATGAAAAAATGTTAGCATTAATTAGAATATTAATATTAATTATGAAATTTTCGAGAAATAAGACCATTATCTTTTTCGCTATATAATTTTATTTATTTTTTGCTTCTGTCAAAATTTTCAGTGAATGAAAAAGAAATTTCAGTTGAAAATACACTCCAAAATAAATTATTCTAATAAATAAGCATAAGTTGATTTAAGGTTTTAAGTAATAGCTATTTCTATTTAGGAAAAAAACTGCAGTTTTTTAATGAAATTTAAAAACTAATACAATGTAGTTTTTATTTTACCTATCACAAGTTTTGTTCCTTGTGAACAGGCTCTAAATGAAACAAAACTGGTAATTAATGAGAACATAATAAAATGCATTTTTATGAGGAAATCATCAACAAAAAATAAATATAAATCAAAATGCATAATATTAAATACTTGAAGTTATTTTTGATTTCATTTTAAGCATTTAAAATTTTCATTACTTTATATTAAACTTTATGCAGAAACACATTTTGTAAAACATATTGCAAAAGAGGTAATATTTCTAAAATATCGTAATACCAAATGTGAAAAAATAAAATAGTTTTATGTTTCTTAATTAAAAAACGCTTTAACTGAAAAACGAATTTGAAATTACGAACGCCCTTCAATTGACAGTTTCATTTAGCAAAATGAAATCAAAATCTTTTGTCTCACTAGTGATGCGTCACGTATTATGCGTACGCAGTTTAATTTAAAAAATCTTTGAAAATAAATGGGGAAATTCACCGTGTCTCTGGTTCTAACAGCTTTTTAATTTTTAGCGTAGTGCTTTGGCAATTATTTTGGTAAAATTACCAATAAAATATAGTTTTATAGTATTTTATAAAATTTGGGAATGAGGTAAAATTAGGTCACTTCATCGTGATGCTTTAGAACTGCTATGGTATAAAAACCATTTATTCGATTTAATTTACTTTTCAGTTCTGCATTACTTACTCAATACGTGGTAATAAAAACAATAATTCTGAAAACCAGAATTTCCCTTAAACCCTTACCATATGAACGAAATGGATGCTTTAAATATCGTGTATTTTGGTTTTATTACCAGAGTTAGGGTACCAGAAATATTATTACCATACAGTACGGTAATTTTTCCAGAACTTTTTTTGTCATAAAATTTATGTGCCTTCGCTTCTGTGCTTTAGAAATCATAATCAAACACAAAAAATAAAAAAATAAAAAATGCACCTAAAAAATTTTTTAAAAAATTGCAACTTCTGTGACACGCGTGAAATACGAATTCTAAGTTTTTTTTAATTGGCTGTCAGGGAGATTAAAAATTTTTAGCGTTAAATGTTTATTGTTTTTCTTTAACTAAGCATTCGATTTAACTTAAACGATAAATTCAAAGCTTTCATTGGGTTTTCCTCATTAAAGATAGTCTCTGTCAAAACTTTTTGAAACATTCTTAAATTTGCAGGAAAACAATAGCTATCTTTAAAGCGAAAAGTTGCCATAACAAATAACCTTTTAAATGCATTTAAAAACTACAAGTACAATAAGTGAAAATGTGTTTGAAAAAAAACTCCTTTTTAATACCTGATTGCAAAAAGTACAACATACTCAAATTATTCATGGTATTCATTCATGTTTTTAAACACAAGAATTTAATGTTTATTAAACGTTATTCAATGATTTCATAAATGTATAAATTTATATTATCAATTGCTTTTAATTGAGAATATGCATAAAAATACTTTCATTGATTATTTCTGTCATCATATAATTCGACAACAAATGTTTCCATTAACAAAAAAAAAATGGACAAGTAAACATGATTTCTTACAAAAACTTTGTCCTGCAGAAAAGCTGTTTTACAGAAACAACTTATATTAATTCCCTCGTATTACACTTGAAGTCGAATTGTATTTAATTAATATATTTTTAAAATGCATTTAAATAATGCTTATAAATATTTTTATAAATATATGGCATTATATATTTTGACAAAAACGAAAAGATAAGTAGAAATGTTAGCTTTCCTACAAACGCACCATCCTTGCAGAGAAACTGTTTTACAGAGACAACTTTCATTAATTCGGTCGTTTATCACTTAAAGACGAATAGTATATAAAAAATGTGTTTTTAAAAAGCATTTTTAAAATAATGCATATAAATATCCTTATAAATATATGGCATTATATATTTTGATGAAAACAAAAAGATAAGTAGAAAACTTGTTTTACAGCGACAACTTTTATTAATTCGCTCGTATTCCACTTGAAAACCTGCAACAACAAAAAATTTTCAGATTACGAAAACTGCAATATAAATGTTTTTTATTCCTTTGTACTAGTAAAGATTTTAGAAAGGTTTAGTAAGAATTTTACTGACTCTTATGCTCTTTAATAAGGTCAATTTATTAGTCCATTTGAAAAAAAAAATTCAATTAGTGTTTCGCAATACTTTAAAATATTATGAAAGTTATTACGCTTCTATCGTTAAACTTTCAGTTTATGATTTGTATTTAATTTGTTTCGAAAACTGAATAACTCAAAATAATTTGAAAGTAGTATAACTACAAGAGTAATTAAAAATTAAATTTTCCAATTTATTTTATATCATGAAATGAGACTGTTGACAGTCTTTTGCTCCAATATCTAATACTATACTACTAAAATAGCTTTTTTTTTTAAATTTTATAAATAGCATAGCTGTTAGCATTTTAAAATGATTTTGCACTAGCATTGACTGTTTAGTATATTTAAAAAATTTAATTGAATTTCAAAATATAATTTTCCTGGTATGTCACAAACAATATTTCCAATAATACCTAGCTTCAAAACTTCCCATAAATTTTTCAATATCTATTTTTTTAATCTCAACCGTTGTAAGCATTTCTAGAATATATGCAGAGGGTATTATTTCCAAAAACGTTGTTGAAAATAATTTTTTCTATCAATAATTTGTTTGTCACATGAAAATCAATCATTTCCTGGCCACTTTTTATTAGTAATTTATAATCAAAATAGATAGTGCCAGCAATCTGTGTCTTAGGTTAAGAGATTGATTAGAATACCATCCTATCAGAACATGCCTTATTTCAGGAATAAAGAACCAACTTTCTTAGTCAAAATCTATTTTTAAAAATTTTACAAGGTGAGTAGGATTTTATGATGTCATTTTCCTGTCTTCTTGAAATCATTAATAACATAAACTATATAGATTTACCTGAGTTATTTCAAGAAATCCTGTTGTTTTCTGCTGAAAGTAAACGTCTTTGGCCGAAATATTAAAGTTAAATGCTGTAAAATGGTAAATTGTCATTATCCTGGCTGTCATTTTCCTAACTTATGAATGCCACGACATTGACACAATTACGAGAAATTTTTTTAAAACAGTATAATGTAAAGAGGGAAAGCAAATATTAACCTAATACCTAGTTTATGTAAGATTGTAATCATTAATGTAATTAAAGTTATGTATGTAATTGAAGTTAGTTATTTATTTAATGATTAATTATTTTGCGCAATATTTTATTCTGTACACATCAACAACAAAAACATTTTTGATTCTTTCTACAGTAGATAAAAGAATTAATTTAAGCAATTCATGGTCCATCTAACGCAAAGGCTTGAGTTGAGTTACTTACTATTAGCTTAAAATGACAGTTTTTTAAACTTTTAAGCTAATATGTCATTTTCCTGGCATTCAAAATTTAGTAAATTTCTACTTAGTTTTTTTTTTTCAGCAAATGTTAATAAACTACACTGCAGTCTGTAAGATATTAATAAATGTAACTAAAGAAATACACAAAAAAAAATTAGATTATTTTGAAGATTTTAAATTTGAAGAAATTTTTTGCTCCGAATTGTCATGTTTCCAAAGAATCACTCATATATTTACATACTGATATAAATACATACATATCCACCGCCCTCCAACGTCCATCCCTGTTTTCGATCATGGGTTGCTATGCAAATCTGAGTACTTGTGATGTCACTTAGAGTTTGTCATAATAATCCTGGGACACCCTGTATTGCAGCAACAATTGGATTTCAAATTCAGCTATTCCTAATTTAATATTTTGCAGTATGCACTTAAAAATTCTGAAGTAATCACGTTATGATATTCTTATCTATGATATTCTTATGAATATAAAATAATTTCTATTTAACTTTTATGTAAACAGGAGTTGAATAAAATAATTTTAAATTGAATTGAAATTATAAATAAAATAGCATATACGAGAACTTCGCACCTTGTAACCAAACAACTGTAGTAACTGTTTGAACTAGGTTTGAAAGTAAATCTACAATTGCAGACAATATGATTTACCGAAACATTTATCTTTCATATGCTTATGTTTTCAGTTGTGCTTTAAAAGTATGTAAATTAAGAATTTAAATAAGTTACCTCACAAACAGTGACGTAAATAACACTCCCGTAATAATACATTAAATATTAGAGGTGCACAACCTTCGATACGCGGTAGTATTGAACATAATAATAAAAAACTTTTTTTTGCGTGAAATTTAAAAAAAAAGGATATTTTGAATTGCTCACTTAAATTTTTTGCGCATTAAATCTAAATGGATGAAGTTTTCAGATAGCTTTTTTTTCGGTGGTGATCGGAGTAAAATTCCAATCTTTTAAAAATTCCAATATTTTTGATACGATAAAATTATGCGTGAATTTAGAATTTTAGTAATCTCTTTTGAAGCTCTTTACTTGCCCCCCCCTTTCATACTTAATCCAAGTAACTTTTCAATCGCGTTTTCGGAGGTTATTGTCTAATTTTCACGTGTTTATTAAAATCCCGATCATTTTAATACGGTATTATAACGACTCGCAAGGTATTGAATCACTTTCGACGTGCTTTATTTGTGTCAATTTTATTGTAAATTCAAACAATATTTCTATTGTTTTTTGGCCCTACGCCTTTCCACGGGGTTTAAAAATCATATTTAATATGTACTAATACCACAATCGACTAGTGCATTTAAATGTGTGCTTTATTGTATTTTTTATGTGTATTTTTTTTTAGGCCAGGTTTTTTTTTCTTTTTTTGTGTGTGTGTGTGATTTTTTAATCAGGCATTTTATCATCACTTCTAACGTGCTTTTTTTTCCGTTTGTGCAGATTTTCTCGTCAACTCTCTCTCTCTCTCTAGACAGGCACCTTGCCCCATATTTAGGAATCTATATTTCTACTCCCACTATGTAAATGCCACGTATTTCTGACCCTGATTAGACGACAAGGACAGCGCCTGAGCTGGTGCCCTCTCTCCAAACTTCAACAACCAACGAGGACTTTTAGCCAGGACAGATTTAAGGTGCATATAGCTGCGTTTACACGCTGGTTGTTAGATCGGAAACCAGGATCCAACTCACTAATCTCCTGGTATCTAACATCATTTATATCAGTAGTAAAATCAAGTAAGATCAATGCTTGTTTTTAAATTTTAAAAAAAAAAATGTGATTAGAAATGTGTCAAAAAAAATATGGAACACTAAGTTCATTTACTAAGAAAACATTTACCCCAACTCTTTTTACAGCATACATCTGTACAATGAAATGTCGGGCTAGCAAAAAATGAAAATTAGAAAAATAAAAAAAGGTAAACTTAACTTTCATTTCACCAAATAAGAAATTGTGGCACTAAAATTTTTTAAGTCCAGTGCGGAAAATAACAAACTGACCACCCTGAATAACTTTTGTTCCAATGGTTGGATCTTCACTTTTTTGGAATCAATCTTAATGGTTCAAGGGCCTCAAATATGCTTATTAATTTGGGCAGACGATATTGTAAGTTGTGAAATCACACCCAAAATGTACTTCTGTTGAATAAGCATACATTAGATGGATTCGGATATCTGACCCCCATAGTATAGAGGGTAGCCACCATGTGGGAAATATGGTCCCAATATTTTGGTCGAGAGAGAGATCCAAAATTTGGACCCCTGAATGTAATTTTACTTTTCTCGTATTTCTCCATATCCCGAGAACTTTTTAAGCGAATCGAAAAAACATTTCACACGATACAATTCGTTTACCCTAAGATAATTCTGTACAAAAAATAACTTTCAGTAAATATTTATTATTATTTTATTTAATAATAGTCGAAAAAAGTTTGAATTGTTAAGTATACAATTTTTTACATCATTTTAAAGAATACAATTTTATTTGGAAAAATACAATATTTTGTTACACGGTTAAACTCTTTGTTACGCAGTTAAATAGTTCTTGAAAAATTACATTTTAAGAAAGTTGTATTTTTTGTCCGTTTTTATTTTGCGCACTACACATGTATGAATTATAAACTGTAGATAAATCGCAGTAGTCAGAAATACTTAACTCATTTCCAAAATAAACTAAAAATAAAACCAGCACACAATTTTTTTTAGTGGAATATGCAGCAATTTTTGAAAATTTTTTGAAAACAAAATTTTTGATATGAACTCCAAGATATTGCAAGACTGTGTTTAGTGATGGTAAATCATAGAACTTTTAAGCCAGCAAAATAATTTTAGAAAAACGATAGTTTTTAAAGTTTTTTTCAAACAATGGTATTATTGTAACTTCTAAACCAAAATTTTATTTAGATTACAGCTAATTTTATGTACTTTTTAATATCGTTTCCCTATCAAACTGACTTTTACAGCATGCTCTTTTTAAAATTGTCATTTTGTGATGATATATTTACAGTCAAATAAACATAATTAAAAATACAAAAATAATATTTTATTTCAAAAACGAAAAAAAGAGGCAAAATTTAAAACTCAAAGGCTCAACTTTGTATTTACATATTCACAAAACTATTGCTTTATTAAAAAATACATAGTATGTATATAATTTAATTCTACAATAAAAGTTAACACAATGAGCTCAAAAGTCATAACACTAATGGTATTTCCAGTAAGCAAGCACCCATAATTTTTATCCCTTTAATACAATTTTCAAGAAATCTACAATTTACAGAAAACAGCTACTCTATTGTATCCTAAAATCATTCTAAATATTTTTTTTAACATAATTTAAGGGGAAAAAAGACATGTCTTGGAAATGTCAAAACAAAAAATTACTCAAATACTGTTTTACCCATTTGTAGACAAAATAATAAATGGATGGCAGAAAAAACAGAAATTTATTTAATACCCATAAATCTTAAAATTTATCAAAAACAGTACATTAAAACACTACAAACTTTAAAACAAAATTTAAATCTAAATTCAAATATTGTAATTCATTTATTTCTTTTGATTAAAATGGATAAAATACACCATAGCAACAAATTTAAATATCTATATAAGTAACTTTAACTTAGAAATATTAGCACCAGATACAAAACATTAATAAAAAATATTAAAGTACTGGGAAACTATATTCTTAAATGTATAAATAGGAAAAATAATCTAGGTAATCAAAGAACCGGGAAGAAATGGATACTACAATGTTTAAGTAGAGAAATATCTCACCATCATGTTTTAAGAATGAATAAAATAATACATAAATTATAAATATTATTTCAAAATATAAAGTCGATTTTTAAGTCACAAATAACTACAGAAACAAACCGATAGCCTCTAAAATTATTTTGATTTTCTAGTGTTTCCATTTCTTGTTTTATTAAGTACCTTAAACAGTTTAAAATATAATTAAATATTTCACTGGTATTCATCACGGGTGCTCTTGATTTCACTGATGTTTACTTTCTTACATCCCTTATTCAATGGACCTTTATCCAATACATCAGAAAAATATAAAAAATAATTTTCACCATAAAAACTCTAAAACACAAATGCATTCCGCACAATTTATAATTTTTGATAAGGAACTACACCACTAAGATTTTAAATACTGTATATCCCATTAACTGTTTAATAGATTTTCTAAAGTTCAGTGCATGATCATTTTCATTAGTTTTTAAATTTTGCAAACAGATCCAAGTTTTTTTTACACTTAAACAAGACTCATCTAAAATCATTTCACAGAATAAAAGTCAGAGTTGTTAAATTGGCACAAGTTTAAGGGAATATTTTTGTATTATCAACTAAAATAAAAAGTACATTCTTAAAGTTTGAATTGTTCAATAACTGAGAAACTGTGCTGGTTAGGGTGTTGCACTCATACATGTGCAGAGGAAACTAGAACCTCCTTTAAATATATAAAATCAACCAAATATTTTGTAAATCGTTTTTTAAAAAAAATATTTAATGAAATAAAGTTTCCAGATTTTTGTAAATTTCTTCTTACACCAAAATTAAGTGTATCCCCCCCCCCAACTTTATATGATTTCTCATCAATTACAGGGCACTTATTTGCTTCATTTTGGAAATAAAACACGTAAAAATATATGATATACTTCATAAACAAGCAACAATCGTTTGAATATTTTACAAATAAAGAATAAATACGGAATAAACTTTTTAAGCTAATTAAGAGTGGATGCTTTTATCTTACGTGCATCTATTTAATAGACATTTTGCAAAACATTTATGCAAATTTTGATTTTAACGAAGCAGTAATACATATAGTTTGTTACTTTTTTTCTATCCAGACATTGTTTTTACAAACATACTTTTTCTAAACAGTCGTAAAAATCAACAAAAAAAAATCTTTTTTTTTCATTTCTTACAAACAACATTTAAAAGCAAGAGCAATCAAGAGAAAACCATTCTTGTTTTTAGAACATAAGAAATGTATGTGATATTCCTTACATACAAAGTTTAAAAAAAAAATAATACAGTAAGAAATCTCCTGACTAAAGTATTTATAGGAAGCCCAATTTACTAAAAAATAAAACTTTAAAAAAGTATAAAAATGTATATTAAAAAAAAAGAAATTTGTTCAATAAAAAAGCTGAAAATAAAACACAGTTACAAATTCTTACAATTAATGCCCTTTAAGAATAACAAACACAATTTACAAGTACAATGCACCAATGAAAAACAGACCACTCTAAATAACTTTCGATCGGATCTTCACGTTTTAGGACTCAATCTAAATGGTTAAAGAGGGTGACCTCAAATATGCTAATTAATTAGTGCAAACGATATTTTAAGTTAGAAAAGAAGACACAAAAACGTACTTTCTCTGAATAAACATACCCTTTTTAAAAAAGATTTGGATTTCTTCTCCCTAAATATATATGGGGTTGCCACAATCTGGGAAATGTAGTCTTCTTAGTTCAATCGGGGAAGGGGTCCAAAATTTGGACCCCTTAATGTTAATTAAAAAGTCTTTTTTATTTTTTGCGTACTTCGCCATATCTGAAGAACTTTTTTGGAGAACTGAAAACTTTTTGCACACAAAGATTAAATTCGTTTATCCAATGATAGGTCCATGCAAAAATTAATTTAAGTAAGTATTTACTGTTCTTTATCATTTTATTAAATAAGAGTCAAAAAAATTTTGAATTGTAAAGAATACAACTTTTTACATCATTTTAAAGTATGTAATTTTACAAGGCAAAATACAAATTAATGCGAAATCGGTGGAATAGTTCCCGAGAAATCAAATTTTAAAAAAATTGTTTATATAAAAAAAAAGGTATGTTTGTTCAGAGAAAGTATGTTTGGGTGTGATTTCATAACTTAAAATATCGTATGCACTTATTGGTTAGCATATTTGAAATCACCTCCTCGAACCATTAAGTCCTAGATTGTGAAGATCTGATCATTAGATCAAATGTTATCCAGGACGGTCCCTTTTTTTCTGCGCTGTACATTAGAATTAATTTCATACTTCAACATAACTATTTACACTTATTTACAATATCAATTTAAATTCAAGCATTCCTTAACAATTAGTACTTAAAGATTAAAATTGAAAGCTTATTATTCTTGAGCAACACAAATACCAATTTTTAACAATAAAATACACGGAAATATTTCAACGTCTTGTACAAAATAATTAACTGTACAAACACATTTGTAACAAAACATTATTATTGAAGCAGCACCTTGAGATTTCGTAACACAAAAATATTTTTTTTTCTTCAAAAAGTTGATTTCTGTACAATAATAGTTTTAACTTTGGCATTTATTAAAAAGGCACAACAATATCCCCATTAAGGCTTGAGGTGTCTATGTATCAATAGAATCTAGACCTTGCATTCTTGAAGCTCTTCTTAATTCTTTTGCTGAAAAATGAGAAGGTACTTTATCTACAACAGTGATCTCTTTATCATCTTCATCTACATCCATGACAATATCTTTAGAATCGGGTGACTCCAGACCAACAAGCAGGGCAGTGGCTTCAGCAAGAGTGTCCTTTATAATAAAAATGTTTAACATTAATTTTCTTAAAATAACAAAGTTTTTTTTTATTAATAATATTAACATATTGCTTTCAAACTTTTTCAGCAGCAAATTCAAAACATTCTTAAAAATAATTATGTATAATCCAAATTATGTTGTATTCAGATAAAAAAAAATTAATAAATAAACAAAAAAACTTGCATTATCATTAATCTTTTGATTAATACAAGAATTAAAAAATACTGAATATATCTTCAAATATCATAAATGAATGAAAAATTATTAAGAAAAAACGAAGTTAAGTATTAAAAACAAAGTTATATTGTAAAATATATATATATTCTCTATAATTTTTCATTCATTTATGATATTTGAAGATATATTCAGTATTTTTTAATTCTTGTATTAATCAAGAGATTAATGATAATGCAAGTTTTTTTGTTTATTTATTAATCAAAAGGAAGATTATATCTTTAATAATTTATATAACTTTTCCATGTGCAAATCCATTTCGGGCAAATCCGTGGCTAAAATTATTTGCAAATATGGTTCTCTTTTCTATTTTATATATTTTTTTAAATAAATATTTATTTTCTAATATTATTCATGGCCAACTTTTTAAATTATCCAGTATAATATTACCTTGCACACATTCATTTCGGACCCATCCTTGGTAACTAACAAATCAATGCACAGCATAACAAATCACTTCAGCAATGCAGTAATAACGGCACTTTATATTCCTCTAGTTACACTCAATTTGCGCTTTTGTTTTCATATTTTGTAATCTGTCAATCTTGTTGCGAAAACATTCTTAAATCATTCTTGAAAAATTTCCCATTCATGTAAGTACATCTGATTTTGCAACTCGCTTTATAGTGTATGTTTTATACTGTTTTTTATTTTTATTTTATTTTATTTTCTGTTTTTACGTGTTATTTTTACTTATTGTGTTCTATTTTATTTGTTGCAATTTTTGAGTGTTCCTCACACTATTGTATTAATATACTTTGCTTTGGCTATATTGATACAATATCAGAAAGCATTTTTTTTTTTTGCGGATATAATATCATGTCGGCTGATGAAAAGATTATATCTTTTTTTTTCCGGTTTTTTAAATAAAATTTTATCTTTTCTTTTTTTTTCTTTTCTTTTTTTTTAATCAGTTGTTTGTTATTTTTTTAATTATTATTCCCCCCCCTCCTTTTTTCATATGTCTATAATTTTTCTTTATTTTATCTCCATTTTGAACTTATATATATATCATTTGCAAGTTTTGCTTGATGTGGAATCACATATGCTATCATTAAAAATCATCTTCGCTTATAAAAAAAATAAAATAAGATTCTTTATTAATCTAAGCATACAATTATTTATTACTAATACCAGATGATTATTCTATGAAGCAGATTGCAGCTTTGTTTTTAAAAGTGATACATTTCCACTATGTCTTTTTTTCACCCTTCATATTAAATTTTTATGCTTAATAAATTAGTTCTTTTTAATCATAAATTTAATGATTAAGATTTTTTTTTAATTCAGTTGATCTTATAATATTCTGCCTTATATTATAATATCCTGCCTAATATCATCCCTCTGGGGGGTTTAAGTATTTATGTTAGCACCTTTTTAAACTATCATTTTTGTTTGGTAATTTTTAAGTGTTGTTTTTATTTCATTTGATTAATAAGTTTTCCTTTTATTTTATCTTTTTCTCTTTTCTTTACAATTAGGTATGAAATATATTGCATTTTTAAATCATTGGTTTTGTTTTATATTAGTTAATTTGGTAAGTTTAATTAATGTTCAAAAAGTAAATGTGAATTTTGTATTTTTTAAATTTGTTTTTCTTGTCTAAACTTGTAATTGTTTTTATTCTTCAAAATGCTATTTTTCTACCATTTTTTCTTTTTTTAATTTAGAAGAGTTCGGTTTCTTTTTTTTTTTCTTATTTCAAAATGTTTTTTTTTTTTTTTCATTGCAGTTTAGGTTTGATAAAACATTGATTAATGAAACAATTTGGCCGATCAAGAAAACCTAGAAATTCAGACATCCGAGATAGTGATGCTCTCGAGTATCCCAAATAATTTGTTCTCCACTGTAATTCCAAATGAAAATTATTAATTCCACTTAAAAAAGAACAATAAGTTACACAAAGTTGCTTATTATATTGTTAATAGTATAAGAACTATAAATATTTAAAGCATACTTTTATAAAACATGTTTTATAATAATAACCATTACTGAAGTTTTTCCTTAAGAGTGGTTATGATTTATTATATTGAAATGAATACATTTATAAAATCGCCAATTTTAAAAAAAGCTAGAGGAAAAATTAATACTGCACTAGCACACCAGCACATCAACCTGTTTTATACTTATAAATGTACTATGTCCACTAAAATAGATTGGACAGAAACATTTTTTTTTTTTCATCCAGCATTATCTATAAAGGATTCATTTAACTGACAAACCTGAGCACTAACTGTCCTTTGAAATGTTTTGGTGTTTGAATCTTCATTGGAAACAGAAACATTGGATGGCGTCCAATAGCTATGCTCTGACATCATCTTCTTAAGCCAATTAACAGCCCATTGCCACTTATCTGGCGTTTGTAAAAGATAATCTTTTGCAACTGAGCACCTGAAAAATAAAATATTTAAGTCAGTAATGAAAAACCTTTCTATAGCCTATTCAATGGAAAATTTTATCCTTCCCAAAGAAAAAAAAGTTGATAAAAAAAAAGTTATTTCAACTCTTGAACTATTAACATAGACAAAAAATATTTCACATCTTTTAACAGAGAATAAAAAATTTCTTAATTCTCTGATCATTACCAGCTGGAAGCAGTTAGTTGCAACTTAAATGGCTTACATACAACAAAAAATTTTTACGTCATTTAATCAGAAAATAAAAGGAAAAATTAACCAAATTATAATGCTCAGAAAGCAGAATTAAAAGTACTGGAAAAAATATTTTAAAAATGCAACCAATATTTTAAATTATTTAAAACTAACATTTGTATTCTTAAAAGCTACTTATGATAAACGAAAGAAACCCAGTCATAGAAATCATAGTCTTTAAATATAGATAAATTAACATAAATAATGCAGAACATAAAACAAAAAATGAATAGCTTAACACAAATTTGATGATGAACAATTATAAAAAAATACATTTATTAGTTTAACAATTTAAGATACAGTGCACTCCCGATTATCCGGGTTAATCACCGGGACAGGTCGCACGTACAATCGAAAAACACGGATAATCCAAAAACTCCTTTTTATTAAAGAAAAAATGAACATCAGTACAAAAAATATAAAAATTACTTACATTTGCATGCTGTATAAGATCAAATTAGGAATTTAACATTTACTGCTTAAAAAAATGTGTAATGCGTCTTTGCTTCCGCTGTCTGTTCATCTCTTGCTGTACATTGACACATATTTTACGTACAGTAGTAACTTCACCGTAATCAAATCCTCGTTCTCCCATATAATCAATCTAATAAAGTTTCCACAGATTGTAGAGCAGCAGAATCAGGAATGCCGGCCTGGTGGCCGAGCGGTTAGCGTGCCTGACTGTGAAGCCATAGGCTGCGGGTTCAAATCCCGCTCTGGGCATGGATGTTTCTCTCTCTCTTTGTGCTGTCCTCTGTTGTGTGCGTGTATGATGTGTGAATGTGGTCCACCCTATAAATGGGTTTGTGGCAGTGTGGCGTGGGCAATGTTGCTCGCCTCCGTGACGTTGGTTCACAGGTGCCCACTGGGTAACGCGAAATGAGCAACAATTCTGGCATAGTATAGGCAAAGATTCAAATTCAGTGCCTGCCATTGGAAAAAAAAATCAGGAATTGCATTTCCCTCATTTATTACATCTTCTGCATCAGTACTATCATCACTATTTGATTTAACAACACAGTTAGTAAAAATTTCCTCATCTGTTAAATACTGGAAGTCAAGCTCACATACATCACTTTGAAACGAATCTTCTAAATGTTCCTCATCAAGAATTTCTAAACCTACGATTTCTTTTCTTTGTTCAAAAATACTGTTATCATATTCTTGAATATAAGAAGATCAAGCGGTATGATCTTTCTCCACGATCGTGATAACGTAGACGATTTTACCTTTGACCATGCTCCTAATATACTGCATCCAATAATGAATATTGCTTTCAAAAAGTGTTATAACTTCATAACTTACTATTGCAGCAATTATTATCAATAAAAAACATTAGATTCATATTCTGTTAATAAATGGCGAGACTGATTTGACAAGATTTCTATTCATATCAACATATATTTTACATGCATGATAATCTTGAAAATGTTTCTCTTTAAAAAAAAATTTTGTGACTCCGAAAGGAGCACGGATAAACCGCAAACCGGATAATCCGCGCATAGATAATCGAGAGTGTACTGTATTTAAAAATTGATCTTTTATGAATAACAATCAACAAATTCATCAAAACAGCACTGACCATATTATTGGCAGATATATGTTCAATTTACTACAAGATTTCTTTTTCTCCCTTTAAAACTATAAGTGAAATATTATTTATTACAAAAACCATTTAATGTAACTAACTGATAAATTAATTATTAAAGTAAACTACTTTAGAAGATTCTGATAAAAACTTAATTATAAGCATTCTTAACTTTTTAACAAAATGCTTACAGATGATTCGGATAAAAACATATTTAAAAAAATTCCTAAGTTTTTAATAAAATGCCGATGTCAAAATTAAAGTTCAGTTAATGTATCTGATAATTAAGTCGTCAATTTATAATTGTTATATTTGTAAACTTTTAAAACAACATGCTTTTTCGAAATAATGACAATTTAAGCAATTATTTTTGTGAAAAGAAATGCCAAACACAGTAAATTTCAGACATGTTTCCAGTTTTACTAAACAGGTTTAAAACAGAGCTTTATCAAATTAACCAATAATATTTACACGAAAAGAATCCTCAAAAACAGAAATCTCCTAAGAGTTTAGCTAAAGATAAATGCAAATGATTTAAATCACCTACACCAATACTCACAAACCTATATAAAATTACATTCCATGGAATTAAAATGAATGTTAACACATTCAGTCAGTTAAGAAATTGTAAAAGGAGAAACTAAAACTTACTTTAAAGAAAGACTAACAAGAAATTTCACTCCTTGGTATGACCTACGACTATCACTAGTTTCGTTGGCTCGAATAATAGCTATAAAAACGTATATAAGCACATTTTAATTACAAAATTCAACAACAAATAAATGTTCATGAATAAATTGTTCAAAAAATTACAACTTCTAGGATAATAAAAAAAATCAAGAAAATGAAAATAATTAAACTGCACACAATAAAAATCACTAATAAATGTTCAGAAATTTTTTACAGTATATATATATAGCATAATAAATAAAAACAAAAAAAAACACGAAGAAAATTAAGAAAAACAATAAGTTCATTTTTCTGTATTTTTTGCCTTGTTTTCTCTCCATTTTGAACTTTATATAAATATAAAAAAGATACTTTAAGCGATTGAAAAAACAATAGATTACTCCACATAAGTTTTATTGTGTTATTGGGATATGCCTTAAAATGCAGCATTACTACAATAAAAAAAAGACATTGTTAATAACTGTTATTATAAGACTATTATTAGTGTACTGAATTCGTAATAAAATTTCTTTCAGTTCAATTTAGAAATATTGAGAGACAATAAAATATACAAAAAGGGAGGTTGGAAGTTTTTTAAGCTTTAATGAGTCAAAAAAATGAAAGAATAGATATCAAGTTTTGTAAATTACTAAATTAATTTATTGACTTTTAAGAGTAATTATTTTCCTACCAAGCATTCCATCAAAGAAAGGAAGGCTTTCAGTACACATTCCATCAATCACTAGTTGTACACGATTTAACTGCAAGGAATCTTCTATAGCCTAAAATATATAAAACAATGGTATTTTTAAAAAACAAACACTTAAAAAAATTTATAAATGCAAATCATATAAGTTATGAATTAATGGATATGGAATAAACACATTAACATAGCAAAAGATGTTCTGTATTAAAAAAATGGTCTTAAAAAGATTACAATTAATAATGGATAAAATAAATTATAATTTTAGAAAATCAATTTTTAAAATTCACATGTTGTTTAATTAAGGAAATTTTTCAGAATTTTGAATTATTTCATTGACTAGCAGGGAAAAAAAATTTCTATTTTTTTTTACCAATAGTTACCTAACCCTTTAATAAATAAAAGTAGCAACATACAACTAAATAACTTGTATAATACTATAATGTATGTATAAAAATAAATAACTAAATAACTTGTATAATACTAATAACTTGTATAATGTAAATAACTATATAAGTGTAGAATAATTTTAAACAAATAATCCAAAATGATAAGTTTAATACTCACTAATATTTCTAATAACAGAAATGACAGATTTTTCAATTCATTGGATGGCACAGATGAGTACTGAAGCTAATAAAAATACAAAAATAGATAAGTTAATTTATTCACAATTACTTTAAAACTTAGTTCAAAATTAAATTTGAAACTTTACACAGACATATCTTGGAAATTTCATACTCACCATAATTTGACGAATAACGGAAATAGAGAAAATTTCATTACAAAATGAGCACTGCACTAGCATATCAGTAAAAACAGATATAGATCCAGAAACTTCTCTGCAAGCACTCACAACCTATTAAACAGCATTTTTATAGATTACATTTTTCTTCTAAATAAATAATATGATAAAACTTTGATTTAAAATTACTTTAACAGAAAAAGTTAAAATTGTCAAAGAAAACTTAGAATGCAGCTGTTATTCATGTTGAAAATTGTTTGGTGATAAGACTTTTTTAACAGTTCTGTAAAATTTTACAATTAGTTAAATGTGGAGAATCTTCTGACAATTATATAATAATTAAGAGCTATATGTATACAAATTACTACGAGATGTGTATTAATTTTGGAAATATTACAATAATTTTTGAGCAAGATAAATTTTTCAGTTTACATATGACATACTTAAATAACACTGCCAAATGAAAGGTATAAGTTCACCTTGTTGTATTAATTATTCAACAACCCATTCCTCTCCTAGATGGCATTACTTTTATAACCATTTTTATCTCATTTATCAACACTTTTAAAAGGGATTTTTTTTTCTTCTTTTTTTTGCACTTTTTCTCATTTTTTTTTTTACTATGCTCACTCTGTATTTATAATTTCACAGATATAATACTTAACAAAAACTGTTAGAACTTCATTCATAGATGTAGGGAAAAAATTTTTAGATTAAATTTTTTTTTTTTAAAAAATGAAATTATAATGTTTGTTATGACTAACTGTGGGAGGCAAAGTTTCAAGCTCTGAAATTGCTCATATATTGGGTGGATACCAGATTTAAATAGGATAAAAATACTCATATCAAAAAATTTACTTGAATATATTTTGAGATAAGAATTAAAGTTTGTAAAACAAAAACAAGTAGAAGAATTTTTAACATGTGTACTATTTAAGTATTTGAAGTACCAGCAAAAAGTTCATTTAAACATTAGAAGTTTTTATTATACTTATTAAGATTAAAAATCTAAATTCTATATTGTTAGAACAAATTTTGTATTTTCATAAATGTTAACGTTTCATAAATGTTCATAATGTAAAATGATGTGCTTTGACAAATATTTTTGAAGACTTTTAATTTATTTAATTTTAATTAATATTGAAGCAATACTTTGTGAATTAAGCTGCGATCGGTTCACAAATATTACACCAAGCAAAATAAAAAATTATCATTAAAGTTTTAAAGATATTGTAGAAAAACATACAAAGAAAGCTATAAATAATAGTAAAAGTTACTAAAATATTTCATACATTAGATGGCAATCAAAAGTGAAAATAAATTTTAAAAACTATAATTGCATTTCTTCAATTAAAAAACTACTAAAGCAATATTACCTCCTGTAAGTATCTTGGTGAACCAGGACCATATAAAGCATCAGCAATTTCTTTCGGCATAGAAAGAAATGTTTCGCTAGCGGACCAAATAGAAGTGCGTTCGGAGAAATCTTCCAGTTCTAAAATTTAAAAAGTATTATTAATGCTTTTAAGAAACATTTAGTTCTAAATTGGGCAGTATGAAAATTATAGAATTACCAGTTGTTCTGTGAGGCGTTAAATCGCAACTTAATGTTAAAAATGCCATAGTTATATGCAGAGATCCAAATTCCTGTGTTTGTAAGGGTGTCCATCTCCTTGGGAAGGTTTCCTAAACATTAAATAAAATGTTTACATTAATATGATGTACTGAGAATTATTATGTAAAAAAAAATTACTATTAAACAAGAAATAGACCAAACAATTGAAGGTAATTGAGAATGGAAAATCCCATTTGCATTAAACATTTGTCAGTGAGGAGTTTTTTATGGAAAAATAGGGAAAATAAAACTTATATCCTAATTTGAAAAGAATAAAGAACAATTATAAACATATTTTATAACTGATTTACTAAATTTAAATTTTTTCAACTTTTGTAAAAAAAAATTTATAAAATCAAAATAATTACATAATAAATCTAATATTTATAACATTATAAATAAACTAGCATCTTAATAAGCTTTTTTAATGCTGTTTAAAGAACTAATTAAGACAAAGATTTACGTTATGGAAAAACCTAAAATAAAAACATTCTATCAAATATACATCAGTTAGCTAATCTTTCAGTTAGCTTTAAATATCAATTTAGCTAAATTTATACCATTTATTGATAAAGAAAAAATATATTTACCAAACTTTGCATATTTGCAGATGCAGGTCCTAACAAAAAAGTAAGAAGTCTTTGGAAAGCATTATTCTGGATTAGATGACTGCATGTTTTGTGACCCTATTAAATTCAAAATTAAATCAATAACAAAGCAAAAGGTAACAATTTGATAAAACAAACCAAAATTGCATTATGAGATCAATCAACATATTAACTTTAGAAGCAATATCTAAAGGTTCATAATAATAGCACCATAACATAATTTAGTTTCACACACAGTTTTTAGTGGGGCTTTGTGTGTGTGCGTGTGTGTGATACAAAGAACAAACAAGATCAAAATTAAAACAATGGAAATTAATTACTAAAGTATTAATAAATAAAATCATAAAAAAATTCTTAATTAATGAAATTTTGTTTCACAATCAAATTATGAAGTTTGAATTTATGTAGAACATATTATCGAAATGCCTTTGTAAAGTGGAAATTTTGGAGAAGTCGTCTAAACAAGTGTAAGGTCAATTAGTTACTATAAAGTATACTCTGATGTTGATCTTTGACTGCAACAATTTGTGATCATCTTCACTAAAACCTCTAGTTTATGAAGACACACTTTATTTATTGCCTTCCATAATAAATTTGAGCAAAATAAGTAAAAATGAGTTATAAATTATACAAAACTTTCACAATATTTAAGAAGATTTTCCATTGTTCAAGAAATTCTACTAACTCACAATCAAAAGAAACGAAGAATATATTTGAAAAACTTATTCACAAAGATTCTATATATTTATTTAAATTGGGTTAATATGAATCTCAATGCATAAATCAAGCGAATACGAATCTCGATTTTTTGACTTTAAAATCCTGTAAATAGGAATCTGGATGCTTCATTTTAAAATCGTACAAATACCAATTCCAATGTACAGTTTTAACTCACTTGGACACGAACCATGAAAGTGGTTTTCAAATCGTGTGCATGTGAAACACGATATTTGATGTAAAATTGTAAAAATACAAAACACGATGTGCAATTCTAAATTGCGAAAATAGGAATCGCGATATGTGATTTTAAATCATGTGAATGTAATTTTAAATAAGTTTGCATTGGTAAGAAAAAGTGTGAAAATCAATATTTGTTTTCCTCTTGAGTAATAGTTGAAAAATTTCTGTGTACGTCATTCACACTTTCGTCTATATTATACGGGCCTGGTCATGTTAATATCCTTAAAAATCATAAAACAATAAGCAAGCAATAGGTACATAGGCTAATAAAAAATATAAATACTCACCAATTGGGCATAAGTACTGAGTAACCAAAAGTATTGGCTACAGCTTTTACAATTATCTGGCACATCATGGGACAGCATGTCTAGAAGATGGATAATAATACTGTGCAAGTTTGGAGAAGTCTGTAATCAATTTCAAAGGAAGTCTTTTTAAGTAAGGAATAAAACTATACAATGAAGGAATTTTAGTAATTTAAAATCAAAACAAAGAACATTTTTAGCACTTTAAGGTACCAATTAAAAATAATTAGAAGCAATAATAAATTCTTCAGCTGCTGAGAATGAATAAAGCTTCTCCAGGGTTCATGCTCTACTATAAAAATAAAATTCAAGTACTTTTCAAGGACTTTTTAAGACTTATTATAAAATTCTCAAGGACTTAAATTTTAGTTAAAGATAGACTAAAATTTAACATTTTAAACTAAAATGTTTTGACGATAAATGTTAGTCGATAATAGCAGTACTGAAAAATAAGACTTCCATTGCTCTCTCTTGATTTCGGAAAGTGATCTAAGTATATATATAAAAAAAAAACAAGGGTGATTGGCATCAAGTCGAGAATAAAATTCATGATGCATAAAAACGTCAGGTTTGAATTTTGCATTAAGGCTTATTTTAAGCTAGGTATACAAAGTCTGAATAAGCAAAGATTCGGGCAGAAGACGGGGTAGGGGGGATTGTTCTATATAATACTCTGATATCAATTAGATATTTAAAAACTACTCTGCGGGAGACTTTTATTTAATATTTAAAGTGGCAGAAGCATTTAGGCAGTGAAATTTAAATTGTTCTTAAATATAATTTTGAACTTTCGACCACTTTTCTATTTAAGAAAATTAATCAATTATTGGATGTTGCAGCTTGATTATCATTTTAAATTTATTACCAGTCAACCATTTTAAATTGAAACAGTTGCAAACTTTCACCTCAATAACTTCTGATGGATTCTTAGTAACAATTTTGGTCACTGACTTTTTTAATTAACCACTCATACTTGAATTAGCTTTTTTTCAGTAGCATCGATCATACGCACTTGCCATGGTCATGTGAATATGAATTGCAACGAGTAGTTTTCAAATCGAGTATAAATACGAAAGCCGCATAATATACGTTGAGTATAATACGTTTGATATCGCAAAATGCGTGAATACGAATAGCGACATTGGATTTTAAACTCGCGGAAAAACTAATTGCACTGAAAAAAACGCTTAAGTACAAATTGCGATATTAGATTCTTAAATTGCTTTAATGGGAATTGCGAGTACGATTTTTGAATCACGCGAAAACGAATTGCAACACCAGGCATTAAAGTGGACAAAAATAAAAAAAGCTGAACTTTTACAACACAGGTCACTAGGAGGAGGGGGGGGAGTGCTCTATATGATACTGGGAGATTTTTATTCAATATTTAAAGTGGCAGAAGCATTTAGACAGTTAACTTTAAATTTTTCTTAAATATAATTTTAAAATTTTGATCACTAATATATAAAAAAAAATTAAGCAATTATAGGAAGGCTCGACTATTAAATTACTTACTAATGAAAAATATATCATATCTTTACAGTAACTAATTCAAGAGAAAGCTTACTTCTACTTCCTTCAAGAATCGCGATTTCGGATTTTAAAACCGCGTGAATATGAATCGTGCTGTTGGATTTTAAAATCGCGTGAATATGAATCGCGATTTTGGATTTTAAAATTGCGTGAATGTGAATCATGCTGTTGGATTTTAAAACCGCGTGAATATGAATCGCGATATTGGATTTTAAAATCGCGTGAATATGAATCACGATATTGGATTTTAAAATCGCGTGAATATGAATCGCGATTTTGGATTTTAAAAACACGAAAATACAAATCACGATATTGGATTTTAAAATCGCGTGAATACAAATCACGATATTGGATTTTAAAATCGCGTGAATATGAATCGCGTTTTTGGATTTTAAAATCGCGTGAATATGAATCGCGATTTTGGATTTATAAAATCCCGTGATTACGAATCACGCTGTTGGATTTTAAAGACACGAAAATACAAATTGCGATATTGAATTTTTAAATCGCGTAAATAAGAATCACGATGCATAATTTTTAGATCACGTGAATACGAATCGCAGTGAGTAATTTTTAAATAGCGTACAAATACGAAAAACGATATCTGATATTACAACTGCGTGATAACGAATCGCAAAATTGGATTTAAAAATGCGTGAATACGAATCGCGACGTTGGATTTTAAACTCACGAGAATACAAATCGCGATATTGGGTTTTAAAAACGCTTAAATACAAATCGCGATATTGGATTTTGAAATTGAGTGAATAGGAATTGCTAGTACGATTTTTAAATCGCGTAAAAAAATTGCAACACGTAAGTTTTAAATCAGTTAAATACAAAAATCGATGATTGATATTAAAATCGTTTGATTAAAAATCGCGATTTTAGCAAATTCCGGTGCAGTTCCTAATATTTAAAATTCCAAAAATCAGCCAAACAAAAAAAAATAATCAAATATCGGCGCTTGTAACGAAACGCTTAGACTCTTTCCACTCTATAGCAGAAGTCGCGGTAATCCGACTATCGTTCGGGCTGCTTGGGTTTCTCCAATAGGACTTCCCAAAAATTTTAGTTTTTGGAACATGGTTGGAAATTTTCAAAATTGGAGAAAAAAAAAGCGGATTTCCGCTTTTTCGTGGAAGTCTTTCATCCCTGCAACACATAATTTTTAAATAAGTCTAATACGAAGATCGATGATTGATATTAAAATCGCCTGAATAAGAATCGAGATTTTGTCAGAATCTGGCGCAGTTCCCAATATTTAAAATTCCTAAAATCAGCCAAACGTACATAAAATCCTAAAATCAAACAGTACGTGTCATCATCTGAAAGACGGAGAAGTCATTCTCTCACACTTACGCGCGTCAAAAAGTTAAACATAGAAATACTGGAAATAGGGCTGTTTTCCTGAGTTTTCGATACTTTTCAAGATCATTTCGAAATTTTCAAGGACTTATTATCATTTTCAAGTACTTCTAGGGGCCCTTGAAAATCAAAATGAAATTCAAGTACTTTTCAAGGCTTTTTCAAGGCCGCGGGAACCCTGTTCTCTTATTGAACAACAGTAAGTGGCAGAAATTAAAAATGTTTGATATAAGTAAATAAACATTTGCACTAATTCTCTAAATTTAGCAATATAATAAACACTTTAAATAGCACTAACTAATGGAGAAAAAAATTTTACATAGAAAAATACTGTTAGCAATGATGATATTTTGAGCATAAAAGCATCTTAGCATATGATATTGACATGGCTATATTGATTTGTTTACTTTGACCTAAACATAAATATTAAACTAAACTCAGCGGCGCTACAGCCCGTAGAGGGCCAAGGCCTACTGTGCCCATCTCAGTTTTCTTGACCTTGGGCTCTGGGGTGCAGGAGCAGATGTTCTGGTTAGGTGGTCAGCCGAACGCGGAACCCCCAGTGTTTAGTTCCCAAGCATGCTTGGTACTCATTTATCGACCCACTGAAGGGATGAAAGGCTGAGTGAACCTTGCCCGGCCCCAGGATCGAACCAGGGACCTGTGGCACGACAGCGCGAAGCGCTTCCGCTCAGCCACCGGGCGTCAAACATAAATATTAATGACACCAAAAGGTTGTCCCTTTTTACAAGATTATTAAAGATCATTTGTTTGCTAAACTTTTATTTTACAAACATGCTTCAGAGCCTTGCTATTACCTAAAATCCGCCTGCATAGTAAATAATTCTTTGCTTAATTTAGGAGAATTATAATTTTAAAGAAATCTTTTTTTTATACTAAAATTTATGAAACAAAAGCAAAAAAAATTTCCTGCACATATAAAAAATCTATGGTAAAAAGTACTTACTTACTTAAAGTTATCAATATTGGTAATTGACATTTGGAAATCTATGTTATTAGAATAACTGAAAAACGCATTCATTTTAACTAACTGTTGACAATGAAAATTAATACAATTTCACACGATTATGTTTTAATACGCTCTTTTTAAAATGCACTATTCAAAAATTTTATTTACCCATTTAAAAATAAAATTTGTCAGTAATGAACAGAAAAAGTGCAATGGCACAGAATCTTGTTTTCAGTGGTAAGAAGTTTACGATTAAAGTAGATTTGCATATTAAAGGAATATAAATTGAATATATTCCTTGGAATATAAAATATGACTTAAAATAGCAAACAACTAACTGAACTAAAATAGCAAACATTAACTGAATAAACACAAGCAATTTATTTTGCAAATACCACAAAATTATATTTTAATGATTTATAACAGAGAATTGGAAAGAGAAAAAGATTATACTGAAATAGATAAAAAAAAAAATATAAGCAAAAGTCAAATTTACACATTTAATAATAAATTTGGTTGATTCTATAAATTGTATGTTTCGTAAATAAAGTATTTTTCATGTTATATACCAATTATAACAAGCAGATAAATTTTTAACTAGCAGCATAATTCTTATTATTGCAAAAGAGTAATTTGATGTATACTAACAATTAGTAAGTATTAAATGCGATGAAACTGAATTCCATACACTACTAAATAGTAGTCTTTTAACTTACCACTTCGCCATCATGACGAAGAAAGTTTGTAATACCCTTTTCTAAAATCCTAGCAAACACTTGCCTCACTTCTCTACATGGACAGTCTAATAAAAAAGGCCTGAAAAAGAAAGTAACTAAATAACTCAATATACATTATTAAATAAAACATTGAATTTTAGAGACCATTATCAAATACTGAAAATATTTTCCCTCTAAAAATGGTAATGCTTTTGGAAAAAATTTAATTCATTAATCATCAATAGTTTTTAACATTTAAAACATTTAACTGAATTTGAAAAAAAAATAAACTGACTTATCTAAATTTCTTAGGAAAAGAAATTCCAAACAATTGTTTCGCTATGCATGTCTTTTTTTTTTGGGGGGGGGGGGGGGGGGCAAAAAAANGGGGGGGAGGGTGCAAAAAAAATAATTTTTATTTACATAGCTACCAACCTGGTAAGAACAAAAATAGAAACAAAAAGCATGATAACCCAAGGGGTGATTTTCATTCGAAGTCAAAAATTCTAAAACTTCTAAGAGCAAAAATTTGATGTCAAGATACCAATTTATATACCATACACGTTCACATATAACATAATTTTTTGAACTAACATTTGTAATTAAATTCCTTACTAATGAAGAATATTACACCTTTATAGTAAGTAAATAAAAAAAAAACTTACTTCTCACAAGAATTGTGATGTTGTATTTTAAAACTGTGTGAACACAAATTGCAATATTCAATTTTTAAACGAAGTAAATACGAATCATGATGCATAATTTTTAGATCGTGGGAATAGAAATTGCAATGCATAGTTTTCAAATCAGGTAAAAACAAAAGTTGATGTTTTATTTTAATATTGCATGAATAAGAATTGCGATATTAGCAGATTCCGGTGCAGTTCCAAATATTCAAAAGGGCCAAAATCTGCCACATCAAAATAATCAAATTGGTGGAAGAATCACATGTATGTAAACGTCTTGTTAACCGGATTTAGCAAAAGTTTCAAATTTGTAAGTTTTTGATTTACGGAAATCCGCGATCTTAAGATATGCCAAAGTCCGCGATATTAGCAAAAAAATTACATGCCCTGTTTTTAGTTTTTAGACACTGGATAATGATACAAAAAAATTTCCTAAATGAAAAGAAATTAACTCATTTTTTTATATGTACAGATAGATACAAAACCGACAGTTAGATACAAAACTTAGACTCCTTTTAGCGTTTGATCAATAGAACTCTTGGAAACAAATCACATGAATACGAATTGTGAAGTTTGATTTTTTTTTTTTTTTTTTTTGAATATTTATCGGAATCTGAAGTTTTTGAAACACATGTAAATACAAATCACAATGAGTGACTCTTAAATTGCGGAAATATGAATCGTAACGTTCGATTCTAAAAAAGCGAGAATAAGAAATTCAATATTGGATTTTTAAATCACGACGTGAGGTTTTTTAATTATTCAAATCATATCATATTAATTATGACAGAAACATAACTTTGAATGGAAATATCATATTTCCTTAAAGGCAAAATGAAAAACAATTTAAAGTCTATTCTCAAGAAAACTAAAATTTTGCTCTTTCACTTTTCATACTTTTTAACAGAAGTTTTGAAACAATTTACTTTTTCAAGCCAGCTTTTCAAAAGCTTTTTTGTCATATGTATGAAACTTTATCTATAAAAGAAGGATAATTTTTTAAACACTTTGTTAAAACTTAAAGTGATAAAAAAAAAAGTAAAACAGAATGTCTATGTCACTTCTCTTCCACGTGGCCAAATATTAACCTTTAAATTCCTGTCAAATATAAACTTTTAAAATCTACATGATTATGCATTTTGTAGCATGCAAAATATACATTAAGTTTTTGGAAGGTACTTAAACTTTAGCAATATTTACTTAATTGCAGTTACTTTAATAATACACAGTACACAGAATAAATGCGTAAAAAATAAATAAAAGCAAATGTCTTAACAAATTTTAATTATACTTACTTTAAATAGCTCAAACCAGCATCTGAGCTGAAAAATTCGATAAACCAAAACGATGATTCCTGGCAATGAGTCATAACTTTTTCAATAAAATCTACCATATCATTCATAGTATCACTGAAATGAGAAGTTTAAAATATTTCAAAGTCTAACTATCATACCAAAAATATCTACAAAGAATAAACAATGCAAGATGTTGGTTAAATTAAAAATAACTTGCCATGCATTTTTTATTAATAGCATAACATATTTTCTAAATTTTAATTTTTTTTATATCATAAATTTATATTCATACTTAATCATTCCTAATCCTTTTCAAATTTTTTTTTAATCTTCCTTTTTATGTAGCTTTGTTTCAAGGCAAGTGTACAACTAATTATTATTCAATTTCACAACAATTATTTATTATTCAATGTCACACCAACTAAATATCAAAAGTCTATTATTAATCTTACTTTCTTCAACCTTTGTAATAGTATCATACACATTATTAGGTTTACTTCAATAACAAACTACTTGTGGTTTAATTTTTTATAACAAATTATTTCAAAATTAACTTTATATATCATGGAATGGTCACAATTAGTGCGACTTTTGGCAGTGTTCATTTTCAATAAAGTGACAGAAAAGAAACTCTTTCCTTGTTCTGAAGCATTAGTTAGTAATCACTTCTTAATTATCTTCATATCTATTCAGTTGTGAGAGTTTTTTAAAGCTTTTTGTAACCTATTTCAAACAGTCATTTTCTAAAAATATATCATTGTTAATGATTATTCTAAATCCCCTAATACTAAACTTTAAACTTTTTCCTACTGATAACATAATCTGCACATAATTAATTCATACTTAAATTTCACTCCGTCATTTACAAGATTAAAAGATTTAAGCCTACCTTGTACGCTTCTTGTACCGCAAATAAGTGTTCAAAAGGAAATTTAGACTAAGTGGCATCAGGCTATTTACGGCATAATATGGAAAGTTGGGAGCACTCACAAGATCCTAAAAGACATGAAACAATGAAACATTCTTACTTCAGTCATAGAATAATTATCATAGAATAATATAGAATAAGAATCAATTACAATTTTAACAAAAATAATAATACATAGCCTTAAAAAATTAGTAAGCCTTAAAAAATTAGTAAATAGGTAATTTTAGTAAATAAAAAATTAGTAAATTTTAAAAGCTTCCATATATTTCATAGTTGGAAAAGTAAGGAAAAAAATAGGAAAATTTAAGGTAGTTAGTATTCCTATACTCACATAAATAAAAATCATTCACTTCATTTATTTTTTAAAAAAAAATTACAAATGAAGAACTTACAACATTGGCAAAGAGCAGCTTGCGTATAAATAGGAAGTAGGAATCATTATAAATATCACAATTGTGCATAAAGCGTAAATTTTCGTCCTGGACAACTTGTTGTATCCGAGCTGGCATTTTTTCTAAAAACAGTCCATGCCTTTCACCTCTGTCAACCAGCTGAGTCAATTGACTCAAACTATCTCTTTGTCTTTGTGGACTGTTGTGCTGCAATGGTAGTTGCTTCTTAGGTGTTCTAAAATTATTTCATAAATTTATATGTATATTTCATTAATGTACGATCATACATGCATACAGATTTAGATAAAATGAAAAACTTTCAGAGAACACAAAATCTCATTAAAAATAAACTTTCTCTATACAACTGATTAGCTCTTACAACAAGTTTCAACCCTGTCATACCCACCTAATTTTGACTAAATTTTAAAATCACAGATTTTGTTTAAAACATGGTTTATTTTTCTTCTAAAACTCTATATTGATTATTATACATACCAGCAAGACTGAAAGTCTAATGCAATGACATACTCATGAGAAAGCTGTGCAAAACAAAGAAAATCTCATTTCAATTTCTGCCAGATTGAACTGTGCGTTAGGATAGGGGATATTTACCTTTATTTTTTCTTTTTTTTTAAGAGTAATACTGACAAATTATCCCTGATGATGAAAAATATTAGATGCAGGGTCAAAATAGGAGAGCTTTGACCATTTTTTTAATGGGAATTACTAAAAAAATTTCTGCAATGAAGAAAAATATTGTCTGTGAGGTAATATGGGAGAGTATTGACCAAGTTTTATTTCTAATGAGTAAAAATAAGTTTTGATTTTTTTTTTAATAAGGAGTAATACGAAATTTTTTTTTGCAATGATGAAAAATATTGACTGCAGGGTAAAATAAGGGAGTTTTGACCCTTTTTTATAATGTTAATACTAAAAAATTTCCACATTGGTGAGAAATATTCTAAGAACAGTGTTTGAGCCTATATATACTATACATACCTTCATATTTTTAAAAGGAAAAAAATTACATATAAAATGTCCACTCACCATTAAAATCATATTCATTTCAAGAAAACTTGATTTCAAAAAAGCAGGTGATTTTGTAACCCAACATATTTACACACACATAAAAAATGGTTTCAAAGTTAAACTTTAAAGTACACTAAAAGCTAAATTAATTACTATGTTTATATTTTACTCTATCTTAACTAACATTTGACACAATACTTAATTAAGCAAAAGCTACATTTTATTAATTTACAGAAGGAAGAGTCTTAAAATATTGATGCATTATTGTCTTGATAACTAAAATGTTATATTAAAGATTTAAAATCTTTATTCTTTAATTTATTGCTGATAAACAAAGTCTAAAAAAGATTTTTAATTTACAATATTACCTCCTCTTTGCTCTATAGTTGATCTTAAAACTTCAAGAGTTTTTCTGCAATCTATTCAAGATCGGTTTACGCCATTGAATGATTGAAAGAGTGTTGGTCATTGACATTGAATATAAAAGAACATTTAATATCTTTTAATTTATTAGCAGTTTTTACTTGAATTCTCTAACGCAAGTTTGACCCCATAATTTTCGATAAAAAGGCAACCCATACTGTAGTTTTGCTCAGTTTGTTTGTGGAGAGTAAATTCATAAGAAGGTAAATTCTTAGTATTTACACAAGAAAAAGCAGGATTTCTTCCATTTTTAAAAAATATCTTTTTGGTTTGATGAAAACAGTGATGATGTTTTAAAGGGTGATTTCAATATGTTTAGATATAGTGATGCTTCCTTCGTTGGAGCTTTTCTTTAAAAACGCAGCTAATAAAGCAGTCATTTTATAAGAAACAGTCACTGTATAGGTAGACAAGTATAAAGTGACCAAAAATTATCATTCCAACTTCGCTGAGTAATAACACAAAGATAAGTACATTTTTTTCTACATCAAATACGATATGATAGAGATCCTAAATAACAACAACCACTGAAACTTGATGATTTATTTTCACTGGAAATACACATTCAAATAAAATTCATAATATTAAACCTCATAATCTTATAATTTATATCAATAATTTATAATTATGCTTTTTCATTGTACTATTATACTTAAAGCTAATGAAAAGTAATTCTGAATATACAATTTGAGGTATCAGAATGTAACTTTGATATCAATTTAAAAATGATGAAGTAATATATCATAAAAAACTATTAAACTGCATACTGTGCTTTATATATTCCATGCACTATAAAAATTAATAAACCTGCACAATGACTTTAGTGATAAAATCTATTAAAGCTAATTAAAATTCTTTATAGAGCTAAGCAATGTTATTAAATAGTATAAGCAATATTATAAAAATTCTTTACCTAGAAAGATTAGAAAACTCTTCAGATTTTCGAAAAGAAAATTTATTCGGAGTCTTTCGAGGTGTTCTTGGAGTTTTTATAACCTCGTCTAATTTTTCATAAAACAACATGTATGCATTCCAGTACCTTTGCCTAGTTTCAGGATAAGAGCTGTCTACAAAAGAATATCTCCATATAAGCATTTAAATGGCTTCATTTATATGAGTAGCAAGAAAATTTTATATTCTAGGTAAATTTAAGTATAGAATATAATTCATGACTTAAGTTTCACTCATACAGAAGAATTGGATATTCTACTTTTATATGGGCATTAAAGCTTTGAATACAACAAAAATATCAATATATCAATATTTTTTTAAGATAAGATTTTTAAGATTTTATTAGCACAAAGTTAATTCTACATTTATTATAAATATTTAAAAGATGATTTCACATCATATTCCAAAATACATAGCCTTGAAAGAAAGTTGTTTTGCTTAAATGTGTAGTCAGTAATAAACACATTTCAAACTTAGCCACCTTTAAAATATGAATGATCAACTAATTTTTTACATAATTTTTTTTTTCAATATCAAGAGTAAAATGTTGAGATATCTTTCCGAATTTCTTCATTCTAACAGCATAATGGCTTTTATTTTAGATAATGTATTTCAGAAAAACAAACCTGTTTGCATACTATTTACATTTGCTGGGATACTACACAAACACAGAGCAAGATAAAATTGACATAAGTTATGTAGATCAGACATGTGGTTGTTGAAAGAAGAAATTATCTGAATTTTCTTCATGATAAGATAGTTTCTTTTTCCAACAAAACAGTTTTAACTCAATGATTTTTTTTCTCATTTTAGTGCTTAATTTTTCTTTAACATAAATGAATAATAGACCATATATTTTTTTTTTTACCCATAACTATCATTTAGGAAGAAAGAGAAAAAAATTTTACACAATTAATTTCTTTTTGATCAACACATAAAAGAATATATATTCAACTACTATAGGTGATATATTCCCACATTTAAAATATATATTCCTCCCTTTTTTTGCCGAAAAACAATATTGCTAGATCAAAAAGTGACTGATCAAAATTTCACATATCATCATAAATTTTACAAGAAAAATACAGGAGTTTTAAAAAAACTTCAGAAACTTCAAAGCAATAAAAGCCAATAAAATGATCAAAACACCTCATTGATTTCTATGACTGTATCAGCAAAAATTTGGCTTGTTGAAAATTGATTACTCTAATGTGAGGTTTGAAACTTCTGTGTCGCAATATATTAATAATATTAATTATTGAATGTAGTGAAACAAAATAACAACAATGATTTTAAAAAAATTCGGATACAAATTGAAATTTTTAACAAAATAGCCATTGTTAAATTTTAAGCTTAAAAAAATTCAGAAAAGAACATCATTAAATGTTTCATGCAACAATCTTTTGAATGTTTGGAATTTTGAAATTACTTTTTACACTGTCAATTTTATACTTAGGTTTCTGCCAAGTCAATTCCAGCCAAAGCCATTATTAGGAAAATCCCTTCTTTTCTTATTAATTCTCTTGTGCTCAACTGAAATGCATTTTACTCTTACAATTCTCTCTTTTTTTATATCTGCATAAAAAATAACTTTCTTGCGTGAACAAGGATTCCGGAAGAAAAAAAAGGAACATGCTGGTAAAAAAAGAGGAATAAATATCTCAAAAAGAGTATTTCATGATAGTTACGAAATTTAAATTAAAGATCAAAGAATTCTGAAAATTTTTTTATCAGAATCAACAGTCTAGATTCGAGAAATTCCATATTTTATCAGAAAAATCACATACTTGATATAGATTAATGCAATCCATAATTAAATGTTTTTAATTATTTAATAAATAATCAGTTAAATAATCAAATCAAACTCATTAAAGAAAACAAATAAAATAAATGAGGAACAATAATAAAATATCACTTACTTGAATCTCGAACTTTAGCTTTATATGTACCACCAAAACATTCTGCTTCAATAGTCATATCATTCATATCCACATCCTCAACAGTTATGTCATTAAACTTGAACCATTTGGAAAGTTTGTCTCCAGCATCTAACCTAAAAATGAAAGAAAAAAGCTTGAATTGTTCTCACTTATAACCATCATTTATGAGCAAATTTTTAAAAAAAGGTCATTAACACTAAACATACCATAATCGGTCAAATGACCGCTTAAGAACTTTTGCATTGAAAATGAGCTTATAATCTTATCGTTTTGGCACATTTGACTTTATGACTTTTTCTAACAATTGTATACAGTTAATATTCTATTATTATTTTTTTTGTATTTTGTTTGCTTCGAATAACACTTGTCGTATACCTAATTCTACCACAACTGGTCATTTGACCGGGAGAACAATTTATTGCTTTATACGGTTATCGGATCAGGATCAATTACGATGTAATGCGTGTTCAACATATTGCATTTGATAAGTTGCACGTTTCTGCAAAGACTGTTGTGCAGTTAGCTCAATCAGATTAACTGTGAATTCAAATTTCAAGAAAGTACCTAAAATTTTAGTTGGCCCTTTTGTGTAAGAAAAAGTGACAAAAACTAAATGTTTTGGTAAGTAGCTTATATTTTATATAGATAGTTTTACTTCATTTCTAACTAACTGTTAGTTTTTACCCAGAAAAATCTCAAAACAATCAAGACAGCACAAGTTCTAAGAAGAAATAATATTAATTATAAGAATAATTATAAGACTTATAGAAATAATAATAATTAGAAGAAATATGTCAGCAGAAAATACACAATGGAAACACCCTGTATAAGTAAAAAAATGCAATGAGCAATGAATTAAAAATTCTTATTCTTTGCGTTTGTAATACATAAAAATTGGCAATATACAATTTCGTTTAATTATATTAAAGTTTTTTTAGTTTATTTCCTTCCTAACACCCATAATTCATATATTCAATCAAGAAACAAAGTCCGTCATTTGACCGGTTATGGTAGAAATAGGTATATATTAGGTGTTGGTATGTTTAGTGTTAAATAAAACTAAATATGAAAAAGCAAAGCATTTATACAACAGCCAATTTTCGTCCAAGGGGATTTATGGAAGTTAAGTCTGCACAATCTTGTAACTAATGGCATAATCGGTATTGCAGACCAACTGCCATTACTTCGCAGACAAGCTGATACTCATTGATGCAGTTGGATAGGGTTTCAGCTGCAATTAGGAATTGATCCCTCATACTAATAGCTCTGTGTAATAAATATAAACTGAAGAAATTTTTTTGATAAAAATATTACATGAAAGTAATAACTTTTATTCGAAATCTATAAGCAAATTTCTAAACTTTTGATGTTTTCAAACTCAATACTTCTGAGTATTCAATAAAAATGAAAGAAATTCTCTTATAGTAAGAGTATTTAAGAAAAGACAATATTTTTTATACAGTACACTGAAAAAAAAAGCATTTAAATTTTAAACAGATTTTTTGGTATGAAGAAAAAAATACCTTCTTTCTTTGATGTAACTGTAATAATGTCCAGCATTAGCTTGCCCGCTATGTACTAGTACTCCAACTAATTCATACATTGAGTTCCCTACTTTAGTAGGAGTTCCTGTAAAAGCAGGTACAACTTGATCATCACTATCATTGTCACTTTTTGAACTTTCTTTCTCATGAATACCTTCAGCTGTATAAGGTTGCATGTCCAATTTCCAAGGAAACTGTTATAAAAATATTAAAATTTTAGCGTCAAATTAAACAGCTAAATTATAAGACTTTTCAACATGAGGAAAAACTAAGCGTTTTTCAATGAGTCAAAAATTATTTGAAAGAAAATATCTTTTTTTTCCATTAAGCATTGAAAGTAGGAAATCTAAAATTATATAAAGTGCAAAAAAAGAACAAAATAAACTATACAGTAAGAGGTATTATAGGAAATCTATGTTTGTAAAATATCACAATTTACAAACATTAATCCATAAAACAGACTTTAAACAAACAATAAATACTATAAAATAGAATATGAAACTAAGAAATACCGTACCTTAAAGTAATCATCAAATTTTAGGGATCTGTTTGACTCCCAATCATAATCAAATCTTTTTAACTGAATAACCAGCACTGGAGGTAAATTTTTGATGCAAGTTCTTTTAATAGTGTTGCGCTATTTAAAATATACAAATTCACAATTATAAATTTTTAATGAACAAGGTACTTAAAAAACACATGAATAAACAGAACTTAATATTTGATATCATATGAGAAACAAAAACTTTGAATATACTTTCTGACAATAATTAACTATTTTACAAACTTTTAACTGGTCATTTAATACAATGGATTAAAAATGCAATAATTCAAAAAAATTATTTATTATAAATAAAACTTTCATTTAATACAATTAGATACCAGCAACTGATATAGCGTTGATCAGCCAATGAAGTTCTGTGACTTTGCTTAGAAGTATCCAATTAAATCTGATCCAAAAAATCATTCAGAAGAGTGATATTAAAACTGTGCCTTAAAGCTGAAATATTAACATGCCATGCACAACCATGTGGTTAGATACAATCATGTGATTAATTGCAAGTACCCAGTCTTAAAAACAAGCACATTTAATTAAATTTTCAATTCTCATGTGTGTTACCTTTTCATGACATTTTTCACATAAATAAGCATTGGGACCTTCAAGAAGTTCTCCTTTCACAAAATGATCCAAAGAATCAATAAGATTTTGACTCTTAATAGGCAAGTTCAAAGCCATAAACGTTTCTTCTCTTTCATACCTAAAATAATATTCCACTTTTAATTCTACAAAATTAAAAACATAATAGTACAAACAAACAAACAAAATATAAAAACTCTGGAGGAATTTATGGAATAAATATTGGTACACTTCATTTCTTATCTGCGGAAGCAATAACGGACAATAATTATAAAAATTAAGTTCTTGTAAATAGTAGTAATTCACTAGTCAATAATATTAAACAATGTGGCCTTACATAAACAATAGTCTAGATTTGAATTTGGAGTATCATGGAATTTTTCTGAATAACAGATTGATATTATTTATGTTATTTAACATAAACAGAAGCTCAGAAAAAAAAATATTTATATTAACTAATTCAAAAACATCAACATAGATGATGAAAATTAAACTTTACACAATAGTAAATGAAATAAATTATTTTCACATAGAAACTTATAACTTCATAAACATAATTAAGATTCCAAATCAAATAATAGCTGAACAGATTTTACAATGAGATATCTTTATTTGTAAAAACGAATGAAGAAACAGTATGAAAAATATTTTTACAGCATTTTAAGGGATGGTCTCACAAATTTTGTTAAAGTAACATAATTATCAATGCATAGTTCATTAACCATTTTAATTTTAAAAAAATGAAAAAAAAATTGATGAAATGTGAATGATGAATATAGTAATGAAAAAAGAATCAAAAAATATTTTTAAAGTAAACTTTTGGCAAAATCAATATTAAGAAAAAAGATAATACCTGTGAGGACATCCTTGGCATATTTTCTGATCAGAAAATGTCCCTTCATACTTAGGCTTAAAAACTGGATCCCATTCATTTTTAATAAGATATTCATCAACTTGATCTATCAAATGAGTAAAAAACTCAAATGCATCTTGCTGTTCTCGAACATTAATAGGCTGACCCCACAATCGAAAGCATTTCCAAAATTTTTCTGGTGCATGATATTGCAAACGAGACTCCAAAAGGTGGCCGAATACCATTTGAAATTGATAAAAAAGGCTGTAAATAAATTGAAGAAAAAAACACATTACAATCTTAAAATAAAATGTTAGCACAGAATAATAAATTACTAAGTAGTTTATAAAACGAATTGATATTATTTAAAATGATAAATATTAACATTATTTACCATCGCTAATATTTTTTTACTAAGCTAATTAAAGATTAAATGAAAGTTGGCTCATAATGCTAAACAATAACGTACTAAAGTCTTTTAAATAAAGCTACAGCATATTACTGAGTTTATAAAACTATTTAATCGATAAAAACAATTAAAATATCATGAATTTTCATTGTAAATATTTTTGTAATATAATAAATAAATAAAAAAGAGTAAAGATAGGTTGTTTTTAAAATGGATAAAATTTTAGGTTAAAAAAGCTAATGCAGACAAAAATCTGGTTTAAAAAAAAAAAAAAAAAAATAAAAAANGAGTCCAATTGATGTAAAAAAAAAAAAAAAAAAAGCATTTGAAAATTTTACTTTATTATTTCTAATATTACATTAATACTTTTAACTTAATATATTTCTAGAATTTATTTGAAGAGTTTGAATGCAAATAAATAGTAAAAAATTTAGCAATGTGTGCAATTTGTAGCTTAATGAACATGTAATTGAAATTATGCTTTATCAATGCTAAATGGTTTTTTTTTTTTTTTTTCATTTAGCTATAGAAAAGTCTTAATAAAATTATGAATGAATCAGTTTAAGAACTTTTATTGTTTTATAATGTAAAATTAGATTTTAAAAGTAAGGAAAAGAGACATCATTATCACATTAAGACAAGACACATATAATTTTATCAACTTTTAAATGACAATTACAAAATAATTTTTAGTACCTATTCAAGAACAGACCTCTATGCACAAAATTTATAAACTTTTTCAACACAATTTTAACTCAGCTGTAGAAAATATGCAATACTCCAAAATTATTTCAATTATATCAATATTTTATTGCCAATAAATATGCATTAACAAAAATGTTTTTAGAGCAGCAGAAACAATTCTGCAAATAAAACATACTAAATGTCTGAAAATTTATTTTTTTATCAACATTAATTCATTTTAAAAACAAAGCAGTCATCAGTTTCATGAACATTGCTGTTTAATAGAAAATCTATAGAATCCCTAAATTAAATTCATATAAACACAAAAACTTTGAATAGTTTACACAAATAAATAATGTTTATAATTAATTAGTTTTCAGAGACCATAACTTTTTTACGCATCTAACGAAAAGCAAGTTTACATATATATATAACTTTGATTTTTGCATTTGAACTATGATCAGTATCATAATTAGAACACACTTAATAAGTAAAATAAAAATTACACTTAAAAATTTTAATATTTACTCTTTGTAAGGTTTGATGATTTTTCAAGAATAATTTTTATTGATTGTGTTTTAATATTAACAAATTTTTTTATAGTTTTTAACATTAAATGTCTTTAAATATTACAATTATAAAAACAAATGCTTACCCATCCTCATCAGGTTCGTTTTCATCAACTGATAAAATGGCTTCTTTTATACCAGGTTGCATATATATTTGCTGAATAACTGAATTCATATAACAAGTTGCACCTGCATTCTTTAAGCCAACGTACCCACATGTAGCTCTGGCAGCCACTAAAGGTTCATACTAAAAATAAGCATTATGATTAAAAACAATAAAATAATCCTATTATGATTAAAATACTTAATCAAGTCGATAAGAGAAAAAGATATATAAAACAATGATGGCTAGAAGCTAAAAACAACAACTTATTTTCTCCCTTAAAAATAATTATATCACACATTATTATTACATATACTTACCCCTCCTGAAAATATACATATTCAATAAAGAACACATTAGGAACAAATATTTGGTTTACTAAAGCTGCATACTGCTTTATAGTTTCAAAGTAATCAAAAGTCTCTAAAAAGAATAGCGTTAAAACCCAAACTGAATGGACAATGAACGACTACAACTGTTTCATGGACTCAGCTGTTAAATCTATATTGATTAAAAATTTAAATTTTGGTTTCAGAAACTCCCTTTGTTTTTAAACTTAAATTTTACTTAAAGCATCATATTTATACATCAATTTATTATTAATTATAATAAACTAAACAAAAATAAGTAAAACTAATTTAATGAATTATTATCATAACTAGATTTAGGGCAAACTTTAACAAAATGAAATTTCAGAATTAATTTTTTAAAATAAAATTTTTAGTAAGAATTAAAGTAGACAAAGCGATTGTCTCAAATAAAAATTTACAAAAAAAAAATTGCAACAATCTGTAATTAAACTGAAATTTTATATGTACAGCTTAAAAAATAAGCAATCTAATACAATATATATAATAAATTAATAATTACTTAATTTTAAAATAAAATAATAGTTGAGTTTATTTCTAATCTAAATAAATACATTTTTACAGAATTAAAAAAATATGATGAAAATTAAAATAATAATTTATTATTGACTTACCACATTACATTAAAACACTCTTACTTCATCAAGAGTTATATCTTACAATTTTAGTTTCAAAGCAAAAACCATTACATAAAACATAATTTTTTAAGAATCCCTACAACTCCAAATATAATTTTTAATCTTTACTTTAATTAAAATGTTACTTAAACTCTTTAAACAATAGCTTTAATTTTTTTACTTATAATCAATCACACTTCAAATGTGTTAAAAACTAATATTTGTTATTGCATGATAGAAAGAAAAAAAAGAAATGTAACCGCGAATACCTCATATTCCTTAGCAAGTTCAGGCTTCATGCTATGATGCATAGATATTAGTTGTTTAGCAATTTTTTCCATATTTTCTGGGCACCCTGTAGCAAGTTCAACTAAAACCTCGAATGCAGCGATACAAGATTCTAAACTTTTACATCTAAAAATAATCATGGTTAAATAAAATACATTTCAACAAAAAATTGGAGAAAAGAAAATTTCAAAAATAAATTAAAACTTAGTTTATAACAAATAACGAAAGCAAAATTACATCTAAAATAAAGACAAGAAAGCAAATTTGAATTAAAATTTAATATAAACATGATGAACATGTTTTCAAAGCTACCTTAATAAAAGAGATATAAAGATCTAAAACTAAAATAAAAGAGATCTAAAACCTAGATAGTGTTTATGGATTTAACAGTATTTACTGTTTCTTTTACAATAGTTTTTTTAACGATATTTTAGTTTTCAAAACTACTTTCCCGTTTTGCTACATTTGTTATGATATTTAGGCAATGAACAGAAGACAATTTAAAAATATTAATTTGATTTTCAATTAGTTATTAATTTCTTTTTTTGGAAAAGCCTAGGTATGCAACGATATGTAGATTTGGTTAATTTTTGATTGAATTATTTTAATGCAAATACTAGGTTTTTAAGAGTTTAAATCGACAAAAATGTTTCATTTACATGAATTTTATTTAACAAAAACTGAAATTTTAATATAAGTGAACACTATTTAAAATAAATTTTAAATTATAAGACTAGGGCTTCAGGAAAGTGACCAACAAAAAATGACTTTGAAATTTAAAGTACATTTTATCACTGAATTGAATATCTTCCAAACATATCAAACTGAATGAATTAACATGGAAGTAACAGTTTTGTAATAAGAAAACATGATTTAGTGTAAAGAAAGACCAAAACTTTAATTCATAAGAATTTTATGTTAAATATTAACTGAATTTTATAAATATCAAGTATGTTTACATAATAAAATTATTGAAGAAAGAAAAAAGTTATAAAAATACTTAGGAGCAAAATCCTGTGAAGAATTCTTATTTGTACAAGTGCTGCCAGCTGATATCATGAGAGATGCAGGGAATAAAAAATTCATCAAAAGGTCTGGTATCAGTATTTTACCTAAAACAATATGTCTTAAAATAAGAAGATATTTTTAAATAAATAAGTATTTATGGTTTAAACAAAAAAAACTTAACTACAAATATATTATAACAGCTCAGATTACTTTTAATTTAAATATAAATGCATAAATCTTTTAATTTTGTTTAATGTATTTATAGTTTTAAAAAAAAATTTTTGGTAAGTTCACAAGCATGTATGACTTAATGGTTTAAAAAATCTTATCTATAATCAGTAATCACCAATATAGCACATTTTGCTAAGTGCATCACATATTTGAAAATGCAGCTAAGAATTGCAGCCAACAATAAATTAAAAACAAGAAATAGTGTTTTTGAACACCCTATGCCAAAAAATATGGCAATAAATTCGTAAGTAGGTTATTATTTTCAATAATGTACAAAATTTTATAAACCTAGATTAAATATATATAGAGATGTGAAATTGTAATTTTTTTTTTTTTTTTTTTTTTTTTTTTTTTTTAATTTGTCTTACGTGTTTTTGCGATAACAAAAATATTCAATAAAATTAAACAAAATTTTTGGAGCTAATTAAGTAGTTCTTTTATACTGCGCAAACAAGGGAAAAGGGTTTCTTTCCTTAGGCAATCTTATTTTAGTGTGTGAACATTTATTGCAAGGCATTATTATTTATTTAAATATGTCTTATGATACAAAATAATATTTGTAGAAAACCCTTTATCATTTTGAGTTTCTTTTAAAAAGTACAAAAACTACTTAGAAAATTGAGTGAAACTTTTTAAGATATTCCAATCGGACTTGTTGTATTAGTTGCCATATATGATTCTGTACAAAGCTAAGAAAAAAAAATTTAAATTTTCCTGTGCCTGAGCATTATAAAAGAGCTATTTTTATTACTCACATCATGCGCAGTTTTAAACAAATTTTTCTAAAATTTTAAAGCAATAATTTTGGAACTAATTTTAAATTGCTCTGAAAATTTTGTTTAATTTTATCGAATATTTTTAAAGTTATAGCATAAAAGAGTCAAACAAAAAAAATTTGCTTTTTAAAAAACGTCCACATTTCCACAAACATTTAAGCTAGGCTTATGAAATTTTGCTCAATTATTGCATACAATAACCAAAATAATTACTACAAGTTACAAATTTATTGTTACATTTTTTGGCATAGGGTGTTCAAAAACACTATTTTCTGTTTGTAATTTAATGCCAGTCCCTTAAATCTCTAAAAGCTTTAAACTTCATTGATAAGTATGAGAAATTGAATGATCTAAAAATTTCTGAAATTATAAACTGATTCTTTAAGTATTTCTTGAGAAATATTAAAAAAAATGTCTTAGTACAGAAGTGTTTTCATTATTTTGCTCACCCCTTTTACACATATATAGATAACTATTGAAAAATCTGTAAACATTTGAACCATAAATTTAAAAATTTACCAGCTTCTAGTTTATGTACACCATCACAAGTCAGAAGAGTTTTGATCAAACGAAAATGCCCAGCTAACAGAGCACTATCAGCAGATTGCAATGCCGGCAATGAAGAGGTTGAGAACCCTTGAAGCCATGTAACTTCATCTTCTATCATCTGTCTTGGATCAATATGTAGACCTTTCTGATCAAAATCTTAAAAGAAATTTTTAATTTATTCAGGAATAATGGTATAATGCATCATACGTTTTTCAAAAATGAATATTTTTATTTCATTAGTCACCTGTTAAGCCTTTTAAGAGTCTACATCCAAGTTCAAAATACTCCGTGCATTGAGAAAGCAGTCTAAAAAAACATACCATATAAATATTTTCCTTCCAATTATATAAATATATAAATACAATATCTATAAATACAATAATTAAGATAGTTAAGAACAGGTAACAAATTATTACAATCAGTAATGTCTTCAATAATAATTGATCAATTTTATGTATTTTAAGTTTCTAAAATAAAAAAAACAATTTTTGCATAAAATAAAGATTTATTATACATTATATTATAGAAGTAAAAATACTTCAAATAACAAACAGCTTTTAGTTGAACATCTAAAATTTACTATGATAGAACATAAACACCATATTACCATTTTAAACATAAATTTTTATTTTAACCCACTGGCAATTTAGCAAAATGGCAAGCTAATGAGAATGTTTCTCACTGATACACTATTTCCCTATCTAATAGCATAGAAAAACTGATTTTGCTATGCAGTGAAGACTGCATGTTAAAATTTGACTTTTTACATGCAGAACCGTCAGTGGGTTAAATAAACGCAAAAGAAGACATTAGGGTGAAAGGAATTAAATACAAGGTATCTGATACATTTTAGATTTTTAAATTCATGACTTTTCAGGACTAATTTCTAGAATTTTTCATGACTTAACGAAGTTACTATTTTTTCCGACAAAAACGCAACAAGAAGTTTAAAAACGCATTATAACAACATATATTGAAATGATAGGTATAACCAGAACTGTTATACTTTCCATATTCATATTTAAAGATTTTAAACTTAAAAAAACAGAGTAAAGAAAGAGTTGAAGCAATAAAATAGCTGAAAAAAATACAAAAGCAAATCATTTTTTTTTGCAGAATTATATTCTAAAGATACTTTTCTTGTTCTCCTGATTTTTCTGCTCTCATTTCAGAATTAAAAAAATTCGCTAATGACTGGCTTGCTTCAGCTAGAATTTTAAATTAATAAAATAAAAAAATAAAAAAAATAACAACAATTCTAAAATCACAGAAATTTAAAAGATAATTCGCTCTAGAGATGATGTTTTTTCTTTCATTTTTTGAAAGAACACAGTTTTTAAAGGACATGATAAAAACATTTTATATTTGAATAAAATATGACTGTGGGTGGGGATTTTATTACGAATTCAGATATTCAGAACACCATTTTAAAAATTAGATTTTTCACAAATTTTAAATTCCATTTTAAAAATTAGATTTTTCAGCGACCTAAATCTATGACTTTCCATGATTTTTTTTTTAAAAAAAATAGTTAAAATCATGACATTTCATGACAAATTTTGTACAATACCAAAATTCAGGACTTTTCATGACTTTCCAGGTACGCGGATACGCTGTAAATATAGACTGGAAAAAAAACACAAAAGTGATCTAGCTGCTGCACTCGCAGGTCTGATAAGTTAGAAATCTAGGATTTTAAATAAGAATCTAGGTACATAGAACATATCCATATATACATAGGACCCAAATCTACCTAACCTTTTGCAAGGTAACTCACCATTTTTCACAACCTGCATACTAGGCTTAACATACTAATTAACATTATGAGAATGGGGAAAAAATACATCAATAAGTGACACTCTACAAGATTAGTGTGCAGGTTTCACTGATTTAATAAAATAAAGCTGGTAACTAGGTCACAGCATTTGTTTATAAGTTACTTTAGTTTTCCTTTACATCTTCATGTATGAAAGGGTACTTTTTAACTCTCAAAAAATTAAACTTTTACAATTATCTTAAAAACTCAACCAAAATAATGTTATAAAACAAAATTATTAGTTTGTTTACAGAATTTTAAGCAGTTTTCCAAGATATTTACTTTTGACTATCTCCTCTGGTACAACTTGAAGGGACCCACAAAGGCAAGCGAGCTTTGAGCAAAATTCCTATTAAAAAATCTCGAGGATTTGGAGAAGAATTAATCACAAGAGAGCTAAGCTTGGTAAATTCCTCCAGAGCACACTGTCGCACAGCAATACTCGAAGAACACAATAAGACATCAATAACAAATTCACTAATACAAGGCAGCGCTGCAAATTTACCTAAAAGGAAACAGAAATATTTAGAAAAACAAGTAATTTAAGAAATTTGCTTTATATACAAAAATCTTTCGAAAAAAAACAAACTTTAACACGGTTACATATCTTTCAACAAAAAATAAGCACCTTTTAAGTACTTTGTAAGCACTCAAAAAATATTTTTAAGCACTATGTACGTTACAAAGTGCAAAATAATTTCCAAAGACCATATAATCATGATAAAATAATTAGTTTCTGACAGGAACTCTTTTCTTGATTACATTAACCACCATAAAAAGATCGAGAGATTTTTCAGTTCGATTTCAGAGGGTGGAAAATAAAGCCTGAAATTGAGAATATCTTGCTAACTACAGCAGATTTACACATGAAAGTGCAAGAATCTCACCGAACTCAATTCAATACATGCAAATGCTGACCCGCAAGTATTTCCTCTAACATGTAAAATGATTGGAGCTTTCATACGCTACGGACCGACGGTACGCCGAAATGCACTGTGTTTGAATGAATTGTGAAAACGTCAATTAGAACAATGTGAAAACCATGCTTTTGCATAATACGTGGTGAAAATCAACATGGTTAAGAAGAGAAAAAAAAAATTTGAAAAGGCAAACTTAAGCACTTTTTAAAAACACTCAATGAAAAAAGCACCTTTAAGGGCTTTTTAAAAAATAAAATTCGAAAATAAGCACCTTTAAGTACTTTTTAAAAATGCCACGCACCATGTTTAAAACAATAATAATAACAAAAATTGAAAATAAAATTTAAAACTAAAAGTATCATTATAAAAATGCTATTAAATATATAAAACATCGTACTGAAAACGTCTGTCCGTAATTTGATACAGGTAACCAAAAAATTTAATGCTTTGAGTGCAAGTCTAACATCTTTTTCTCCAACATGTTGCTGCTGGGCACAAACACCACCTTGCAATGTGAATCCATCACCATTGTCACTACCACTACTAGCATTACTACCTAAAAAAATAGAAAACATCTCTTAATATTATTTTTAAATAATTTTACATAGCTTGTTTAGATTTATTAATTTACTTAAAGAAACACTGTACATTTTTTCGTGTACCGGTAAAAAAAATCCTACAGTAGGAGTAAGTTGCATTTAGGGAGGAGGGGATAAATAGAAGAGGTGATGGTGATTTATAGAAAAAAGTTACTCCTTTAACTGATAGAGGACCAACAAGGTCATCATTATGTGACACATCGTTTTTTCCGAGGAAAACTAAACCTAGTTTCGAAAAGTGATCCTGCTTTGAAGATTGCAGTCTTTATTTTTAAACGTTTATTAAGTCTCTTAGTAAGATATACAGAATAATTATAAACATTGGTCTTATTAAATTTCAGATGTAAATAGACTGTAAGATGTAATAAGACTAATAAGTTTAGATGTAATAAGACTATAAGACGAAAATGTCTAGAGAAAAGCAAAAAACAAGCACAATTTAATTTTTAAAAATTCATTAATCGATAATATGTTGGAGTATTATTAACGGTTTAACTGGTAGAAAAAGATGCCTTGTCGACCACTCTACAGGCAATAGGAATTCAACTGTAGAGATGAAATTTGACATATTGAAGGAATCATTTTTATTTACAAAACTAATGTAAGTTTGTTTGTTTTTTTAAAGTTTTAATTTGTTTGAACGTAGATGCAATTTGAAGCGCTTTTCTTCAAATTTTTTTTCACTTTTCTTCGTTTTATGTCACATTTTGCTTGAAACTTATAAGAAAAACTTATTTGAAACTTATAAGATTTAGAAACTTGAAATTACGAAAATGTGTAGGAAAATGTACAAGGAGTTTGATGGAATAAAAAAATTAACTAATAGTTCAAGAGTTATAAACTGTTAAACTTGCAGATGTAAAAAAAAAAAAAAAAAAAAAAAAAAAAAAAAAAAAAAAAAAAAAAAAANAAAAAAAAAAAAAAGTAGGCTGATCTATTGTCTGTCAAATTGCAACTCCAAAGTTCTCAGTTGAAATTTCATATGTTGAAATGGCCATCTTCTTTCAGTAATAAACTGAATGCTTTTTTTTTTTTTAGTTTGTTCAAAAGTTATGATAATAATGATTATTTATCCACTGCAGTTGATGTAATGATCAAATCACAATTCAGGACTCAATCTTAATGATAATGGTTCAAGGGGGTATTTTCAAATATGATAATTAATCAGTGCAGAAGATATTTTAAGTTACGAAATCAGACAAAAAAAAACTTACATTCTCTGCATAAACATAACTTTTTTCGACCGATTCGGATTTTTACTCCCAAAACATAGGGGCAGCCACATTCTGGGAAATATGCTCCTGATGGTTTGGTCAGGAGATCAATCAAAAGTTTGGACCCCTTAATGTTAATTTCATTTTCTGCATATTTCAATTCAAAACTTTTTTTGACTATTGTTAAATAAAATACCAAAAAATAATAAATAATTATTAAAATTTATTTTTTGCTTGGACTTATCTTTGGATACAGAAATTTTATATTTGTGTGCAAAAAGTTTTCAATTTGCTTAAATATGGAGAAATAGGCAGAGTAAAATTAACATTATGGGGCCCAAACTATGGATCAATCTCTTGACAAAACTATGAGGACCATATTTCCCAAATTGCGGCTACCCCTTATAATTTGGGGGTCAGAAATCTGTATCCTTCGAAAAAAAGGTATGTTTATTCAGAAAAAGTATGTTTTTATGTCTGATTCCGCAACTTAAAATATCAGCTGCATTAATTAATTAACATATTTGAAATCACCCACTTGAACCATTAAGATTGAGTCCTAGAACGTGAAGATTTGATCATTAAATCAAAAGTTATTCAGGGTAATCTGCTTTTTTTTCTTTGTGCTCTGTACATTGTATATCAATGTACAAAAGTACAACTAATATGGACGTCATTTATAGCAACTTTTTTACAGTAAAATAACTGTCATATATAAGCTACATCAAGTAATGGCATATTTAAATTTCTAAATTATTTTTAAAACTTTATGAATCATTTTAATGTTTACTAATGCTATTTGTAAAATTGATATTCAGAAGATTAGTCTTGATAGTATTGAGGAGAAATTGTTGCTAACAATAATAAATGCAAAAATAAGCTTTTAAGCGTACTTATAAAAACACAAATTTTAAAAACTTGTAGAAGTTTTCAGCATGTTAATAACTACAGCAAAACTGGACAATAAATAATGATATCAGCACCTATCTGTTTATCAAATGATCCTAACTAGCAATATATTTAAAAAATTTACATCAATGAAATGTAATCAAAATCTATATAAACCTTTTAATTCAAGCCACTTATAATTTACTTTATTTTGCAAATAAGATCATTGACTTGCTTTCGCAAATAAGAATAATAGATATAACAGAATAAGAATAATAAAAATCAGGATAAAAAATTTTATTTACCAGTACTGCTCTGTCTACTCCTCCTTCCCATGCTAAAATGTGCATTCTCTTTGGAAGGTAATGCACAGTTTACAAGAAGTAAATTACCAGCTGCAGCAGCCCAAGACAAACGAACTAAACTTGACAGTGTAAGCAAAAGATCGTTAGGTTTTATGGTCTAAACGAAAAATATTCAGAGTTACTCATATTGGTAGATTTAAATAATTAATGACACTTTTTTATAAATTTTTTATCACACTAATTGGCATATGACACACTGAAAATAAAAAATCTTGAAATTCAAAAAACAAAAATGTCATCATTATTATTAGCTGTGATTCCCTATAATATGTGGATGGCTTCTTTAGCAGGTTATTAATGAAATATTTTGTTAAATTATATGTATACAGAAAAAGTAAACAGAGAAATAGTACATCAAAAATATATTAAAAACTACATCAAAAATAAGAAAGGTACACAAAAAAGAATAAATACTGCCATTTTTTATTAAGCCTGTTCAGAATTCGGGGAAAATGTTTTGTAAAATGTGCAAAATTCACTTGTATCAGAGTTGAATAAATAACATGGTATGGAACAAAATCAATACTAAGAGAGAATGTGTCAAAACTTATAAAATTGTGAAAATAGTACAAACATTGGAACAGACTAAATCAGCAATCAATCATTGTTGAATAAAAACAAAAACTCAAAAATCAACATCTTTTACCAAAATATTTTCAAAATAAATATTTTCTTACCTTATAGATGATTGAAATCTTTTTTAAATGTTATTACTTATAAAAAACATAATAGCTACGCATAAATCAGAACAGAATGTAAATTTTGAAAGTGAAATGCAGTATCTAAAATAAAATTTATTCTCACTTCTATAGCTTTCACACCATTTAGTCTAGTTACTGCACTTGAAAACTCATCAGTTATAGCAGTGCTGGTACAAAATTCAATAATAGATAACTTTCCACCATTTCCACTTAAAATATTTGACAAAGGATGGCCAAACAATGATGTTACTTCTAATCCACTTTCACCACACAAAAGGAATCTAAAAGTGTATTTTTAATAGGTCAAGGTTAATACCCATCAAAAAATAAATATAATTGCAAGTATCAATATTACATCAAAAATTAAGTTTGATAACTTTTAAAGGTAACACAAAAAAATGTAATAGGAATCAAAATAATTAAATAGCATTAAAGAAGTACGAAAATAATGTAGATGGCTTGGCTTCTACCTAACATTTATGCTATGTTAAAATTAAGAAAAAATGAAAGAAACATTTTCAAATCTCGTAAATAAGAATTACAATGTACGATATTTAAATCGCATGAGCAAGACTCATAACGCGCAAGTTCGAAATCAGGTAAATACAAAAATCAATAAAAATCGCGATGTTGAATTTCAGAATCTTGAAAATAAGAATCGCAATGTACGATATTTAAATCACGTGAATGAGAATCGCAATGCGCAACTTTTAAAACAGGTAAATACGAAAATCGATGTTTCATATTAAAATTGCGTGAATAAGAATTGTTACATAGAGTTTTAAAAACGTGTGTATACAAATTGCGATATTGGATTTTCAAATCTCATAAATAAGAATGTAATGAACAATATGTACAAAAATCTATGTTTGAAATTAAAATCGAGTGAATACGAATCGAGATATTAGTAGATTTTGAACTTGGGATTTCTAAAAGGATTGTTTGTATTGTTGCTTAGCCATAATAAATAAAAATTTACAAGATTTGAATGAGCAAATTAATATTTTCACCGCAAATCCACCACTATTTTTTCATTATTTCATTTGGTTTCCCACCAGCAAACAGGAAGCAACGACGTCAGAATTACAAAAATTTGAGCTATCTGTCGGGAAAATCTTATTTTCTGCGCGTAAAAGTGGAGAAAACAGCAAAAATAAGTGAAAATGGGAAGGGTTAGCAGCTACGTAGTTTGCATTTTCTGCTTATCTTTGAAAATCGAAAATAAATATAATTATTTTATTTCAACAACTGAATTTCCACAAAAAGCGGAAAAGCTGAAATTCGAGAAACTAAAGCAAAAAAAAAAGCGGAAATCCGCTAAAAAGCGGAAAACTCTCATCCCTGTATTATTCATTAAATAAGTGTGTTTGCTTTCATTTTAAGCAGAGAAATAGCAAAATGCATTAAATCATGAAAGTCGATAATAGAGTTTTGTTTAATTGGGATTTCACTGCATGTCAGAACAGTTAGAGAAATAACACAAATATCGAAATATTAAAACAATAAACTACCTTGCAATAGCCAGTGCTGTCAAATAACATCCCTGCCTTATATCATAATCTATATCAGATGATATGCTATCCTTCTGAAGAACATTCAGAACAAGAGATAAACCACCAGCAGATAAAAGATGATTGCTGAACATTTGGGCACTTTGCAGCGTATTAGTATCTTGTACAACAGGCATCAACTTTCCACTAAGAACCTAAAAAATTATAATTCTGCTGTTATATCTGAATCCTCAAACAACCAAATGAACATCAATAGATACAAAATACTCTTTGTACCTCAAGGTTGTACAAAAGTTTAAAAGGTGACATTTGATATGAAACATCAAATAAATGTTTCAGAACTTCTTTCGGTGATTCGCATCGCTCTTTAGTGGGAGAGGTAACAGTGAACTTCTTGGGACTGGATTTCGGACTGCTTTTTGGAGTTCCAGGAGATGGAATTTCAGTGATTTTCTAGACAAAATAAAAATAAACTTTTTGCATTATTTTCTTTTTTTTTACTTTTTTTTTACTTTGAACATGAATATGCAATTACTAGAAAAAAAATTACAGAATATTCATAATATAAATATCTACAATAAAATTTTTTAGAACATAAGTAACTGAATTCAAAAATATTATTTTAAAAAAAAATCACAGAATTTGAAAGTTGGCAATAAAATTAATTAATTAAAGTTCAAAAGACTGCATCAAGAGGGAAATTATGTACCATTTAGGACCAAGAATATTATAATAATCTAAGAAAAACTAATATATATAAAGTGCATTTTTAAAAAAAAGTGAAAAATTTCAAGATTAATGTTTGATTAGATTTTTGATCATTTTGTGTTAGCATCAAAATTTTGCCAACAAAGTTCTAAATTAATTACATTATAAAAAAAGATTTAAAAAGAAAAATTGCCCTAACATTTGCTAAAGGTAACATAATGTCAACAAAAAATTAATTATATAAAAAACATGGTTGCTAATATTTTAAAATGAAAATTAGAAAAATTTTTACAATAACAAATTGCATAACAATGAAAACAACAAGTATTGAAATTTTTTAAATCAAATAAAGATTTTTTTTAATTGCAAGCAGTTAATATTAAAGGTTAACAGTAAATTAAGAATTGAAACATAATAATAAGTAAGTTATTCAGCCTGTTATAAATATGTTCAGCAAAGTTATAAATATGTTACTCAAAATTATTATAGCAAAAGAAAGAAATTTGAAAATAATTCTGAGTGAAAAAAAAAATTATAAAATGCTTTTGGGAAGAGAAGAAAAATAGAAGGAACCGAAATTGAATTGAATGACTGAATTGAATTGAATGAGAAGAATATTGAGAAAAAAATTACAAATATGAAATCAAATATTTACTTTAACACTTATTGAATCCAATGCATCCAGTATAGCCGGATCAGTAGGAATAAGATGCAATAAACTTCGAACTTGGGAAGTAATACTGAAATAAAATTCATCCTTACATTAATATTTTATGAAGTATGAATTAGATGCAAAAACACTGAATCAAAGTTTAAATTTAGAATTAAAGAGAAGATATTGTAGATAATTTAACAAAGTTTAGTTTATCTCACAAGACTTGCTTTGAGAAATGAACCTACACAATCTTAAAGTAATTCCGCACAGTTAAAAAAAATTATAAATGGAAACTGTTTTTATTCCTCTAAATTTGTAAGGAAATTTTCTCCTTGTATACTTTTTTTTTTCTTTTTCCTTAACATGTAGGAACTGTTTAGTTACATATGAAAACAGCTAAGTTAAATTGCAAGTAAATTTCAAATTAATACTCAAAGAGTTTAGAGTGTTTGTCTTGTTTTAAGAAGGGTGGACTGCCCTGCCAGCTCTTTGATCCCTATAAATTCTTTTTTGAAAAATAAGCTGCCATCCAATAAAAACACTGCCTTTTAATTCATATTCCATTTTGAAAAAAATAAATTCACTGTTTAAATAATAATTACACACTGAAAATTATCTGCATTTACAGTTTTTATTCTGATTACAATTACAAATATTTACTTTGTTCAAATTATTCTCAACTGCTTAAATTTTTATAAATATCTCTTTATTAGGGGTGGTTAATAAACTGTTTTTAAATTTTAAATTTAAAAATTATTTTTCAAATAAATACCTTTTCAAATAAATACCTTTTTAAAAAAACAATTCACCTTTAAATGTTAATTTTTTTCATAATTTTCAGCTCAAATTATAGAAAAGAGCTTTCAAGTTGTTTAATTAATCATTTCTTTTGGTTTACACTTTGATATAAAAAATAAAAAAAACTATGACCAGAGATATGGTCATGTTGTGTCAAAAAGTTTGTATATATCAAAAGTTTATGTCAAAAAGTTATGTTTGGTAATGTCAAAAAGTTTGGGAACTGAAAATAAAATATATGATACATTACAATGTTGCACTATGGATGTGTCACATTTGACAAAGGTCAAATTAATGTATTTTATGACAGTTAACAAAAGTTATAAAAACAGTTTCTATACTTAACTTCTATTTGTGAAATGTACTTTCTATGTTTATATTGACAAATATTGCACACAAATTGCTTCAGGCTAAATAATTTACTGATCAATAAAAGAACAACACACACATACTTTATGTACTAATTATATTGTATTCAACAGATTGGGGGGGGGGGGATTANGGGGGGGGGGGGGGAATTATTGCACATGCTGCTTTATTTGCTTATTGTCCTGTTGATAATTATGTGTTAATTGGAGGATTGAAAGAGGTTAAATATGCATTTTTAAATTTTTGTTTAGTATTCATTTATTTCAAATACATAAGTGTGTGCCGGCTTTGTACTAAAACATTACAGAAAAACAAACCAAGAAAAAAACAAAACTAATGGGATTAAAATTAAAAAATATAAAAGCAAATTGAAAGTATAAATATTAATGTAAGTAAAAATGTTCCTAGGAAACAGAGAAACTAAAATAATCTTCAATTTTTTTTAAAACCATTTTCGAAAAAGTGATATAAAATAATATAATGATATGGCCATAAAATTCCTAAAAATGTAGTGCTCATGATTAGCATATTCAAAGGCATTTCTTAATCAAATTTTATATTTTACTTTGCATCCTCAAAGGTAGACAACTGGTACAGTTTATCAAATACATGACCTCCAGCTGCCATAACTACACCAGGTAGAACTTTCTCCTAAAAAATATAAAATAATATATAGTAGTATATCAGAATTGCATTATAGTAAACAAAAATATTTAACACTTTCACTGCATTTTTAATAAAAATTATAAGTATAAAATAAAATGTTCTGCAAAAAAAATTTTAATTTTGAAAATATGCTTCCTTTGGAATTCAATCAGTTTAAATTTTTATTCTACTTTTAAATTAATTTTATAGCAATGATTTGAAAGTTGTATAAGAAAAGAAAATGACCATGAATTTAGCATTATAGTAAAATTAAATTAATACTATAAATTGTTAAATATTATTTAAAATAATAACAGGTTTGTTGATAGCCAAATAAGATTCACAAAGCTATGAAATATTTAGGTTTTAAGTGTGGTGAAAATTTGATTGAAGTAAATAAATTAGAGAAGTTCAACGAAGTTTTACAATAAGGAAGTGCTGATTCAATGAAATGCTGAATAAATAAAAACAAGCTTTCAAGTGTGAAACCTATTTAGTTCATAGCTGTTGAAAGCTAAAATTAAAATAATAAAAAATTGAATTCATTCATTCAAAAAAACCTATAATAATTTTTGTAGACTTTAATTTTGCTGCTCATTTAAATAAAAAAATTCTTTGATGAATTATATATATTAAAATTTGAAAATTCTTTCTCCAGGATTTCTTTATTCTTTATTATTGTAAGAAAAGCTAGAAAATGAAAAATACAGCATGACTGTAATTAAATACATTTTGTACACATTAAGAAATAATCTCAGCAACATACTAATCTTTATCTCATTTATTGTATTTAATAAGTCATTGACAGTTTTTTTTAATTCAGTGTTTGTGCAACAAACAAAACAATAAAACAAACCTAGATTTCTCCCTTTTTTTCACAGCACAAAAGTTTTTAATTCATAAAACAGTGAAAAACAGAAACAAGAAAATAAATAAGTAAAAATCATAATAAACAAATAAAATTCACGTTTCAGGGTTCAAATCAATTGTGCTTTAACCTGTTGTCACGATTATGGGTTGGAAATTTTATCTTTCTCTTATAGAGATATATTTTAACTAAAAATACTTTATTCGGCAATATTTTCCCAATTCATCAGAGAGTAAACAAAATTTTCATTTACAACTTTTTTATGTTTTAAATATAAGAGATAGAAAGAAAGGAAACTAAATAAATTTCAACTGCTGCAACAGTAGTCATAGATATTTAAAGTATAAATAAAGGAACTTCTGAATAAATAAATCTTATGAACAGAAAAAACAAACTGACCTGATCCAAATGTTCTGAAAAAAATGGTGAATGATTTCCAGCAGAAAGAGAGTCAGACATCAGAGTTAATGAACCATAACCAGAGTAATTTCTAGATTCCTAGAGAATTGAATTGAACAAATTTTAAAATTTAAAAAAACACTCAAATAAAACTTCCTTTTTGATTTAATTTTAATTAAAAAAATTTTATAGAACTTATATAAAAATAAAAATAATCATAATTTTTACTACTTAACACTTTGTTGACTGGTGTCGAATTGACTCGTAATTGTACTTGTATTATCTATTTTAACTGCGTAAATATAACAATTTTAATGGCATTTCCTTCTGTATAAATAAAATATATTGGCATTTACTTAGAATATTTTACTTTGATTCCATATTTAATTGCAAAATCATAACTGCGACATTATATAGTTTTCGTGTAAAATTGCCGGTCAATAAAGTGTTAATCTATAAATTAATTTTATCCAATTCCTTAAGTCAAAATTTTAATGCAATTATTTCTTTAGATGACAACATGATATATAAAAGTATATATTTTATGGCGCAATTTCAAAAACTTATACAATTTATCAGTTTATTGAGTCAAATATTTTATGTAATAACAAATCAAATTTGCAATTTAGTATTAACCTAATACATCACTCAAAAATAAAATACACAACTTAGAATTATAAGAGAATCAAAAGTTATATAGAACATTTCAAAATTAAAATTTGAATACCAATGTCATTTTAATCTATCTCCTTTAACTACAGAATCAAATGAAACAAAGCAATTTTTTCTAGTGGTAAACAAAGATCAAGACAGAATTCTATGTGAAGGACTCTCACACAAAGTTTTAAAAACTAAGTTTAACATAAAGTTTTATTTCAAAAGAAAAAATATGTATGTGATCTCACAGGGGAAATAAAATTTAGCATTTGAGGAAAAAAATTGCTTTTCTTTTAATTCTCATTCAATATGATATTTTGGAGGTAAAAAAAAATGTCACAGAAAGAAATGCACTTTTTAACAAATTGATTTATGATCTAACACAAAGATAAATTTCACACAAAAAGGTATAAAAAAAATAACTTACCATATTTAAATTAAAAAATAAAAGTTATGTAACTACATAAAAACATATATTTCTTTTTGACAGACAAATCACATAACACAACTTTGAGTCTGGAAACTACAAATATTAAACTGAACTGAGTCTCAGATTAAAAACCAAGTGCTCTCTTGGTATTTTTTTTCTCCCATTTTCAGTAAAACAGCACACAGTAAAAAAAAAAAATTTACTAATTTGTGTAATAAGTTTGATAGCGAGAGATCTTGGTCTAAATGCAATTTAAAACAAGTTTAAGATATTTAAACTCTCCAATAAAATTTGAATAAAATGTAATATATTTACTGAACTATACTTACACATTTCACTGTCAAAACAATGCCATCCTGAAAACCTAATTGGCTCATCTGTCTCTGCTCCTTATTTCGAGGTATCTGTTAATAATTCACAAGATTCAAATGACTTAATTATAAATATTTTCAATTTATAAATATAATAACATATCATAAAAATTTAACATTTAAAATAAGCTTAAAAAAATACTAACTGAAATATCATCCTGATAGAGATGAACTTGAAGGGGATTGTGGTGCAAGTATTGGGCGATTCTTTGTTTCACAGATCCAAGTGTCTCATTACTGTGAGTCTGTAACAATCAATTACAGATTAGCTTACATTTACAACAACAAAAAAATTTTTTTTCAAAGTTGACTTTCTTCAAACTGAAAATAATTGAAATTACTTTTCATTTTTAGTTTTTACAATTAAAGATTAGTATTTTTTTTAAATTATAAATATTTAGCTATCTTGTATATAATGTCTGTTTCTGGTAATTAAAGTTTCTGACTACTTATAATTTATTTATATTTTCCTTTTTTCGGTATTATCTAATGATGATTAAATATCAAATATTTTTTTACTTTATTCTTTTAAAAAGAAATATTTGTTAGTCATAAAAATTTTCTCATTTGATTTGTTTCAAAAACTTCAATGTTATTTTTTAATTACTTTTCTTTGATAGTGCAGTTGATATTCACTATAAATGTTATATTCTATTCAGTTATAAATGATAATGTGATTTGTTATGTTAAATGACTTAAGCATTGCTATTAAGAAAGCATAAATTATAACTAATAAGCATCATGAATAGTTTGCATGTCAAAAAATATACTTACAGTATTAGAAAAAAATACCTCAATTTTGAACTTTTGTGGCATTTCATCAAATTATTTCTGAATCAAATATTAACTGAAGCTTTATTATTCTAATCATAAAAAAAAATTAGTTTTCATATAACGTATAAGGGTTTCATATTACTTTAAAAAATAAGGATTTATATTATTTTAAATCAGAACTCATTAAATACAAACTCAAAAATTAAAAGTCATGGGTCATAAGATGACTAGTACTTACTAGTGTCTAGAGGCATTACTGGGAATACTCATGAATACTATTACATGATCATTATTAAATAGTGATATGGGAATTTTTAATTTCCTTCTTTGTTTCATCCTTTTACCCTAGGCACATACATATCTAATACTAATTAGCATAAAATAAATGAGACATAAGTAAATAAACTAGAAACTCACAATAACAAGATGTTCTTCTTTTGTTGATTCAATACAAATTTTAAGTAGAAGTGGATGACCAACAAAAGAAGTCCCATGAGATAAAATAGTTCGAGGTGTCGGATGGTTTTCTTCAATCGATGAAATGTATCGTTCAGCTGTTTGCAGTAACCTACAAATGTTTTGAAATCTTTCAGACCTAAAGTAAATAAAATTGATTAGTCTTAATACAACAAAGCTAAATTATCACATAATAATACTGACCATAAAATTTTTTTTTGAAGTAAATTAGTTCAAATTGGACAATTCCAATTACTATGTAGTAGAGAAAATAAAATTACTTTTTAAAAAATAAATAAGATTAATTTTTAAATAATACTAAGTAACTTCCCACCAACACAATACTTGATGCCTAACTTAATTTTTATTAATGAATAATTATAATTATAAAAAATATATATAAATAATTCTTAATCAGACAAAATTTTGACTGTTATAAGTATTTATTCATACTTAAAAAATTATGTAACAAACTTTCAAATGAATACAAACAAATGCATTAGAAATCAATTACTTCCTTTCTGCAAGTACAAAAAGATGAATAAACTAAAAAGGTTAACGAAGGTAACGAAAAATTTAGTAATAAATAATTAATGCAGAATTATTTAATGATATTGAATTTAGTGTTGGCAAAACCACAATTGCGAGGAGGAAATCATGGTTGATGAATCTATTAAGATTGGTTGAAATTTATATAATGAGAAGGTAAGTAAGTAAAGTGCAAGGGAGTTTTAAATAAGCAGTAATATTTTAATAATAACTTTATAATAAAATACCTTTACGATAACTTAAATAATTTTACAAAGAAACTTTCGGTAAAAATTTCAATATTTCACACAGAATAAGAGGTGACATAATAAAATTAGTGATGGAACCCGAACCCAAATGAGCAAGCAAACTTCCAATTCACAAAATATTTAAAATTTTTATTTAAATTTAAATTGTTTTTTTTTTAAGTTGTTTACTTAAGACGACTCATTTTACATTTAACAGGTAATAGTAGACAGTTCAAATCTTCAAAAAATAATATAGAGTAAAAAGAGTCAAGAAACAGAAATGTAAAAATAAAAAGAGTTAGGCGAAAAAGAGTTTCATACTTTTTGGGAGCAGGAGATGTAGCTGCTTCAAGAACAGAAATAGCTGTGAGTGTCTTTGTTGCATTAGAAACTGCAGCAATCATAGCATTACCACTTAAAGACATAGAAACACACTAGAAGAAAAAAATTCTTGCAATGAAAAACACTTCATATATATACTCAAATTACAATCATACACCCATCACCAACATAAAAATTTCATCTCACTGTAAAATTTCTGAAATTTAACTAAAAAAATAATTATATTAAACCTAGAACTTAACAAGTAAAATCAGTGTGCTGCTACATTATAGTGACTTATTCTTTCAATTCTAAAAAATTCATTAGTGTATTAAATTTTATTAGAAATCATGTTTTAGGTAAACAATATAATCACACATTGGCTATATAAAAGAGATCATCTACCATATATTTTAATTAATTCCCAGATCATTAATTATTGTTTTATCATCACAGAAAAACATTTCTAAAAATTTCTATTATCACCCTACAGTTTAAAGTCATATATAATTCATATTTTAATAAATTAAATATATTACAATTAAGGTCACATAGCCAAATGCTAAGTTTCAATAAATTTTCTCAAAAATCTGTTTAAAAAAATTTTACTTTTAGTTCAATGACACAAGTTAACATTCTAATTTCCCAAAATATAATTGACCTAAAACTACAAGTTGGGGTTTGCAATCATATTTAAAGTAATGACAACACAATTATTTCTATATGTTATAAAATATTATTTTGGACATATTTTATGAAATTTATTAAAATTATTGTTCTTTTTTTCCAGTTTGCTACATTTTATTAACAAATACTTTTTCTTTTAATGGAACATAAAAAACGAGCATTGAAATCTTCTAATTCATCATCGAAAAAAAAAGAACTAAATACAATTCGTCTTGTTAAAATTGTACTTAACGTAATGACATGTGCTTTGATTTTTTTATCCCTGAAACTTCCCATCTCAACACGGCAATATCAGTGTAACATAAATGTATAATCACAATAAAGCACCAAAAAAATAATAATAATAAATTTCGTCGAAAAAAAATGCTTACTTCAAGTTTTTTGTAGCATTCATTGATAAATCTATTGTGTAAAGATAATACATCCTAAAAATAAAAATTATTTTTAATACACTTACACAAAATGCTACATAATTATAATCAAAGACACTGAAATGTTACAAACCAGTAGTGAAACATAGCTAGAAATTTTAAATCATATTAGCAGATTATTATAAAAAATTATACAGTAGAAAACCTTTGATCTGATATTCAAAAAACCAGGAAACCAGAAAAACTGGAAATTGTTTGCTGAGTTTACCCGCCATTTTGATCTAAAACAATTGAGGCAAAATGCAGAAGTTCCAACATCACCCTTGAAGTTCAGTAGAGGGAAAAATATGGGTCTTTGATTTACGAGGGGGAAACGCAGTACACATGCTTACCAGTGGAAATGTAATAAAAAAGTATGTCGCTATACTTTACTACATAAATATGATCAAGTAAAATAAGTTAAGTAAACATTTTTATTTGGAATATGAAAATGGCTAAAATACAGCTATTTTTTAATCAATAATTAAGTAGGAGCATAGTTAGCTGTACAATATAAAACTTTTAATCTGGTTTCCAGAAAACCGAGAAAAACTTTGCCCATTTTTCCCGCCATTTTTGAACTAGAACACCTAAGTCATCCTCGCAAGTTGAGTAGATGGAAGGGAATCTTTTTCTCCCGTTAAATAGAATGTAAAGAAGCAGCAGACTTACATAAAATTAATGAGCCAAAATTCTATATTAAAAAATTTTCTGTTAGCAAATTATTGACTCTTGTAAATAGTTTCAACCCTTTCATTACCATGTTCGAAAATCACAAAGAAAGTTTTTATTTCATAAAATATTCAAACCATTATTTTTTTAAAGTTGAACTCTGGAATAGTTCTGGAATGAATTGAAACTTCAAACAAAACCTTGACTTAACAAGACGTGGCAAGAGCCTATGCTAAAATGTTGTGACGTCATCTAAAATAAATAATATGCATAGCGGCGAGTTTGCAAACTGAAAGACGAAAAACAGCTCTCTGGCCTGAAAAAAAACCAACAGCTGCCTGTCCATTTCTTGATGCCTAAAAGCCAAATAGTATGATGCAATCACAGGGAAATTATAACTGCACGAAACAGAGAGAGAAATTCGTCTCAAATCAGTTGCTGCCAAATAGATCGCGTAATAGAATAGAAGAATTTTGACAGATTTTTTATTTATTTAATCATTTGACTTTTGGAAATGAAATCAGGTGAATGAATGATAATTTCGTTTTTCGCTCTTACTAACAACTGAAACAACTTGCAAATAGAAGGTGATAGGAAAATTGCAAGAAAAATACATTGCCATACTTCATTATATAAATATAATAAAACAAAAAGAGTGAAGCGAAAATAAAAATTTTTAATTGGAATATAAAATCAGCTAAAATAAGGCAATTTTTTTATTCAATATTAAAGTAGAAATATAGTTAAGCTGTATTAAATAGTGATTCAGAAAACCGGGAAATCTAAACATCCAGGAGAGAGATGATCCTAAGCGTTCCAAAAAATTGATTCTCTACTGTCATAGGATTTTGATTATCTGCAGTAATTACAAATTACAGATAAACTAACTTTGGATAATCCAAAAAGTCGATTTATGGAGTGTAACACCGTTTTTCATTTGACTTTTTATAAATTAAGTTAGAAAATCAAGAGTTTTTTAACAATAGTAAGAGCTATATTAATTAAGAGTTAAATTTAATTATATTATGACAATTTAATGAAAGTATTTTTGAAAAATAGGTACAGCATTGTTAAGTAGGTATTTACTTTAAAATCCATTTAGACTATTACCTAGAATACTGATACTCTTAAACTCCTTACAAAAAAAACTATTTAAACAAAAATTGAATCATTACCTGATTTCATTGGTTTTGAAAATTGATTTCAATTTCTTTTTTTTCTTTTTTCTTTTTTTTTGTAGGCTTTGCAATGTTTTTTCTAGATTTCATTTGCACTACAAATTATATTTTCCCTGAACAAATAAATGTGGAGGTCAGCTACAATTTGGAAAATATAGTTCCAATAGTTAGATCAGTATAGTCATTGAAATTTTGGACTTTTTAAAGTTAATTTCACTATTAACTATTTCTCCATGCCTCTAGAATTAACAAAGCGAATTTAAATATTTTTGCACACAACTATAAAACATGCTTTTGGTGAAATAGGCAAGATGGTGAAACAGGCTAGTAGGTAACAACAGTGTAATAGGTAAAAAAAAATTCAATAAACATTAAGGGACTCAAACTTTCAATTGCTGTCTTGTACTATATGGTACAAGACTTTTGTATCATATTTTCCAGATTGTGATTACTACCGTAAGTTCAAAGATAAAGAATCAGTTAAACTAAAAATATGTAAAGTAAGAGAAATCATAATTTTAAATTTGAGTTTGTAACTTAAAATGTTCTCCGTGCAAATTAATTACATATTCAAGGATAGTCCCTTGAATCATCAAGATCCCATTTTAATGCTTGAAAATCAGTTCATTTAATCAAAAATTATTCCAATATTTTGCCTTTTTTTATTTCAATGATTCGGACAAAAATGTGTTATTCAATCATTAAATATAATAATATTCAAAGAAGTTTTAAAAAATCTCTTACTTTTTTAAGTCTTGGAACTAAGGCATGATAAGATATTTCCAACAAATAATCTATAGCGACATTTGCAATAACCTCATCAGAAGATAAAGCAACTTGCCATAAAAAATCAATTCCATTTAACTCCAACTTTTCTACATTCTAAAAAAATAGCATTTAATTAGATTTTGTGGCCAAATAAATGTGTTTATTCATTTAATATACATATATATATATAAAAATTAGAATTTGACATCAACATAAAAAATTTTAAAAAAATGGAATATTAAATAATAATCAACCAATAATGAAACAAAATTTTAATGACTTACTAATGATGATGGTGTTCGCTTTAATCTATGTTCAGAAGCATTGACACTCTCAAAGTAAGTTTTGAAACAATTAAAACCTTTAAAATAAAATGAGCATACATTAATTTAAAATAAAAAAGAATAAAAGTTAAAAACAAATTTTAAGAAAGAGTAAAATATAACATATAAATAACCTTCTGTACTTCGAGTACTCTTTGCTTTTGCTGTTTGAACAGATATAAACTAAATCATTTAAACAACATAGTACAACATTTTTATACAATTTCTAAAATTCATTAAATAATGTGATTACTAATTATTAAGATATAAAAACTTCATAGAAAATCACTGTATATTTAGCTAAACTAATGTGGAGCAGATTTTCATGCAAAAAGAAGGTAGTGGAATGATAACATTGAATCTCTAATGGGCTAAATATTATAAGTAGGCTTCCATTTCGTTAAAATTAACATTTGTATAAATTTTGAGCATATCTAATATTATACTAATTTATGCACTAACCTGTATATGTCAGCTGAGCTGGTTCTAACTTTAATAACTTGTTTTGAAATAATGAAGTTTGAGTTTCCGATTCAAGATCTTGAAGACATTTAGTAAACCATTCCAAGCATATCTAAAATTAAAGCATATATATATTTAAAAAAAGTTATTAAAATAGCAAAAAATACAATATTCTAAACAAAAACAATCAATATCTGTAAAACAATTTCTTGTAACCAACATTTTATATTAACATTAAAATAATTTTCCCAAAAAATGGGATGATTCTCCTTAAAAATAAATTCATTTTTGTGTAATAACTTTTAGCTAATAAAAATATTTATTACCTTTAATTAAAATTCTCAAAAACATGAAATTTTTGCTAATAAAAAACTCATATCTCAAAAATATAAATTTAATTTTTAAAAACTCTTAATTGTAAATTATTTCAATGACTTTGTCTTCATTTTATTACTTTATTGCTGGTGGTTTTGAACTGCGAAATGCTACCAATAGATTGGTTAGAGAGAAGAGCCAAAAGCGACCACATTGTCCTAACAACAATTATGTAAGATTCCAAGTTATAGCAAATCAATTGTGAAAAACTTACCTCCCTATCTCTGTCACATGCATCAGGATCAGATATCAAAGCCTCCCAAATATCTTTAGCTCTAATCCATGGTAAATACTGAGCACCATCTTGTAAAATGAATTGCATGAAACTTAAATGTTCAATCAGATACTAAAAATAAAAGTAATAAAATATTATAACTGTGATCACACTAATTCCAGCTAAGAAAGTTTTTACAAAACATAACTTACGTCTTCATGAGAGTATCTACCATCAACAATAGTTGAAGGCTTCAGATCTCCATTAGCGGCAGCTAAAGCTGCTTGTTTGTGACACTTAGCTAAACTAGTGGTTACTAATTTTAACATGTCATGATTTTTGTTCAGTTCATGCAAACTAGCCTAAAAGAAGTTATAACAAAATTAAAAGCCTTAATAATAAATAAACTAAATTACTTTTTAATGAAATATACACCATAAAATATAAACTTTAAAGACAGCGATAGTAAGAAATAAATTTTAGAAAATGTTTTTTGTACACAGAAGCAAGAAATTTGGTAAGATAATTATTGTAGTGCATACAATATTTGCAAAGGCATCTATGTGAACAACTGCAATATCATTTTTATTATATATATATTAAAAATATACTTGTTTAATCATTTTAAGTCATGACTAAATGTTGCAGAAAACTAATAAGAAAAAAAGTGTCAGTCTTTTAGCTATTAAGAACTACAAATGGACATGTACTTGAAATTTTCAAAACAAAATAGTAGATTTACCAAACAAGTTTATATTTTATAAAAAAAAATTAAACATATTTATAAATTAAAAAATTAAATTTGTAATTGCTCTTACAAAAAAACAATCTAAGCTAACATTAACAATTAAGTTACAAATAACAGATTAATAAACTATACATTCAAACAATTTTATTTAAAGTATCAAATAGTTCATTTATATTTTAATTAATGCATGCCCAACATTTTCAATTGAACCATTTAATCTTTAAAAACAAGTATTGCAAGTTAAAATTCTATAACACATTCATGAAATATTCTTAATTAAAAAATTCTTATAAAACAATACAATAATGGCTCTACTTACTCGGTCTTGCTTATATACCCCAGATTTTAAAATGCTTTTACAAATGTTGTGTAATAAACGAAGTGCGGGAAGGACATTAACTCCCTGCAAATAAAAAAAACTAATTTATGACTGAAAAACAATTGCAGTGTTAAATTATAATACACAATCTCCTAAAAGTAAGAAAATTTAACCTCCGAAATGTATAAATTTTCATAAATTTGCTTTTAACAAATTAAAACTTTTTAAATCAATTTTTACATAAAAAATATCATGATCAAAATTTTTATTGCAAAGTTCTTAAATATTTTAATTTTTTTTTCTTCAGTATCTCTAAAAAAAAAGCTATTTATGATGTAATTAATTGATAATTAAAGTTATTACATTTTTAAAAGCTTATTGAAACTTAAACATAATAAAGGGTTTTATACATTGCATGATTAAATACATTTTAATATAATATTTTTTAAAAAATTGACTCACTTTTTTTATATCTTCAATACATTTAACACAATACTGTTTTTTTATGCAATCTTTATGAGAAACATCTCTCAGTATTGAAAATTGTTCTTCTAAAGCAAGTTCAATCAAACTCATAGAGAGATTTAATGAATGTGCCAATTCCCATAGTAAGTCAACAATCTGCAAAAGAGACATAACTATTTATTAAGTTTTTTGGAAGAAAAAAAATACTTTAATACTATTAAAAGAAACATCATAACTAAATTAAGAAAGCAGAGCCAAATTCATATAGTTAACTGAAGCCATTTTTGTTACATAGACTTCCAATTTTAAAAAGTGAGGGGCATTAAAATAGAAGTCATTGAGCCAATCTATAAAGTTAAGAAATAGTACAGCGGTATAAAAAAAAGTGATGCTTGTAACTTTAATAGTTCTCTTATCACAAATTGAGGATTGACAAATTAATCATGCAATTGTTTTAAAATAAATGTGTTTTCTTGGTATTTATTGCAGTAAGAATTATTAAATTTCTTATAAAAATGATTTTTTTAAATATCTTAATATAATTAGAGGTTTCAAAAATGTTCCTAACTTGCAGAACACCTTTCAATTTTCCATAGAACCCAAGGGCTCCATGGAACACATTTTGGGAACTGCTGCCTTAAAAATATCAATAAAGAAATAAAAGTTTAAAAACTTTTTGTTGGCGTTTAAATACATGATCATGGCATATTTTTAAAAAAGAATTTCAGAATTATTAATGCCATTTTAAATACACTTTAATTTATTGGAGATGAATCCCGCAATGTAACAAAAAAAATTCACATTCACCTCACTTATTTGAATAAAGTAAGAATAATTTCTAGACTGATTCTGGATCAAATTAAGGAGTATAAATAATTTTCTCATTAAAATGTGTTAACAAGGAAGGTTGCAGTACTTGCACAATATGATTAAAGGAGAGTCAGAAAACATAAAGCTTATTTTTTAATACTTATGAGGAATTTTAGGTAAAAAAAAGGCTGTAGGGTAAATAAGAAAAACTAATACAGAAACCAATATTTAATATTAGCATACTTTTTTCTTATTGGAGATAATACATGATTTATGCAACATATTTTCAGATAAAAAATAATAACTACAGTTAATGACTCTTATAATAATAACAAATATTTAAAAAGTTCATACTTTGGTTGATGACTTTCCTTGATTTGTCTCTTTTCCTACTCGACCAATGAAAATTATTAATCGCTTTCTAATTTGATCAGTAGTATTTTGCCAACTCTGAAAAAAGATACATGCACATAGCAATATAAAATCAGCAAAAAAAAGAACAAAAGTTAAAGCTCCAAAAAACAAGAATATAAGGAGTAATACTACAAATTATGTAATGCTACAGATAAAAAATTTTAAAGTTGGTTTAATTACAAACATAGATTATTTTACTGGTTAGTTTCTCATTAGAAAGTCTATATAGATATTTAGAAAAAAATATCATTGAAGTAATGTAGACATGCCTCTTGAAAAATTCAGTTAAATAATTATAAAATAAAAAATTTGAAAAAAAGGTTAATATCTATTTAATTTAACAAAATGCCTTAAAAGATAGCTCTCTTGATACTTTTATTAATTTTCAAAACTAATAGATGACATAAAAAAGTTAATCTAAAACATGTTTCCAACCTGACAGTGAAATTTTAACAAAAATATCTTTCAATTTAACAACAAGCTGAAAGCCCTTCTTCATAGACATAATTCATAAAAATAGCCCTTACTTCTTGCACTAATTGCAGCATATGTTCAAACTGTTCTGAATTAAATTTTGATGAAGCAGCTAACATTATAGAGTGGATGTTATCAACAATCTGTGCATTTTGCCCATCCTGAAAAAAAAAAAAAAACAAATAACTGATAACAAATTTATCAATGTTAGACTAGTTAACAAATGTAATAAATAGTTTTCAAATTTTATTCCTCTTTGGTTTTATACTTTCATCAAATTCATACATTTTATTTTTCTCATTTTAAGTTGTGGGGGAGGAGCAGGGTTCATTCTAGACTAAAAAAAGGGCAGGGTGCTAAAAATTGAAAAGGGCACTATACTTTTAAAAAAAAGGGCAGCAAGTTTAAAAAAGGACATTGTATTTNTCAGGGCAGGATAAAAGGAGTAAAGGGCAATAGGGCGGATATTTTATATCAAAAGGGCATACGGGGCGGGCCGCCCCGTAAACCCCGCTTAGAATGAACCCTGGAGGAGTTATCGACCATGCCAACCTTCATCTATCAAAAGGTACCTCGTGATTGAATCAAGTTAGCATGTCTTATATACCAGTGAATTGATGTTTAATTTTCGTAGTGGTAGTTACGCCACAAAGTCTTCAAAATATTTAATATTGCTTATTATGCAATGAGCATTCATGTATATTACATAATAAGCATTATTAAATACTCATATACTCATTTAGCATTATTAAATACTCCTTATTAAATAGCATTATTAAACACTCATACCTTCTTGCATTCATGCTCAATAATATATTCTAAGAGAATAGATATAAATATTGAATATTCATTACTAAAAAAATTATCAATTGCTAAAAAATTATCAAATGGTAAAAGGGGAAATAACCTGCATATTTTCAGTTTTTTAAACTCTCTAAGGTTAAAGCAAGCTATACTTCTATTTTTAGATGTCTTGAAAGGTTTTTATTTTTAAAGTGAAAGCTCCTAAATTTTCACCTTTTTATTGAAAATAACTTAAATCTGTATATAAAAAAAAGACACTAAATTAAAATAAAATTGAACAAATACCGAAGTTATATATTAAATAATATACTAACTAATATTTAAATAATTTAAATCAATATCAAATTATATGGAAAGTAAAAAATTTATGAATCTACAAATTAGCACATTTAATACAAAAAAAAAATTGCTTTAGTTTTAAGTTAAATTCTACATAACAAAAAAAAAAGTACCAAAACATTTAAAAGCTAAATAAATACTTAAATTAAATTATAGTTTAAGAATTCAGAAGATAATCAACCTGCATCATCCAAATTTTAGTCAATTCTTCTAATGATAATCGGTGTCCAGTAAATTCCACAATTCCTTTAATCTTTTCTGTATACTGAACTTGGTCAATGTTGCCTGAAATACATTTATTTAAAAAATTTGACAGAGTTGAAGCAGGCATTACGATTTAAGCAGAGGTAAAAACTGAATCAATAAATAATTATAAAATATTTTTTGAAACAATTCTTTTTTTATAGATGTTAAATTTCAAGCATAAAACATACTATATTCCAGTATGATAAAAATGAAAAACTATAACAAAAAATAAAACAAAACTATTACCTTCTAAAGCTATAGATAAGACTTTGTTTTCAGACAACCAATTTAAAAGATTGTCTGAGTCTATAGCAATTTTCGATGATCTCATGCTAGAAGTATCATCAATTAATTTCATCACCTAAAAAAATCATTGTTTTTTAAATGATGAAGATAAAGAATTATATAAATTGACAATTTCTTTTAGTTTATGAAACATATTTATTAACAAAAATACAACTAAAACATAATTTTTCGCATCATACAAAAATGAACATTTTTTTATAAAAGACGATTTAAAAAAAGAACTCATAACAGAAAAATCAATGTGAATCAATTATTTATTTCAAAGATTAAGCTCAAAATAACCTTATACAATACACGTTAGAGATGGGTAAGTACAAATGTTTTTGGGATCAGTTATAAAAATCTGGTACTTCAAGTATCAGATACACATTAATCTTAAATTTAGGTCTTAACTAAAAGTGGAGCTAAAAATTAAGACTCTTAGTTCAAAACAAATTGACAATTTAGAAATCAAATTCAAATTAATTATACTTACAAATTTCATATATTTAAATGAGATAAATTTTTTAAAAAGAAAAAAAAAATTTCGTAATTTAACAAAGCAAAGGATTTGTAATTTTAGACAAAATAGTTAGAAAAAGCTCACAAAAATCATACTAAAAACAAATACTTAAAAATTTTAATAATATAGCCTTACAATAAATATTTATGAAAATTCTTTTATGATTTTGTATGTTTAAAGCAAATTAAAATATTGTATGTGATTAATTTAAAATACTATAAATATATATAAAGTAGAAATATATTCATTTTGAAAATCTGTGACAAATCAAATAAGTATCAAATTGAAAAGATAAACTTCCTTGACTAATGAATCAGTAATTTCTGAATACAGCCGGATCAAGGAAGTAATCATTTTGCCCAAGTTAGCACTTTCAAATTGATACAAATAGGTAAAAAATTATCCAAGTCAATACATGATCCAAATCGATGCTTGCTCAGTGGTACTGTTATGGAGTTAGACAAAAATAACATAATTTAAAAATGAACACAAATTATTTAATAATTGATACCATTATCTAGCAGCTTACATAAAATTTAATAGTAATTTTTCATACTAACCTCTTTCAAGCCATTCATTCGAGCATTAAAATGTGGGCATTTTAACATACGAAGAATGACCTCAAGACACAATTTGTTAGTAACAATCACCTGTTGAGGCCACAAGTGAAGACACAATAATTTCATACTCTTTAAAAGTTCAGAGATGGAACAAACGTTCTGAAAAGAGATGTTGGAAATAAAAAGGTAAAAAAAAAAGCCATAGGCAGGAAAAGATAAAATAAAATTGAAATACTTTCTAAACAAATTTAAAAATGAATTGCAAAATATTCATAAATAAAGAATAGGAAAAGAACAAGCACATACCTTGCTTTTGATATCATTGTCTGTCAAGCTCTTTATGTGATGCACAGCTATATCCATACAAACTGAGAGGTGCGGACATATTTTGGTGGGATTCAGAAATTCTGCACATTTAGCTAATGGTGCAAGCATTGCCGCCATACCCTATATTAAGAGAATAGGTAGGCAAAGAATTATAAATTTAAAATCAAACTATTTTACTCATTGAATAAATGATTTGTAAAAAAAAAATCTTTAAACAAAACATATGCTTTAACTTCATTTGAAGGAACAACATTAGGAATTAATAAAAAAATATTGACTCTTTATTTTTCCTGAAAAGTGAATAACAAAACTTAGTGCTTTTCATAAATTTTTGGCTTAATTCATTTAAAGTTATTTTACATTAAGGCTTTTTTTCTTCTTTTTTTTTTAATTATGTGGTTATTTTTTCTCAGAGCGGCTCTGTAGTATTTTGTTAGAATTACCTCAAATATTTTGTTAGTTTAAAGCCATTTCAATACTTTAAATCACAGACAAAACTAGAAACAATGGAACTTAATGGCAATGATTAGCATTGGTAATGGTTAGTATTTTGAAGAGGAAGAAAAAAAGCATAACAATAAATAAAGTAATTTACTAAAGAAAACATTCTTTCACATTCACACAATAATTCAATTAACTTGCTACTTACCAAAGTTGTAATATCATCACTTTTAAAACGTTCTTGAATTTCTTTAAATCCCCCTTGCTGTGCAAACTAAAATAAAATAAGTATAATTATAAAAAGTAATTAATTTATGAAAGATAAATTTTAAATGCCCGAAAAGATAGTTCTATTAAACTGGGCAAATAAAAGGGAAACATCATTGTTAAAATTTTAAATAACCAATTTAATTATCTTCATACAATTCAACAGTATGTGTACTTGAGCATAAAATAAAATCAATAAAATATTGTTATGAATTCATTAGAATGCATAAAAATAAATGTATTTCAATGAACAAGATTAGCACCATGGGCAAAGAGATGCAATAGATAGTACCCCTGCATAATTTCTGCAAACTAAAAAAAAAACATCAGTTGATGTTAGAATGAAGAACAATCAAACCATGTGCCCTGACGCACCAACTCATGATGTGTTATAAAAATTAATAACATTTGTGGAAAATACAAAGCAAAAACTTATAAGCACATAAATCAATGAAGTAAAGGTAAATTTATTTCATATTGTTCATTAATTAATAATATTTACCTTATTTATCAAGTCAACTAACCAACCATAAGGTTCCTGCAACGAATAAAAAAATAGTAAATGTCAAATTTAATGGGAAAAAAACATGCATTTTCTGAAGAAAATAAATTCATAATGCTTCAAATTAAAAAGTGCTAACACCATGTCCTGTAGTTTATTTGAAATTTAAAATAAGATTTAGATAAACACTTTCATCCAAAATCACAATCAAGAATTCAATAACTAAAATCGACAACTGTAAGAGTACTTACAATGCTATTGCGACTAACAGCAAAAGCTTGGTCAGGGGCAAAAACAGAATCTAGCCAATGTGAAGATGCACAGGGTTTATGCCTATTTTTCATATGAAATTCTGCTTCTGGATCAAAAGCCTAAGAAATCAATAACAATTAAATAAAAGTAACAAACATTATAAGTGAATTATTAAAACAGCTTTATATAAAATACAATTATCAGAGAAAATAAAATAGTGCACTGCCTACAAGACATTTTTTCAGAGATAGGCAATGTCGAAATAATAACCAGAAATATTTTCTCAGCCTAAACATACCTTTTCCAAAACTTGGCATAATGTTTCAGGAACTGGATCAGATTTAAGTCGAGTGGTGACTAAATTAATAAATAAATGCAGCATGGAACGAACACCTTCTTGAACATCTAAGCCCCAATTACGCACAGCACCGGATGTCAAAAGCTATATTAAAAAAGAGAATTATAACATTTATGTTAAAAATTACATATTTACATTTATTTTATTATTTCCTAATTTTAAAAAGATATTGCACATTCAAATATAGATTGTGCAAACAAATGATTCTTATAATCATGCCCTGAATTTCAATAAATACTGAGAGAAACTGTTACAAAAAACTTAAAATAAAGAATATTTAATGAGAAATAACCGAATTTTAAAATTAAAAATTTATAAATAACAGAAATAAATTTCTAAAATTTAAATTTCATAAAAATGTTTTCACATTAATGACAATTGTCATGCTGTAAAATCTATATGTCATATCAATAAAAACATATGTTTTGAATTTAAAATATTAAATGGACAGCATACCTTTTTAAAAGCTTCGGGTAATACACGTTCAATAAATCTTCTACAGTTTTCATGGACTTCACATAAACCTTAAAATGTAAAAAAGATATCAATTTCTAATAATAATGCTATAGTAAGAATCATACATAAATACAGAAAAACTTGATATACAAGTACAGCATCTTATGAAAGTTCACTGTTACGACAATTTTTAAGTTACCGACGAAAAAGGGAAATATTATAGAACCAAACCAACGTTTGTAATTATTTCTGACATCAATGGTAATAGGTGAAAAAAAGACATTATTTCAACTTATTTTTTTCTTATAACCTTAACTTTTAATGTTCATAAACAATTGTATGGGGTTGACCAAGTTATCTTTCTTAGAAAAGAATAATTCTTATGCTATTTTTAAGAATTCTGCTAAGAATTAAGAAAAGTAAACATTTACTTTTCAGTTTTTTTTCCTTTCATGCATAACTAATACATTCATAAAATTTAAATCTAATATTAAACGACAACAAATTAAGAAAAAATATTTAAAGAAAACAAGTTTTTGTTAAATGTGGAGTTTCGAATTTTTTTATTATTTTGAACTATTTAATGCTAATTTATAAAAAATACGAAGAAAAAAAGAAAAATAACACTGATGAAACAAATAACAAACCTTAATTCCCAAACTTTAAAAATTCAAACGTCTTTTCAGAATCCTACAGTAGCGGTTGTTACTCATAACTTGACTCATACACATTATAAACTTGTTAGATTTACAGCATTCTGTGTGACATAAGAAAAACATCTAAACAGAGATATTTAGTTTATAGTTTTTTACATACCTTCTTCTGCAAGCTGGGTAGCACTAATTATACACTTTCCAAGTGATTCTTCTTTTTTAAAAGGTATGGACCAATGATCTGTAAAAATTCTAGTTTCGAGCTCATACAAATTAGTAGTTGGAAATTCATCAGATTCCATTGCTTCATCTGGCTTGTTGAGATTTGTTTGAACTGCCTGGAAGATAAGATAAATAAAAGTTAAACAAAACTTCAAAACAAAAGATAAAAGAATCTTTCCCCACCTTTGTTATAATTTCACTGTTGTAACATCAATTATATCCATATTATAATACAACATAGATAAATGAATAAACATTAAATTCAAAGCACAATTTTCAGTCAAATTATTCTACAAATTTTAAAAAGCTAGACAAAAGAAGGCAAAAACTTTTAATAAAATTAGAAAATATGCATAACATGCTATGTCATTTTGACCTCATATTTCCTTATCATACATAAAATTTTACAAAACAAATTTACATATTTTTTTTTTTTTTTTTAAATCGTTAGATACGTTAAGATACTAGGAAATAAATAGGCAACAAATGTTTCTTAAAACATGTTTAATTCAAACAATAATAAAAACACAATATATTTTATTTAACTTTAAATTAATTAGTCATTCTAAAATGCAAAGTTTTAAAACTTTTTTTCTTTTTGGTAGACAGGTAGCATGTATGAGCGTATCAGTACTGATAACAAAATTAAAGTCAGTACTGATAACAAAATTAAAGTTAATAAAGATTGATTCAAAAATTGCAATGTAGGCAAGATAAAAAGGGACATTAAAAAATGAAATTTTAATTGAGATTGTAATTAAGATGCAAAAAAAATAATTCATTATACTTTAGAAAATATTCAAACACAAATTTGGGTGGAAAAAATACAATAAAGCTGAATCAAGCTTTCAAAATAAGTCAAAGAAAAATATATACTGAATTTAACATAGATATACATTTAACATATACTGACTTGTACGAAATTTTCATTTTTTTTTCTTTATTACAGTAAATAATAAATCAAAATATTAGTGTAAAATGAAAGATTCATAATAGGATAGCTAACTTTGAGTGCCCTATGAGCAAATTTTGACCTTCATAATACATGTAACATACTGCAAACAGCTTTTTCATACATTTTATATATTTATAATTATTATGCACACATGAGATATATGCACATAAAATAAAGATGTTAAGGAAATTTTACAAGCTATAAGTCAAAACAATTATAAACAATTGAAAATCTACTTAAATAATTCCCTTTCAAATTTAGCGATATAAGAATTAAATCATAAAAATAATGCATGTAGAACATAACCGACAAAAATATGAGATAAAGATGCAAAGAGCTAGATAAATGTTTAAAAAACTCAAAATTTTAACTTCCTGAGATTCTATGTTATTTTAGAAACTTTATAAAGAGCAGTGTTAACCTGTCACTGCAAAATTTCCATTTGAAAAAAGCATAAATAGTGAATTATACTATCATTATTTTAAATATCAATAGTGAATCAAGTTTTTTAAAAATAAGTCAAAAACTTATTATTTTCATTTTTTAAAATGAAACTTAACAAGTATTATTTAGCATCTGAAAAACTAAACTAAACTCAACGGCACGACAACCCATGGATACATTTTTGATTATTTAATTGGTTAAAAAATTGCTCTTAATAACATGGATATCTGTGTACTTTAGAGAAATACAAACATTGACGGACATGATACTTTTATAAAATTTATCTACTGTTTTATGAAATTGAGGTAAAAATTTTGAAACTTGTGGGTCAGTTATTTTGATAGCTAATAATCTTGAACTTTGAAACTCTAGTGTTTGCATTTAATTAAGAGGTAATAATAAAAAAACTTATAAAAAGATACATTACAATAGTCTTTCTAAACTAGTCCTGGCAAAGGCAAATCAGGGATGGGATGAACACATTCTGCCAAAATTTCACATTTTTTTTTAAATTTGAGAAATTTAAGTTTCAAAGAAGGAAGGGCCATGCAAAAAGTTTTTCTAAAATATTCAGTTAAATAACTTAAAAATTATGTTTTTTTTTTCTGAAAAAAATTTTACAAGTGGGTGTCAGAAATTTTCACGCACCATTTTAATAAATTTATTAAAACCTACATTAAAATCTACACATTAACATTTTTAACAGCATTTAGAATTTATAAAAATAAAAAAAATCATGCTCTAATTCATTTTATTATGCTATTGCGTTAATTAAATCAGGGTGCGTAGCCAAATTATTCAACAAAACATAAGCACCTTTCAAGCACTCAAAAAATATTTTCAAGCACTCTAAAAAAATATGATAGTTAGGCAGGGATGGAAAGTTTTTGACAATTGTCAAAAATCATGAACTTTTGAATCATGTAAAACAAATGGCACTTTTATACGCTATGAACTGACAATACGCCGAAATAGATTGGGTTTGAGTTAATTGTGAAAATAACAAAACATTGAATAGAACAATGTGAACCGTGTCTTGTGGCATAATTCGTAACGAAAATCAACAAGGTACAGGAAAAATCTCATTTTCAAAAAGGGAAAATTAAGCACATTTTAAAAACACCCAATGAAAAAAGCACCTTTATGGGCTTTTAAAAAAACGAAAATAGGTACATTTAAGCACTTTTTAATAATGCTATGCACCCTGTAAATATATTATGAACACAAATGATGAAATAATGAATATTAATGTTTTATAATTTTCAAGTTTACATATTAAATATTTTTATCGCCCATCTTTCGAAATGGAACAATTACAACTAGTTAAAAAAAAAAATTCTGAAATTTATTTACTGAATTCATTTTATTACAAGCAAACCCTCCAAGGGGAGACAGCACCAAATGTTAGTAACTATAAGTCTGACTGACCCATTTAGGGGATATTTCAACATAGGTACCTGACTACGCTAATTACCAAACCTAAGGCACTAAAGACTTTTTATTTGCAAAAATTATTAAAAAATATACAGTTCTCCCAGGGTTGGCTCCCATTAACTTAATTTTCTGAGTTCATAAAATCATATGATTTCAATGATCGCCACCGAGTCGATCGAGCAATATCTTCATACTTCTATATCACAATAAGATGATTTAATTTTAGCATTTTTATTGAATTTGTTTATAAATTGAACTCACTTGGGTGTTATTAAGCGGCTCGTAAGGTGGAGGCGCGACATTACTGACATGACTAGAAGAAACATCTTTCATATTTTCATCACTCCCTAAATGAAATTCAGCATGTTCATTAGTAAGTATAGAGACAGCTTCGTTGATATCATTCTTTCCAAGCCGCAAAGCTTTCCTAATATCGTCAATATTTTCAAATCCCATACTCAACAAAGTCGTAATGTTCTCCTCCTGATCCATGTCGCACTAGCATTTCTTCGAATATTATACACTGATAGACGGATTTGGAACTATGACTATAAATTTTGAACACAACTTTATCACAATTGGTTGTTTATACACTTGTTAATAGTTCTAATAAGCTAAAAACATTAAAACAGTACTAATACTACACTAACACACATAAAACAACGTTATAAACATGCGCGCCGCCATGTTGTTCTATTTTGATAGCTGTAGTAGAAGTTTTGTTTTCATTTCGATTGAAGCCAGCACGTGAATTTAAATATAGAACTAGTAAATTAGCGGTACTAAAAGTTGAAAAAATGTTTCTCGTTTTTAAACGTAAAATATTCGTTTTTCAGTTTAGAGGAAGCCTCGTTGTAACTGAATCAGATTTTCAGTTTATTCGGAATCAAAATATTGGGTATTATACGTTCGACATTAGGCTTGATGGCAAAGTTTAAATGGAAAAAAAAGAGTTTTAAAAGAAAGGTTGCAAGGAAAAATCTGAAGTTCTTTTGTTTGCTTAAATGTTAATATCGCGTAAGAGTCACATTGCTGCACTGTTGGTAAAGGACTGTGATTGATCATCAGCGTGCAATCGTGTGAGTTTTTGCCAGATCCCTAGAGATTGTGCACTGATTACCCGTCTCCGCACCACGCCTTCCAACCGCTGAATCATGCTTGGACTTTTCAAGATTTAAAAACCACCAGCAGGTTTGATTCGGAACCACTAAAATACTATTAGAGAAAGGGCGAACTCAGTTTTACCAATGGAAATCGAACCCTGACCCAAGTCATGAAAGGCGAAGCAATATACCCACCATACTTGCCTAGGCGGAAATAAAATTCTTCTATCAATGTAATTATACAAAAAAGTAAAAACGGAAAAGTAAGTTCGTATTTCATCTGATTGATAGCTGTTACACAACAGCAACAAAAGTACATTTAGGCGATTTCGTTCAATTTTGAGATTTTGTCACTTAAAATTACGTATGTAATGCCCGTAATGTAAAAATTTGCTCGTCTTACAATAATAAAATGTTCATCATTATTAAATTAGATTATAAATAATTATAAAATTATACTTTTTAGCATGAAATTATTTTTGGATAAACGAATGTTAGAACTGTGAGCAAAATAATTTTGATCCTCTTAAATAATTTTAGGTATGGTTAATTGAATTACTCAAATATAATTAGCATATTAAGGAGCTCAAACATTCGTTTACACGCCACAGACTAAAATATTTCCATTATACTTTCCAGATTGTGTAATGTACTCCATTACATTACTTTAAAGGTAAGTAATCCGAAAACAAAAGTTGTGTTTTAAAATTATTTCGAAATGAAATATATCAAAATTTAACCAGATTTTTCAGATAAATACTTAACATATCGTCTACATTAATTAATTAGCCTATTAATACGCTTAAAGAAGAAAAAAAGATTAAGATTTTATAATGATGCATACAAATCAGATCATCACATCAAAGACGGCGCCAGTAGTTAATCAGGGGCAATTGCCCTCCCCCCATTGGATAAATCTAAAAATCGTCGGAAAAATGCTACTGTCTTGCAAAGAAATATAATTAAATTCTTAAAAAAATCTAATTTTTTTTTTTTTTTTTCGTAAATAAGAATTAATTAAAAACATAAGGGCGAGAATGTGTTCATTTTACTTACAATTGAATGCCAACTTCCTATTGAGTTGACAAACTTTTTGTTCCTCGAAAAATTCTGAGGGTCAAGCCTTTTGTTTGTGGAAAAGTATGGAATATATGGAAAGTTATTCAACACCCCTGAGGGATAGAAGATTATCTGAACTCCTACCCATCGTCCTCACGTGACCACACTTTTTGAGACTGACTATAATACATGCACACTTTCTCCACATTCAATAAAGAAAAGAATTTTGTAAAACGTTGCATCGTCAAAAGTTAAAGAATTCCAATTTTAAATTAATTGGAAGAGATGAAGTAGTAAGTTGGTTTGTCAATCTTTTTTTTTTTAATTTGCTCTTAAATAGTTTACATATTTATATATGCTTATAAATTCAATAGATTCCTGCAAGTGACGTAGTGTAGGTATCTCGATCCTGATTAGTTGTTGAAACGCGGAATTTGTTTACGTTAGCAACTGTTCTTTAAATTCTATTTCGAGTAAGCCAAGCCCGTCAAATATCAATTCTCTTAAGTGATACATTCGTTACTCTTTCACAAGGATATAAATTCTTCGATATATTTCTTACTTAATACAAAGACAGGTACGAAGCCATGTAGAACATAAACAAGCTAATTACGCATCGAAATTGCCAGAAACACAAAACAAAAATCTATCACGATTACAATAAAATACATAAGCAAATAATAAATCTAAGTTAAGTACGAGGCGTAGACGAAAAAGAATTATATTTCAATGAATTCAATGTGTGATACGACACTGTATTTAATTAACTCCACGTTAATTAACATTCTAACCTATGTGGAGAAATTTGGCTAAATCTAAACAAGCCATTTTGCTTATAAACTATCAGATAGTGCTGACGTCATAGGTCACATGTGTGTGTATCCGTGATCTTTTTCTTGAAGTACAAGAATCCAATTATAATTGCTCAGATATGAGTTAAAATAGAAAATAAACTTGTAATACCCATACATGCCAAGTTGTCTTATAAATTACAATAAAGATGACCTCGTCGAAAAAGTTCACCTATCCGTTGAGAAAATGTTTTTAAAAAAAAAAAAATATATAAATTTATTCTATTATGCTGAATTTTATTTATTTGTTTTTAGTATTATTATAGGCACCGCTTTCTCCAAAATTGTGAGATAGAGGAATGGCAAAACTGCACAGCAATTCCTTTGATCGACATATATTATAAGCGTTATAACCGTCGTTGAACAGCCGACCCGATTTTTGGGTTTACGACTACTAATGTTCAACTCCGTAGCCTTGTAATTTTGAACCCAATCCAGAAGACAAGGGAACTCCCGGATCAAGTATTGGGAGAAATTTGCCTTCGTGGAGGACTTTTTGATGAAACTAACCCGCATTTGCGTTACACGAAGAGGATGACCACGAGAACCTCCCACTGTTAGTCCCACAAGGGGTCTCTTACCCATGATCCATCTACCACTGAAGACATTTAACGTCCGCACTGGTCGTTGCAAGCCGGATGAGGAATTCGTAATGACCAGCCATCGCCGGGATCGAACCCCGGTTCACCTCATTGGAAGACGAACGCTCTATCCCCCCTGAGCCATTATAACGAAATTTATAGTATAGCATTCTAAATTTTTCATAGTTTTTTACAACTTAAATAATAAATATTCTAGAGCCGCCGATATGACTTTTATGATAAGTGATTTAGCTCTCACTTCCCATGGAGGAGACTTGGATTTGAATCCCCGTTTTAATTCGCATACTGCTCTCAGTTTGCACTGACGAAAGTTGCGATAAACAGTAATACTACAGTGGTAGAGAGATCATGTCATGGGTGAGAGTAATCACGCCCTCGGGCTAACCGTGGGATATTTTCATGTCTTTTTCTACTAACGTAAAGCAAATAAATATGAGCTTGCTTCAATTCTGATATCCTGCATGAAAGTGAATTTGTCCTAAAACTTTACCTAGGAGTTACTTTGTACTCTAAGTTCCGTTCATAATTGCACAACTACGAATTTTAGCATTAAAAGCAAAAAAATCATCTGCACGAATTAATACCAGTACTAAAGTAAATTGAACATTTTATTCATTTATTTTTTTGCCAAGATATTTGTATGAAATGAAAAAGAAAAGATACTATCACATAATTATTTAAAACCAACTTCTTTTTGTTTTCTAAATGTTTTTTTTTATTGTTTATATTTTTTTTATTTCCAATGGCAGATTATAGACAGTAACAGCATACATAAACATCTAAAAATAAGAACAGAAACAAAAGATGTTGCAACAGAGTCTAGTGTTAAGTAAATGTACATTTGCAAGGTTTATTCCCCTTTCCTTTCTTTTTCATTAGCAGATGAACGATTACTACTTATTCAACTTATTATATTTTAAAACTTTAAAAACGCATGAAAATAAAAGATACGCAATTAAAATTTAAAAAAAATAAAAAATAGAAATTGTAATTTTTTTTCTGGAAATTTTTGCAACACATATAATTAGTTTAGTATAATTTTAATATACCTTCCATAGCCGCAAATAATTATTCTTTAAATCAAAATTTCATTTCATCCTTGTGAAAATTTTAAATGCAATAAAAAAAAGCTTGATATATCGAGAAACATATTGTAAGAAGTTCGATGTATAGATACCTTCAAAATATTAATATTTAAGATACAAAAATTCTTTGTTAAAAAATATGTTTGCCTAACTCTGTAGCTGCAAAAATTCTTTTCATGAAAATGCATTTTTCTGTTATTTAAGTTAACTAAGTTATACGAAAAAGGACAAAATGGAAGATATATGTTTTTATTTATGTCTGATATTAACAGTGAAAGTGAACATCATTTCACCCTATTTTCTTCTTCTCTATCTTAATCTTTTAAATTATTAAAGCATACATATGTGGATAACCACCAGATAAATTATCTTCCTACATAAATATGAAAAATATTTTGCTGTCATCAGCAATATTGTCCTATATTTCAAATAGATGTACAGTGCGCAAGAAAAAAAAAATAACAGATCCACCTGAATAACTTTTGATCTAATGCTAGGATTTTCATGTTCGAGGACTCAATCTTTATGGTTCAAAAGGTTGACCTCAAATATGCTAATTAATGTTAGTTTTACTTTTTTCGTATTTTACCATATCCCAAAAACTTTTTAAGCGAATCGAAAAAAATTTTGCACACAATTATTAAATTCATTTTCCTAAAGATAATTTCATGCAGAATATAACTTTTAGTAGATATTTATTATTTTATATTATTTTATTAAATAATAATTAAAAAACTTTTGAATTGCAAAACATGCAATTTTTTCGTAAGATGAAAGAATGCAATTTTAAATGGCAAATAAATACAAAATTGAGCAATATCGGTCGAATAGTTCCTGAGAAATCAAATTTTGAAAAATTGTATTTTCCGAAATTCAGCCCCCTTTAATTTTTTGTGTCTTAAACTTCATAAAAATAAAAGCTAAAGTAAATTTAAATCATAGTGGAAAGAATGTTTCGCGCTGATATGTAATTGAAGGGGTTCTGCAGAGCGAAAGATAAATCTTGCTGGAAAGTCTGCTTTCTGCAAGAGAAAATAAGACACAGGCAGACAAAAAGCAGTCATATATTGCAAATTTTCAGAAATGTAAAATGATTTATATTCATTTCTAGAACGCAAATTGAAAATTTTTAATAGAAAATTATTAAAAATTTAGCTTTATTTTTCGAATTTTAATTCTTCATTGAGAGAATGAGTGAGTAAGCCGCTGGACTCACTCTTTCTCTCAAATGAAGAAATTAGCATTGTGTCGAACACAAATAGCCCTTTAAAAGCATCTTCGAGAGGAAAAAGTGATAGGGAGAATTTCTAAGTCTCTTTATATTTGTTTACATATATATTAGTGGGCTGCGCCCCCTGCTCGCTAACTCTCGCCAACCCCCGAAAATTGCTACGCAATCTTGTTTGGTTTGTTTCGCTCGCTACTAACTTAGGTACATTGCAAATGCACAAAATTCATTCAATTCCATATAGAAACTTCTTTTTAAAAAAAAATTACATCTTTTTAGTAAATACTAAGTCATTAAAATAAATTTGAATTCAAATAAGTGACATGTGCAGAAATGTGCTATAGTATAATTCGTGATATAGATCAAAAATTGTCAAATAAATTCGTATTATATAAATTCGTGAAAAAAAGCGCTTTCGACAAAATACTAAAATAGAGATCTATCGACAAAGACTACTCACTTCTGAAAGCTTAATAGTATGAGATTGCCGCAGCTGATGCTCTCCGGTTATTTCAGTTTCCGTTTTTAAAAGCGCTGTATGTTGAGTTACCTCAGCTAAATTTGGCATGTGACATTTTTAGCGGCAATCATTGGTCGATTTTCTAGCGTTGCCATTCGGGGAGTTGTAATGAGGCTTTTTTTTGTCGCCGTTAATTCAATGTCTAATTCAGGGGTTCTAGTCACGTAAACAAAACAAAGCAAACGTTGCCACCGGCGGAAAAGAAATACAGCCAAAATTTGGGAGCCACGTAAGAGAATTATATATATTAGATTAACATCGTCTGAAATTGCATGAAGCTTCAACCAGACCTAAATCCATTGGAGAACATGTGGAATAAAGATTTGTTGTTTAGGTAAACTGGACAGTCTGACAAAAAAAAAAATATAGTAAACAATGCCTTAAAAATCTAGTTCTCAGATACGAAAATCAGAATATATATTAAATCAGCAACAAAACAAGAAGAATTTACAGCTACGAAAGGAAGACGTGTTGTATATATAAAGGATTAAAATGAATAAAATCATGGATGTTTTGGAAAAAAGAAAAGATTTTTATTTTTGCTTTGTCTCCAATAGTTTGAACGATATAGAAGATTCAATATTCAATGGTTGTTTGATTTATTCTAATTTATAAAAACAGTAGTTCTGTTTCTTTAGATATTTGTATGGAGTGACGAAAAATAAATTATCTGAAGTCTAAAATAAAGAAATCAAATTTACCATTTTCATAAAATACAGTAAACTCTATAAGAATAATAAATGTTTATTAAATAAATTTGAGAAATGACGGATGAAAGCGATATAATTTACAAATGTATTGGCACACTCTCTTGTTCTCAGCGAACTCAAAATCTTCCCCAGCGTCTAAGAAGATATTTGGGAGCAGGAACAACAACTCTTTGAGGATAATCATCATTCGTTTCAGAAAAACTAGGCTCCTGATCTGTAAAATAATAATAAAAATATACACACAATTAAAAAACTGTATGTAATTAGGATAAACAAATAATTGTTTACGCCTGTAATCAAGCTTTTTCTTCCAATTCATAAACAATTTTCTTTTCCCAAATAAAACTTTTCAAAACAGTACCAATTCTTTCATTGTTAAAAAATATTAATAAGTAATTATTTTAAATATAATCAGTATTAAATAAAATATTTAGTATTAAATAAATTTATTCACATTAATATTTTTAATTCAAATATTTTTTTTCTCTGTAAATTCTAATTTTTTCAGTCGTGAGAATGAAATAATTCTTGTTAAATTGTTATGTGCTTAAAGAAAAACTTATTCTTTATTGCAAAACAGCGTACAATTTCCAAAATGTTTGTATTTATAAACATCTGATTGTGAAATATTTAAATCCGTATCTTCATAATTTGTTATTCCATCAATGACAATTCCATGCGATAACATTATCGCGGAACAAACCAATCATCATGGAAGTCAATAACTAAACAGTGCATGGAAAATCAATGGTTGCGCAGATGTAAAATCGTTATGGCAACACGAATCAAAATTCAAATCAGACTCATATTTTTATATAAGTAATTCTGAGTCGTATATCATTTGAAGGTCAATAGCATGTTTTATACAGTCATCGTATGCTAAAATATAAATGTTTCATAGTTATCAAATTCACTCCTTTGAGTACTAGAGGAAATTTAGTATTTCCAAGAAAAAATGTAGATGATAAGCATTTATTTAACGGGAAATAAAAAACAAGAACAAGCAGGTAGTTTAGTGAACCTAATTGAGTGAATCTTTTCGTTTAAGTTCTAAATATCTCCTTTTTTGTTATTATCAGTTTTAAACTTTATAGTTCCAGCAGCACATTAATCGTTCTTCGTATTGGGAAAAAATTAAGCTATTAATAAATCAGTATTGAACTACACTACGAATCCATACACAAAACTGAAAGACGACTGAAAACTGAACACGATTAATAAAGCCAAAATAATTTTCTTTTCATTTATTATTTTTTGTCCTTGCCGATGGCACTGCATTATTAGTTCAAGCAAAACACGTTTTTAGTAGTTCATCCCATCAAAATAAGGATAACTGTATACAGTACTGTTTTGGAATGATGTTATGGTCAACTCATGATCGTCAAAATTTATCCCAACAAAGCGATTTTCTCTGATACTTATCCCTTTCATTACCCATTAAATACCTCTTTCCACATTATCTGTATTAAAATTGCACGGTATTAATGTAACTTTTATAGGTTCCAAATATACTAATTTATCTCGATTATATTTGGTATTGATTAAAATACACCAATTACCACAATACCAAAAGTACCCATTACCAAAACTAATAAAGTACCATCGGCGTCACTAATTGTAGTATGGCAATTTCTTACGTTCCTCCTGAACGAATTAGTAAAATTTTTCCACTATTTTAGTTTTTAGTTTGGGCATCAAAAAACAGTTTGACGATTTACTACGATTCTCCTTAATGAATTACTATCATTTCTTCATTAATTTTTCTCTTTAGGATGTACCTTATTATTTTTTAATTTCAATTAGTACTTTTTACCAAATTTAATCAAGTATCATTGTCAACACGAGTGTAGCGATTTTTTTAACCTTTTTCCTGACCAATTTAGTTCTATTTCTCCATTAATTTGGCTTTTCTGTACGTATCTTTTATTTTGTTTCAAATACCGTTGATTTTAAATTATTTAGTTTCATAGAGTTTTGTTTTAAAAGTTTATGTTTACGTTTTATGTTATATATAAAAAAATAATAATAATGGAACACTTGGTATCCTCGTACTTGAGAAATACTATTTTGGTGACGTAGTTCACCTATGCTATCACATTCATGTCGATTATTGAGTTTGTCTGACATAACGAATAAAAATTAATTAAATATCTAAGAACATGCAATAAACTCCTTTTCTTGATTAATGAGAGCTATAAGCAAGCAAACATCACTGACGCTATCTTTAAAATCGTCTGCATTTAAAATCGTAATTTCTATCAGTGGCGCTTTCTCTAAAACCAATAAGAAAATTCCCTTTTTAAATATCTCTCCTGGATGATCTAAATAAAGTTTTTGATCGATTTTTGGGTCGGGCGCTAAAATTGCTCCTTTTACCCACTGTCCTAATTTGAAGACAATAGATCAAACGGTTCTGGACTTATACACACAGGAGAGGGAACACACACAAGCTTTAACTTTTTCATTATTATAGATATAATTTTCCGCTTATTATTAACGCATAAAGAAGGTGAAGGATCCATGGTACCTGGATTTTAAAACAATCAAGATTACTTTTCAAATTTCGTAAAGTTGACCGAAGCTTGCTTCTGAATAAGTTTTTACTCAAAAATATCTCTAAATGCCTTATTTTATAAAGAAAAAAAATCATTACTTACGTGAGAAAAAAAAACCACATGCACAATTGTTTAAGCGAACGACTCTATAAATTAGTCCTATTTTGAAATAATTTTTAATTTTTCTTGTGTTTATATTCTAAAAAAGAATTTGTAGTAATTGAAAATAAGTAATGCAAAATTTTTAAACTTATTTTACTATATTTCTTATGAATTATACGAATACAGAGTTAGTTTAAACTATTTAACATTAGGTAATTTAATTTGAAGTTTCGTTTTATGAGGAATACCGTACTTATATAATTCATTTAATGTAAAACACCTTAAAAATGTAATATTTGTTAAAATTATTTTTAAAGAGCCATTTATTAGATGTTAGCTTACCTGATGATTCTTTAATAGTATCTTGATTCTTTTCAAATGGATATTTATATTCTGACTTCGTTGCAGCTTGCCACACTGAAAAATTAAATTAATTCTCTTAGAGAACGAATTTAAATAGGTTGTAGCCTTAAATGACTATTAAAAAACCAAGAAATAGCAATGTTATTTCTCAGATAGCATTTCAATTACATAAATCTTATGAAACAAAAAATCTAAAAGTATTGCTGCGTTATTAAACAACATTTCCAGAAAATTCTGTTCAATGTTAATATTTTCACATTAACACATTTTTCTACTAACATTTTATTCTTTTATTCAATTTTTTACTCTATTTTAATTTTTTAATTAAATCGTATGAATATTTGAATCATACATGAATTTATTTTATTTTAATTTTGTTTTTCGCACTTCATTCTTTGATGCTTACAATTAGTTTCCAAAACTATATCTGTGATTCGATAATTTCAAATGTGTTTGTTATAAAATTAAATATTTCTATTAGTTTTCGCATCACCTTACTCTTATAAGATTATTCTAATACATCAATATTTATCACAAATCCAAGCCCTCTTAGAATTTTGGAAATAGTAGTAATAGAATTAAAATAAAAAAACATTTAAAGAAACCAAGTCGAAAGACTTACTTTCATGATGGTGTACCTCTAATTAGGAAAAAAGAATAAATTAATTTTCAAATTCAATTTGATTTAGAAGTGATTTAAAATTTGTACTGACGAATAAAAATGGAGCAGAAATTTTGAGAACTGTGTTTTCAGTTTTCTATATCGTGTGAATACCATAAGCAAAAAAAGTATTAATTTTTTTTTCGTTGAATGTCTCAAATTTATATGTACCTGTATTTCAGATATTCTTAAGGATTTCTTCATTTATTATTATCTTTATTAAAATATTGCAGTTATAATTTATAAAAAAAAATAATTTGCATATTTCGCACTGTAATATACAATTTTGTACAAAATTTGAAACTGATAACTAATAATAATATGCAGGTAATAGTAACTGCAAACTAATAATAATATGCAATTCTGTACAAAATATGCAAACTAATAACATTCTTTAAATGTTTCACACATATATGTATTTAGGATATTCATAAGGATTCCATTATTTATTATTACGTTTGTTTAAATATTGCTGTTATAATTTATAAAAAAAAATAATAAGGTGCATATTTTGAGCGTTAATATACGACAAATATTTTAAATCAACCTTTCTATAATTTCCTACGGATGAAATTTTATTTCTTTTTATTTAATGAAAAAAGTATACAAATACAAACTTTTAACAAATTACTTATTAATAAATTTTAGAATTGTGCAAATGTTTAATTACGTTGCTTATCATAACATCGAATAATTGGTCTGAGAATTATTCGTTCCAAGAACTTCCATCGAAATTGTAATTGCTGTTATTGTACAGCTAAAATTACAAATTATAAGACCCATACAAATACATTCATTTCTTCTAATCTAATTTAAATATGTATTTTGATTATGATAAGACATCCGTGTTGAGTATATCGATTCATATATTTTAATTTTCAGCTTAAATATAATATCCATTAAAATAATATTCGTAACAAATAATAGTTAAATACATGCATTTCACTATTATATATTACTGCAGTAATAGTGAAGTTAAAGTTTAGAGAAAAATTTTCGTCTAACATTCAAAATTAAAAATAAAATATAAAGGAAATCGGTAAATATTTTGTTAAAGGATTTAAAATAATGCATGAAACTTTAAAAAATATTGAGAGCAGCATAATTTTTTCTGACGATTCCTTCAAGCTCGTTGAAACAGTTGCCTTTTATCAAAAATTTTTATTTGAGCTTCGTACATTATTTTTTTTTCAAATTGTATTTTATTTAAAAAATAATTTTTAAATAGAAATGCGTGCTTTAAAGCAATTCAATTTAAACGATATCATCTTTTCGTAAATTTTAAATATCCGTCCCTATATGGAAAGAAAAATTCTGGTAAAATTACCGTACTGTATAGTAATTGGTTATGACATCTCTGGTATAAAAAATATCTTATAATTTTGGTAATGATAGTCAAAATATACGGTATTTAAACCATTCATTTGGTAATTTTTCTGTTCATATGCTAATGGTTTGCCGGAAATTCTGTTTTTGGTTTTCAAAATAAATTATAATTCTTATTACCACACATTTAATAGAAAATAAAAACTCAAAAGTAAATTTTATTGAATAAATAGTGTTATATGCCATGATTTAAAGGTATCATGATAAAAGTTCTAAATTTTGTTACATAGAAACCATATTTTATAGGTATTTTATTATTAAGTATTACTAAAGCGCTTCGTTAAAAATTACCAAGCTTCTTGGTGGGCCCATTGGTAAATTTTACTATATTCTAGTAGTTATGACCATACTTTTTTCCCCAGTGCAATTACTATTAAAGCTTTGCATTTTCATTTTCAAAATAGGTATTTATTTTGAGAAAGACGGAAAGAGAAACACATCCTGGATATGTTTCAAATGCGGATGTCTTTAAAATTTAGTGCACATGAAAAATTTTAGGAAATTTTTTTAGCTTTTAGTATATTACCAGAATCAACTTTAAGTTCATTAAGTGTTAATTTTAACATAAATGTTTAAATAGCTTCAGAATTGTTTTATTCTTTCATTGCTTTAAAAAAAAGTTTTAAGGAATTTGATTTAAGCTTTCAAAAAAACTGACTTCAAAGAAAGAAATTTAAATATAATTTTAAAAACTTTTAAACTTTTATTGAAAAAGATAGTTTAAAATTGATAATAAAATAATAGTTATAATAATAACAGTTATTAATATTATTATTACATAAACAGAAGCATTCTATTTTACCTAATTTCTGTCCTTCTCTTTGGTCGGGATCGAGTAGATCAAGTGTATTTTCGTCGTAGTTCAAAAGGTTTGATATTCCATGCAAAGACATAATTTTTCTGCAATCTGAAAGAAAGAAAAAAAAACTATGTTAATGACATTTTCATTGAAATTACCAAAACTGTCATTCGACATACTTTTATTTTACTCTTGAAAAAGTGATTTATAATCAAATGAAATTCGTGCTGTCTAAATAAACGCGACAAAGTGCTGCTTTCTGAATAAGTGATTTTGAAAATTTATTTCTCATTGCTTGAAGTTTTCAGGTAAACATTCCGTGGGAAAAAGTATTTAATCATTGCAGACTCAAAACATTTCACAAAACTAGCACAAATACAAATGAAAATAATAATCGTCCCAAAAATTTTAGTGAATCTTTTTTGTTTTTTGAAATCAAAAAGAAGAAGAAAAGAACAACCGCCATGGTGCATGTAACCTATTTATGGTAACATAACACACCTAATATATATAGTTATATAAATATAGATTTATATTTCAAGTATACATACTAAATTATCACTTATTAGTTAACTTAAAATTCATTTATTATAGATAAAATTTAAGATTCTAATATTAGTTTTGTATATTTAATAAAAAAGGATACTCTAGTTTTTTTTCCGTAATTTTTTTCACCAAATTTTATGAAACATTGTTTTAAAAAATATGGCACGTCTTTGAAATATTTTAAAAACAATGTTCAATAAATTATGGCATATCCCCGAATTTGAAAAAGCTACCTGGAAGTTTTTTCCCCTTAAAAAGCAAGGAGTATTACATAAATAGTTTACTAAATATCTTACAGTGCTCGAAATAAAAAGTTAAACACTTTAATAACTTTAGATTTAAAGGATTTTCACATGAGCAAATCCTAATGATTAATGATGAAGAGACTTACTTTAAATGTGCTAAAATATTTGTTCAAACGATATTTAAAAATAAAAAATCAGACACAAAACTACCAGAATACTATAAAATTTTCCGAGTTTCTTTGCTCTATGGTAGCACTAAAAAGTGCAGTGATTTTAACCGAAGCGCTTTGGTAATGATTTTGATAAATTTAACATTAAAATATAGTTTTATTAATATGTGATATAATATACTAAATATGATAAAATTTGGTAACTTTATCATAATACCTCAGAGCATGGTATATGAATCCATTTATGCAGTTAAATTTACTTTTGTATTTTTTATTAAATGTGTGATAATAAGAGCTATAATTTTGAAAACCAGAGTTTCTGGTAAACCGTAACTGTATGAAGATAACAATTACCAAATGAATGGTTTAAATATCGTATATTTTGTTTTTTAATACCAGAATTAAGCTGTTTTTTTTTAACCAGAAATGTCATTATCATACAATACGGTAATTTTACCAGAATGTTTTTCTCCTTGTAGTGTAAAAGCAATTTCAAATTTACGAAAAGGTGGTATTGATTTTGATTCTGGGTTAGAGGTGAATTTGGGTATAATAAGAATATAGCCTTGTACCCGGAAGTAAAAAGTTCATAGAACTACGATGCACTTGAAGCTTTCCGGAAACATTTCCAAGGCCGTGTCAGTAGGATATCTTGGTAAGCACAGGTGTTATTCTAGCTCAGCGGCTCCCAATTTTTTCCAGCTACGTTACCCTAAATGATCTATCATTTTTTTGTGGAACCAAGATTTTATAATTAATTAACAATAGTAAGCAAATTAACCAAGGAAGCATCGTTTTGAAAATTTTGAATGTGACTAATTAAATTAATTTTTTTCATAGTTTAAAATTAGTAATAATCTTAAAATTAGGTGTTATCTTAGACAATGGAATTTACAAGTCTGGATTTTTTAAAGCTAAATTTAATTTTTATAACTCATTTGTTTCATATGTGTGAATATCTTTGAAAATACTTATTTTGAATGTATTTACTATGAAAACACACCATCCAGAAACTGTAAGAAATATAAAATGTAGCAATGCAAAAAAAATATATATATGAATATTTAAAGTATTTCAATGTTAAATTTAATGTAGAACACCAATAAAATTTAGAGAATTTTAATGGGTTAGAATTACTTAAGTTTTTTTGTTATGAGTTTATTTCTAAATATTTTATTAAATATTTTATAAAATATTGTATAAAAGTTTCATTTTTTATTTAAAATTGTTATAATGGTGTTATAGTTGTAAACAAAGAAATTCTGAAATCATAAAATTTAATTCTATGTTAAACCAATGTAATTATTTTTCATGGGTCAAAAGGTTATAAGCATGCAGAATATTTAACAAACACTTAAAGTTATTTTGAATCATTATCACATTAATCATTATTTTGAATTTTAAGAACATGAAAGAACTTTCTATAAATATCAAACTTAAACTTCCATTAATATTACTCGAAGAAAAAAAACCGTTTTCTAATGTCTTTTTTCCCACATTATAGATACAGAAAAAGAAAAACAAAATATATTTGATTAAAAAAAAACATTAAAAAAACAATTGTTCAATAAATTCCAAAAAATAAATTTTGAAAGAAAAAAAAAAGCTTTAAGATGTTATAAAAAAAATCTTGCATAAAAAAAAACAATTGTTCAATAAGTTCCGAAATTTTTTTTTTTTAAAAAGTCGTTTAAATATGTAAAAAAAAAAAAAATTACCTGGAGCAGACGATGTTTTGCAATAACGTTCTACCAAGTGAACAAACTGGTACATGAGACGACCCATCTGGAATGGAAATGGCATTTTAATTACATGAATAAAGATATTAGAGGTCAAAGAAGTTACCCAGATATTTTTTGCAATGTCAAACTGAACTTTACAACTCAAAAAATTATTTTCTTTTCTAACCTAGATCCATTTTAAAAACATAGTATTTAAGTTTCTTTTTTCATTGTTATCGGAATTTTAAAAAAATTAAATATATCTCATTAACTAAGAAGGTTGAAATAAAACTAGAGAGGCGTAACAAAGACGAAGTTCACTTTAGGAAATACCCCAATTTAGAAATAATAATAATCCGAAAACTTGGTTATCGATTGAAAAAGGAATATTTAGTTTTTACAAAAGAAAATTAATATGTAGAAAATGTTTCGAAAATATTGCCAGATTGTGTTTTCAGTTATTGTGAAGACTATGGATTATAAGTATAATTCAATTACCTAGTTTATTATTTTGTTAGAAAATTTATAGAAAAATACCATATCTTTTAAAACAATTGTGTATGATATAAAATAAGAAAAAAGCGGAAAATATAAGTGCCCTTAATTATAACAATAATAATAAACTTGAAGTTTAGATACCCCGTTGAAGTTTATGTAATAAGAAAGTATATGTCAATTGCCTTAATCGAAAATTATGACGATTTTTCATTTTGGAATAATTATATACAAAATATTTTCATAACTAAAATCCTTTTATTAAAATAAACAAATACATAATTGCTAAAAAAATTGTTCAGAATCAAGTAAGTACAGAATAAAATTAGAAAATTATTAATTAAACTAATATAATTAGTAAAAGCTTTTTAACCACCGTGAAGGTAATACAATATCTATTATTCATCCCGAGAACAGACTGTAATTTTGACAATTGGGCAACTTTAAAATTTAAATTATAATCAACAGTTCAAAAATTGTAATTAATATAAAATTATAATTTGTAAATAAAATTTTAAAGTTTCAAAATGGTTGGAATAATTCTTAAACTATTTAAAGCTGTTGTCGCTTAGAGTAAAAACAAAGCAAAACATTGAGAAAAAAAATAGTAGGTACTATTTGTTGATATGTTTCTAAATTTAGCATAAGTAACTATCAATTGCAGAAGAATAATTTACATAATTATGTGTTGTATTGAAATGCCATATTCGAATCAAAAATATTTGAAAAGCATAAACATTGAAAAACATATGAAACATCTTAAATGACTGTAGAAAATACGAAGTAGAAATACGAATACCTGTGAAATGAAACGAAACATATTAAAATACTTATTTGGATACAAATTGTAAAATAATTTGTACACAAGATGCGTCGTAATGCTGTGCTTAATTTTAATCAAAAATGACATCAATGCAGACAATCCGTTCAGCAAACGATTAAGAAAATGTGGACAATCCTGCTATCGCTTTTGCAATTTTCAAAATTAAACTTTAGTTTTAGAACGAAATAAAGTAGACAAAAAAAAAAATTTGGTTAGGAATTGTAAAATAATTTGTACCCTAAAAAGTTCTTTACTTTAATCAAAAATGCTTTTATGTGATAACACATTTCTCAGCAACAAATTCAATAAATGGTGAGTCTTCATGATCGTTTTCTCAATAAAAAATTGAATTTTTGTTGCAGAATAAATTTAAACATAATAAGATACTTTTTTAGTTTCAAATTGTAGAATAATTAGTATTCTATACGGTGTCTTATCGATGCCCTTAAAACGCTTCAAGATAAGAGATGCATTTTTTTTTAAATATATGATTCAAATAAATGAGGAATTGTTTTCTATCGCTTTCTAATTTAGAATTTTTAGCTTTTGCAGCATGAAATAAAGCAAGTAAGAACACTTTCGACACATACATTATTTTACAGCAGTACTTTACAGGTAGAGCAAAATTTTAAAGCCATTTTAAGAAATTATAAATAAATAAATAAATCCTTAGAGACATTAAATACCTTTTCTTCGTAACTCAGCATTTCCCACATGGGTATTGCACTGGGAGAAACACTTTTCGTAAGTATTAGGAACAAAACTGCTAAAGGAACATACAAATTCATGACGAACAAATTACAAATTTAAACAAATACGCACAAATCGAAGCTTTCTTACATATCTTAAACGTAATAAGAACACTTTTAAAAAACTATAACGACGATCAGGTTTTGTTATTCGATTTCCGGACAAGGTGAAAGAGAGCAGAATTGTGTTGAACCTCCGAGTCTCGTCTTTCTTTTTATAGGTAACTCGAGAAGATGAGATGAAGGGGTCAGAGATAAATGTCGCAGGTAACAGACTTCAGAGAGAAAACAGAGACGGATGAACGGAAAAACCAACGTACCCACTACGTCTCTCCACCTCTTGTGCGTGCCTAACTCGGATCAAGGGTTGACGTCGTTTGTGAATATTAAAAATTCGTAGTTTATGAGATGCTAGATACGATCGAATTCTTAGAATAACTCCATTAAATTACAATTTCTTTTTTTCATTTATAAATTTGGATATGAAATATGGTTTTTTGCAATTGCCCGAGGCGGTAATTTAGCTCATGAGCGTGGTTCTTTTAAATCACGTTTTAGATTAGCATCATAGTCTTATAAAATATTTAGCTTTGAGGAATATTGAAGTAGAATTTGTTAATTAATTATTTTTTTGTTCAATAAATTGAAGTAAAATATTTTGAAAAAAATTTCTAGATTTTTTTGAAAAATAAGTATTTTAAAAATCCAAACGGAGAAATTTATTTGTGTTAAACGTAAAAATGGAGCTACAGATATTAACTGATGAAACGATATAAGATTTTCAAATGCCGACGAATTTTTCTTCCTATATCTTTCAGAAAGTGTATATATAGCCTACAAACATTATTTTTACAAAGTTTAAGTTGATTCAAGAATTAATATTGCAATGCAAAATACCGTTTTCAAAATAAACACTACAGAATTTCAGATGAAAGTAGATTTGAAACATTTCCCAAAGTTTAAGATAATTGCTCGATTATAAGGATTTAATGTTAAATTTGATTTGATCAGCATACGAGTATAGGCTCGCAATCAAAAATATATTAAGAAAAGTATTGTATTTTAGGTCGTTTTTCATATCTTAATTTTGAGCTTGAACAAATATAACCTTATTTACAATCTAAAGACAACATTTAAATACACAAACGGTTTCCTCTGAAATATATTTTTTAACAACCTAATAATAGGAAATTAAAATTTAGTCATCTAAAATAGAAATTGCAAACTGTACCAAGGTGCTGCATTCTCCCTTGTAAGGTATTGAAAAATTAGTTATAATTAAAAAATGCACAAAAGAAACTTTTATTCTTAATTTATTAAAAGGTTGCAGTAGTGACAAATGTATTAATACCTTTTTATTTTTCTCTGATGCACTCCAATACATAGTTACATTAAATACAAGTAGTATAGCACTCAATAAACACTGAAAGTGAAATAGATTTTTTTTTACATTTAAAGAAATTCAATTTTATTTCAATAAATGCTTCATAACTTAAAGTTTGAAAAAAAATTCCTGCCCAGATATAATTTATTGGAAAACTGATTCATTTGATAATATTAAAAAATATCAGGTTTAGAATAATTATTCATTTAATTAATTAACAAACATCGGTCCACATGATGGAAGTTCGTTAATTTACAATCAATCAATCACCAGTAGCTAAATGAAAAAAATTTGTAATTTGTATATTGCAGTTAATAACTGATTATCAAAAAATTACGGAATTCGGTCAATAACGGTGCAAATAATGCCGGATGGATATATTTTAAGACATATATGATATAAAAAGTACTTTTAAAATGGAACTATAAGGGACATTTTTGCATATGAAAAGGTACACTACCCTACAATAATGGAAGAGGTATTTTTAGTTTTGATATTGCTTTAGATTTCTCAAGAAATATCAAGAGGGTTATTTTTTAATTTAAGAAGTGTTTAGGTCATGTAATTTCTCATATTTATTTATGAAGTTTAAAATTTTCAGTGGTGTGAGTCCGGTAATAAATAACGAACGAAAAACAAGTATTTTTAAACGCCCTGTACCAGAAAATATAGCAATAAGCTTGAAGCTTGTATTGATTACTTAGATTGTTATTTGCAATAATTGCATAAAATTTCGTAAACTTATCTAAAATATTTATGGGGATAAAGACATTTTCATATTAAACTAATCTTTGTGTCTTTTTTTTGCAGTAAATTTAAAAATATTAAAAAAAAGTCAAACAGAATTTTCGGAGCAAGTTTAAATTAATTACAAGATTATTATCCAAAAATTTGTACAAGATATGACAGTTCAAAGTAGTTATTTCATACTGCGCATGCGCGGATAAAATTTTTTAAAAATGAGGAGAAATTTAAAATTTCTTATCTTTTTGTAATGAGTTGCATTCAGTAACTAATAAAAAAAAGTTCTATGTTGAAAATTTAAATGCTTCTAGCAATTTTCTTAGTTCTTTTTAATTTTTTTTTAAAAGAACGCTCTAAATGAAAAGAGGTTTTCTACAAATTTTAATTCGTATCATGAGGCAAAATTAAATAACAACTGATAATACCTTACAATAATCATTCGTACACAAAAATGTGATGATATAAGGAAAGAAAGCGTGTAAAAAAAGCATACTTTTATTATCCCTCACAATGCCGGTGTCAGTTTTAATAAGTCTTGTATAAAATAAAATTTGTGAAAAATCCCTAATCATTCAGAGCTTTCAACTACAAGAACTACTAAGTAAATTATCAGAAACTTTTTTTAATTTTCAGTATGTGTTCAAATCGAATATTTTAAATTAGTTACTAACTACAATTTACTACAACATTATGAAATTTTTTTTTCATTTTTTTCGTGCATGCGATCCATGAAAGATCTACTTTAAATGCTCATTTCTTGTGCAATTTGAACAGAGTTTTTTGAAATTTTAAAGTTACAATTCTGCAATAAATTGAAAATTATTTTTAATATTTTGTTTAATTTTATTGAATATTTTTTAAGCTATAGCGAAATAACGTAATTTTTTATAATAAAAAAATATTCATATCTCCATAAATATTTAAACTAGACTTACAAAATTAGATGCAATCATTGCAAATTACAACCAAATTAGTCGGTACAAACTACAAGCTTACTGCTATATATTCTGGCATAAGGTTTATAAAACTCCTTGTTTTCGTTCGTAATTTATTGCTGGTCAATCGAACCTTTGACAACTTTAAAATTCATTGATGAGTATGATAAACTGCACTCTAAATACCTCTAAATTTTTAAAATCATCCTTTAAATATTTCTTGAGAGATTTAAAAAAGAAATATTCCATTGCTGTTGTCATTATTTCTTTAAGTTCTAGTTTTTACATTGGTGTTTGCAGATTTTTATTCAAAACGTTGAAAACTAATTAACAAACAAAATTAATTAGCAAAATTTATGAACAAGTAAACGTCTAAGCGTAGCGTTTACTTGTTCATAAATTTTTTAATTCATCTATGGTATTGCATTTCATAAACAATCAGAAATCTTTTTGTTCTTGAGTTTTTAATGAAACTGTCAGCTTAACTGCCGTTTTTTTTTGTCGCGAGCTTAATAATTTTTTTTTACTCTAAAAAAGATAAAATATTTAAAAAAAACGCAATGATTAATGAAAATTACATTTACAGTAAGAAATATTTAAGAACAATGGATAACTAAAATGACAAAGCTTTAAAAACCCATTGTTAATTAGTATCTTAAAAAGAGATTCTTATGTCACGTGTTTAAATTCCCTGTTATTTAATTAATTGATATTTAAAATCATACTTGCTATTTATGACGAAATAAATAAATTAACACCCTTGAAGAATAATCATCTCACAGAAGTGTTTTTCCTAAAACGATCACAGAGATTTTTCTTTTTTGAACTGAAAAAAATAATGTTAAAATTTCGATGTGACTTTCATTCGAAATTAAAGGTCATAATAACATTTTATTTTAAGAGGAGATATATATTAAAGTTTTTTTTATGCAGATATCACTATTTATAGGCAACTGTTTCTCAAACTTTTCTTGTGAACATTAAACTTAAAGAAGTTATACAAACCTGAAAGGTTAAAGTTTATTATTTTTTTTTTTTGAAAAAAGGAAGAAGAAAAAAGCTTAAAGTTAAAAAAATTTACGGAGGAATAGTTTTGTATATTTTATTAAAAATATTACAGAATTCCAAATTTTAGAACACAAAATAATGTCATGAGAATTGCCTAATATAAGACAGGCGATAATGGAACCTGTATTGCAGCTCTCCACTTACTGTTCATTCTCTGAAAACTGTTTGTCCAGGAATTTTCAATATTACAATCTTGATTGGATTGGATTAATAAGCTAATGAAACAAATCACATATTTTCCCGCTAAGCGCCTTAAAAATTTGTAGAAAAATTGTGTATTGTCTATGAAAATGGTGTGATTTTTTTTTTCTCGTTGGATATAATTTTCAAAATAAGCTAAACAAAAAACCTGCTTTAGAACTTTAACTCTCACGCATAATTTCGAATTCATACGACGAACATTTTATAAAAAAATTTATCAAAATCGTCAGAAAAATTATCTTTGTGTACGTAGAACATTTTAAAATTCAAGAAAAGCTGTGAAAATTTACTATTTCTCACAAAAAAGTCTTATAAGTACCTAACAAAAAGGAAGTTTTTAAAATTATTGTTTTGTTTTACCATTTCTAAAATGACATTTCAAGACATAAATTGCTCTTCAAGAAGAAAGCGAATACCCACGCATGTGATCTATGACGTCAACGCCAGCTGATCGCTAATAAGCAACAAGACGTGCTAAAGTTGAGGTATCTCCAAATAAGTTAGAATGTTAATTAACGTAAAGTTAATTAAATACAGCTCCTTATCGTGCATCAAATTTGTTGAAATATAATACTTTCTCGTATATGTCTTTTACTTAACTTAGATTTATTTGTTTATGTATTTTTTTGTTACCGTGATATATTTTTGTTTTGTGTACCTGCCAACTTCGATGCATAACTAGTTTGTTTATGTGCTACATGGCTTCGCGCCTTTCTTTGTGTTAAGTAAGAAATATATAGTGAAAGAATTGAAATCCTTGTGAAAGAATGCAGAATGTGTCACTTAAGAGATTTGATACTTGACTGGCTTGGCTTACTCAAAATAGAATGAAAAGAACATTTGCTAACGTAAACAAATGCCACGTTTCAACAACCAATCAGGATCGAGATACCCACACTACGTCACCAGTGATGCTTGACTTCGGTGATCTGCTGGGAGCCGTGTCTCAACGATCAGTCCACTTCGGGACACATTATTTTTGACTTTCGCAATTTTAAC